CCAGCCTTTTCTTGCCACTGTGTCCATGAAACATGCAAGGATTTGCCCATGGCTCCGTGACTCATTATCTGCTTGTCCCAGCCAGCTCTTTGAGATTATCAGTGCATGCTCTCTACATAAGAATGTACTTACCTGACATATCGTCATGATTTGAAACGATGCCATGTCCTCGAAATTGAGCTGTGTACCTTTCTTATCTTGGAGACCTCTCAATACTTTCAAACAGCTGCTATACTTGGCTTCCACCTGAGATGGGATCTCATGTGTGTAATGATAAGGTAAGACACTCATAATCAGATCAACCGAAACATCGAGAGCATGGCTATGGCCAAGCCTACTGGGAATATGTTCTAGAAAATCCCCATAACAGTTGAGGCCATATCGAAAGTCTGTACTTTCTAGACCCGCAACAAGTTTGGCTTGTAGAAGACTGAATGAGTTTTGAGGCTTATGCAAAACGGATACCTGAGAGGATGTCTCGCGCTTTCGTGGTTTCGAAAAGCTGGTCTTGAATGGCTTGGTGAACGATACGGGTTTGAAGACATATTTCTGTTCGCCTGAACCGACGCATGGGACTCCAAGTCGTGCACACCTTGAACAAGCTGGTTTGACTTGGTCACACTAGTTTATGTAAGTAGGTTACTCTTTTCCTAGTATGAATTTGGATCTCTGTGCTTGCCTTCTTCTTCTGCTTCAGACAAGAGTTACAGCCTCTGCTTCTCGGAACGCCAGGCATAATAACGAACAGATAATTTGATATTCCATACCAATTAAAGTATCTTCGACTTGATATAAGTAAGATTTACGTCTTTTATGATATTACATGCCTGGCTTGTGAGGCGATATGATCCCCACCACAAATAAGACAGCGCTGGGTAAGACCACGTTGGGAATAGTGGCACGTCCTGGCGCAGATCGCGTGGTGCGTCATAACAGCGGTTTGGGTAATTCCCGCCGACCAGGACCCTGGATTTTCGATAGTCTGGTAGCCAAGAACGTTAATCCCGGAGCTTGGTATTCAATATTGCATAATAGGCCGATCTGGATCTGTCATCGAATGGTAGAGAAGGTAGATGTGAGATTGGAAGCCGGAATTCGGGATTATAAGCGGGATTCAAATGACGATATCCACCTTTAACTATATTTAATACTTTCTCTTGATTCCTAATTCGATTGTGGATTATGTGAGACTGCTGATGGGCGCCGTACTTTGCAGTTTCAGGGATTGATCCTCTTCCTAGATCTTCAAGATCTCCAATTGACGATACAGAGAAACAGAGACCAATAGAATTAAATATGAGTCTTTACAGCACGCCAATCTATAAAGCTGTCGTCGCCACTTCCGTGGCTTGAATATTATGTCTGCCAGCTCATTCACGATACTTGTGTCATTCATCCACACGCAGTAGCTCGATGGACATACAAAACAATGTCCAATTTTGATATAAGCTAAATATTGTGGACTGATTGGTTACCTAAGAAGTATAAGTAACGTGACAAACAAAGAGGGCCTCCAAGCTCTTGCAGGCTCGATGACAGGTCGGCGGTGAGGCTGGCTCTATTGGCTTATCTCAATGCACGGCACAGCATAATGAACTAGCCTATGAGAAATACAGGACATTTGCCGGAGCAGTTGATTGAACGAATCAGGACGTATCTCTCATGAGGAGGCTCTGGTGGCTCCCAAGAATCAAAGCGCATCATGCTTAAACCACCATGACATCATGTTTCGAACATAGAAAAAGCACATTACAGCTCTTACCAGGAAAATAATACACATATGAGTCCATTACGTACTTGTGTGATATCACATTCTAAACAGGGACCTTCTTCCGATATCACACTCGTTGAAGCCATGGCAGTTTTGAATACCTACGAAGCAACATCAACTTCCCAGAGATGATACCTCATAGAACGCCAAGTATTTCCGATGCATCGACATCATCAGCTCAAGAGACCCCTCAAACAGGTCGTCCTCGACAGCTACTCCCAGCTGCTCGTCCCCAGCAAGCTGAGAGTTCTACTCACTATCAAACTGCTCCTCTAGCAAGAAAACGAGCTCCCATAGCTTTGGCATGCGAATCATGTCGGCAGAAGAAAGTAAAGGTCAGTGTGGATTCCAACACGTGCTTTGTGTGGCAACTAATCGGTCTATATAGTGTAACGGAGCCCGGCCGGTATGCTCTCAATGCCGGGCACGGAAAACCGAGTGTGTTTACCGAGTGACACCAGATACAGACTATCGTGAAAAGTACGAGGCACTTCTAGAATCACACCCTGCAGCCGTCGTATACCGAGCTATTCAATCACGGCCACGAACCGAAGCACTCGAAATCGTACGACGGATTCAGTCGGGTGTCAATGCTGAGACTCTGATGCGTCAACTATCAAGCGCCGATTTACTGCTCCAAGTACAACTTGAGCCAGAGTCAAGATCGCGATATCAGTTCATATACTCTCCGCTCATGCCTACATATCTACAGACTGATGACAATCCCTTCATGAGATCTCTCATACATGAGTGGAGTACGAGAGATGATCTTGTTAGTATTGCATCGTCAGTCTTAACAAATACAGATTTGGGGTATCGGGCACAGTATCTGAGACCTCATCACGCAGCAACAATCGTTGACTCAAGGCTGGATGAGATAGTGCCTTCGAGATGGACTACTGTGAATGTTAGCGATGATACTATGAGAGAGCTTATACGTGCTTATTTCCTTCAGGAATATGACTGGTTCACGTTCTTTCATAAGGACTATTTCTTGGATGATATGATCGGTGGTACCAGTACATTTTGCTCATCACTCCTCGTCAACGCTGTTTTAGCAGTTGGATGTGTAAGTCTCTCTCACCGATCATGAATCGTATCCTTGCTGACTGTCAGCAATGTCGAAACTCCATATCTGAGCCCGCAGAGTATTGGAATCCCAATAGTCTTGGATACAAATTCCTCGAAGAGGCGAGAAGACTATGGATAGTTGAGGTGACTTATAACAGAAGTCTGACAACGCTTCAAGCAGCTCTGGTTTTGAATACTATCGTCAATATGTTTGATATGGATCCTTTGTCATCAGCATTCCTCGTCCGGTCAATAGAAATAGCCCATGAGTTAGGGTTATTCGAACCAACGACATACATCATGAACAAGAAGTTGAGAAACTCATATGATCTTACAGCCTGGTCTTTGTTTCACTGGCAATGGTAAAACTGTCTCCTCTTCTGGCGGATTCACAGCTAACAAAAGCAGTACATTGAGCTACCAATTCATGACCCAGCCTTTGTTAAAAGCACCACCAAAGGCTCCGCTACCTGACCCTGACCGCGATCCAGACTGGTTTGGTGAAATTTGGCTGAAGTATCCTTCAAGTTCAACGCTGGTACCACTTCAGGTTGGCTTGGTGTTCAAAGCAAAGATGAGTTTTAGTGTCATTCTCAACGAGATCATGATAGAAGCTCAGCAAGATTCAACTGATTCTTACTTGTTTCAAAATGGGGGCAGAAATATACTTGAAATAATAGAAAGATTGGACACATGGTATAAATCGATGCCAGAACCACTGTCACCAACAAATATTGTCACGCCTTCACAACTCAAGATACAGTATGTCATCCCTATCTAATTTAAAGCAGAGAATGATATAGAGTTGGCAGACATTTATTAACATCTCCCAGTCTTCATTATTGCTACGTTATCATTCAGCTTTACGAGATCCTTGCCCCAGAAGGACAAAGACAAGCGCCAAACCTCTCTATAGAAGAAGATGAACTTCAAAATTCCCTTTCAAGATACCGAGGCTACTTTGAGACCATTCTCCGAATTCACTATCTCCGACACAGCTTCGAATACGGAAACATGATGCTAACACGCTTCCTCGCAATGTTAGCATTTCTATCCCTGAACAAGATCGAGTCCTTGACAACATCTACCGAGCCAGGGCATATCATTACGGGATCCGGATTGGATGTCGGAGACACAGACCCCAAAGAGGCAAGGGCTACACTTTTAATAGCTCAAAAAGGTCTCAGTGACCAGGGTAGAGGTTACTACTTACCGAGGACATTGTTGCGCGACGTTCTGGCGAATATGACGGCGAGTGACGCTACGATTCTTCAGAGCTTTATAACGATTCCTTCTGAAGAGCTGGAGAAGACGCAGGAGAGGAAGATGTATATGGAGAGCCACTGTCCTCCGGATATTCTGCGTATAGCGATTGATCTGAAGAAGCAGCCGGATGGGAACTGGATTCGAAGGTTTGCAATGCTGACACTTGGGGAGAACTCTGGGCGGTCGATTTTAGGGATGATATCTGGAGGGAGACAAAGCTAAGCTGGGTGTTGTCATAAGAAGAGAATTAAATTATACTGCAAAGTCGAGACGTTCATTTTCAGATTTCAGGCTTCTGGTAATCTCATTAGAATGTAGTATTCGGGACAACCATCTAATACAACTTTCAGATGACACGGGCTATCTTTACCCTGGTTAAATATTCAACAGCGGGCCATTAGGTGTTGGTTGCCATCTTTGTTGTTGCCTCGGGGTACGCACTCTCGGCGACTCCCTTGCGGCTGATACACGCGGCAAGATATGAGCAGTTAGGAGAGATGATTACATCTTCACTCTTCCGAAGATGATTGCGCTTGTACGCTCCTGTTTTCGTTACGACTCTCGTTGTAATACTCCTCCAACACGGTGTTGCGGCCTAGTGGCCAGGGATTAGGCTCTGTGAACTATCTTTGTGTGAGGACGTTCTTCTTTTCTCGCAACAACTGAGAGAGTTCTCATTTCCCTTCTTCAGAAAGACAGGGCCCAGTGGTTACGCAGCCACGTTCGATCATAACCCTCACCTTTGGACCATTGAGGTCGAGTTTATCGGGTCACTCATCATATACATGTCTCTTGTGGCGCTTAGCCGGTTGAAGACTATCAGACGGATTTTCTGAATGACCTTTATGATGACGTACTTGCTGGCATGGAGCCATGTTTATTGCCGGAATGCTCACTTGTGACGTCCATCTCCTCGCCTATACCCAAAACCAAACAGAGGCCTATCCTTAAACCTATACTCAGCACCCCTATCGAGCAGTAATTTTACCGTAGCCTCATGCCCACCTTCTGAAGCTTCCCACAGCACTGTCCTGCCATCATTATCCTTCAACTCAATGTTAGCACCCCTATCAAGCAGCAATTTTACTACAGCCTCATTCCCCTTCACAGCAGCTACCCATAGCGGTCTCCAGCCTCTACGGTCCTTTGTCTCGATGTTAGCGCCCCTATCAAGCAGGAGCTCTATAGTAGCCTTAACTCTGTTCGCAGAAGCCGACCACAGTGTCTTGGCAGCGCCACCTGACTCGATATTACAACTCTCCTTAACAGCCCACATCAGCGGCGTCTCCATATCTGCCCCCATTGACTCAATATTGGCACCCTCGTCAAGTAGATATCTCACTACCGCCTTCTGCCCGTACTTGGCGGCCAAAGTTAACGGTACATGGCTATCTCGATCCCTTGACCCAATGTGAACACCCTTATCAAGCAGAAAATTTACCACTCCCGTATGCCCTTCTGCAGCAGCCTGTGATAGTGCTCCACGGTCCCTATAGCCCTTTGAGTTAATATCAGCACCCTTATCAAGCAATAACTTGATGATAGCCTTATGACCCGTTGTAGCAGCCCATAGCAGTGGCGTATTGTATGAACCACCCTTTGACTCGATGTCGGCATCCATATCTAGGAGATATCCCACGAGTGCCTCATCACCCTCGACAACAGCCCACGCTAGCGGTGTCAGGGAGTCCTGCTCATATTCTGATTCGATTGACTCGGCCTTGTCGTCAATATATAGATGATTCATCATCCTTATCGTCCGTTCATCCTCTTCTGTATAAGGGCTGTTGCTCAGGTCAGGTTTGGATACACTCCCCAATGTCGTCCCGGTCCCATAAATCTGAACAGCTTTTCCGAGTGTCCTTCTTGCGCCTTCATATCTTCCCAAAGTATTCAGTAAAAGTCCGTGATTCCATAATTTGGTAGCTGCATCCATAGAATCTTGGCCCTGACAGTCTGTACCTAAATAGCCAGGCATTCGACTGCCCATGAAGCATTCATAGTCTTTCTTCCCTTGAGACACGTCCCAGTCCCAGATAAGAAGTAAATCGTATGGAAATACTTTTATTGATGCCAGCCACTTTCGTAGACTGATCGTTAGGGGAACTGTTATCGCGATAACTGTCCACAAGTCGTTGCAAGACCTGATGATTGTAGCATTTGTTGCTCCCTGAAGAAGACAGACGACGTCTCCCACCTCGATAGGTTTTGCCGACGCCTGAAAGGTGAACTGGGAGCTCTGTTTTTCTTTCCAGTCGATGTCGAAAAAGTCAGGCGGGTTCCTCCAAGCAATGCTTACGTGTTGTTCGTCATGCTGAGTTCGGCTCGCTGATACTTCTCCAAGAATGCAACCTTTGCCTCCAATTGCTGCCACCTCCACATCATCCCAAGTGTTCACAGACACTTGAGGAGAAAGACAATATTTGATCAGTTTCTGGAAGAGTTCTTTCCATGAAGTGTTATAATTGGCCGATAGCCCTGCTGCGCCGGGATCATCCGAGCTCATACCGATCAAAGCATACACCTTATCGCGACGGTCAGTAGCCTTGCGGCTGTGGTATATGTCAACTAGTTCCCCTAAAGGACGTATATTTAGCGAGAACCTGTCGGGCCAATTTTCCCTGGATCCTTGATATCGAGGGCGGAAGATTGCGCCTCTCATAAGGTAGGCTATCAAGGGGCTTCTAAGCACAGTTTCCGGGTGGTACTGGCTCTGTGCCCTTAGGCCTGAGCAGAATGCGAACCCATCGATTTCTGTGTGGCCACACTTGACCAGGATATGTCTAGCTGCTGCAGCCTCCTGGAGGACCTAAAAATGGTTTTGTTAGCAACTCCTGCCTATATCACGTTATATTTCTTGACTCACCCAGATGCGCTGAAACCATGGCCGCTCTAACAGTGTCACTATGGCTTCTAGGTTCGTTCTGTCTGCTGCGTTACTCGTGTACTGTTTTACGACTGCGTACTCCTCTTGGGCAGCCGTGCGTATTGCTTCGAGTGCATAATCACTCTTGTCTGCCACCTCTCCAAGCCAAACAATTACGCGAGTTGCTTTGGCATAGATCTCGGCCATAGACTGAACCTGTTGTCCTTTTTCACCATTATCTTCCTGGTTGATGCAAATAGCATCTATCCATATAACACGTTCTATAAAACGATCTCGTAAATGTAACAGCGCTGCGTGAAGATTTGCCCTGACGGACATTTTATAATCATCTATATAGATAGACGACTGATTGTCCTCAGGTCCCCATACATAAGATAAGGCATCGTAAAGGTGGGTGCTTCCGGAGGTCAAGAGAGGGCAGATGAAGATTTTACATCTTATTTCTGAACTTTGATCTGAGCACGGCAGAAGCCGAAGTAGCCGCACACTGCCCTCTGGCAATGGTTCGTATAGAGCCATGACAATGTGTAGAAGGTATTAAAGGCTAAATGGGAGGCACCAATATCCTAGAGAAAAAATATGGAAACGCCATCACGTCGAGGGGTTAAAAGTGATTCTTAGGAAATCTGTCAGCTGAGTGCCTGAAGGGTGCCCGACTGGTACCCACTGTTTAGCTTCATCAGAATAGACTATTTCATTGGCTGATGTTGTACTTCAAATCATACCACAGGCCATTGGCACAGCGGGCTGGCTTTTGTCTTGCCATCAGAAATCAGTTTTACTCGTCGGTCTTTGCAATCCCTCCAACAACTCAATGTCTTCTCCTCTCATTCGTCTGTTCGGTGTTGTTCCTCTTTGCAACCCTTCATTTTCCCAAAAGATCAGTGCTAGCCCGACATGTCAAACCGAAGACAAGGTTCTCCAAGAACCAAGGTGAAGACTTGCGGGTTAGCTTACCCCACTGGCCTAAGGCTTGATGCTTGTGTTGACCGGAAATAGAATCAGAGAGATCAAATGCGACGAGGCTAAGCCGTTTTGTTAGAGATGAGTCACGACTGGACGGAAATGCGATGGCTATACTCCGTAAATCCAGTAACCTTGGATTCAACGCCAACTCAAAAGTTGGAATAATAAAGAATTCTGACACCGCGAAACCTCCTCTAGGTATTAATTCTCTTAATTGGTATTCTTTAACGAAAACTATTTTCAATCTTAAGCTACGCTATGATACATGTGTTTGGCCTGTCACCCATATGTACGTAGTTGTAACGAACAAGGTGATAGTAGAAGCACCGCCCGTGCATTGCTGTGACTTCCAAGCCTCTTGAAGACAACACTTATTCGCCCAGAAGACAGAGAGTTGCCCCGCTTTATGCCGATCACAAGATGGTAAGCATTGTCTCATACCTTGCCCCAGAATTTATTGGTACTTCTTCATCACTCTTAACCTCGACCTCGACATGGAATCTAAATCACTCCCCCAGCCTCTGCCAAGACTCATCCCAGCGGATCAGGTCCTTTCGACCATGAAACGCATCATCAAACAATATCAGGCTGGACGAGAAAACATCATTCAAGATGTGAATCCCCAAACCGCCACATTTGGCAACGTCATTCAGCCTCTGATCAACATTGATAACGCAACCCAGGGGGAGATTGGTATCATTGCCATGCTCCGTTAGGCATCAACCGACCAAGCATCTCGACAAGCCTCTGAAGAAGCCTGTGCTCTCATCAACGAAGATCAAGCGGCCTTTACCGCGAGATCAGACTTCTGGTGCCTAATTAAAGCCGTCAAAAAAAGGCCTGACGAATTAACTCTCCATTTCGAAGCTCGAAAGTACCTCAATAAGTTGTTTCTAGAGTTCGAGCAGTTTGGACACGGCACTTTACAGCCTGAGCAGATCAAACAATACTTGGAGAGAAGGAATCGCATAGACAGCATGCGACGCGAATACAACCAGAGAATCCGCGAAGACAGCGGAGGTCTATGGTTTTCCCTCGATGATCTTGCAGGTATACCCCAGCATGATATAGACCGTTTTGAGAAACACTCGGAGAATCACGATATACTGTTCGTTCGATTTTCAGTGGCAGACTCTTTGGCTATATACCGAAACGCCTCAAAACCCGCCACACGTAAGAGAATGTATATTTGCGATGGAAATCACCGTAGCCAGAATGACGAACTCTTCAAGCAGATTGTTTTGGAAAGGGATCGGAACGCTAGACTTTTGGGTTACGAAAGCCATGCAGCATATCGACTAAAGAAAAGATTGATGAAGTCTCCGGGCAATGTCAAGGAGTTTCTGACAGACTTGGAAACTAAGCTGTTGGCTCGAGGGAAACAAGATATGAAATCACTGGTGGAGTTGAAGAAACAATGCGAAGCTAAGTACACCACTGGAGAGGGCTTGGATGGTGACAAGATGTTTCCATGGGATTATTGGTATTACGCTCGTATGGCCCAGCGAAGCCTAAATGTCAATCAGGAACATATGGCTGAGTATTTCCCGCTCCAACATGTTATCAAGGTAATGTTGGAAATGTTTCTGGGTTCCTGGAGATACAGTTTTGTCCCATATCTCCAGATCAACTCAAAGGCTCCGCATGGCATCAAGATGTACAAGCTTGGGCAGTATGGGACGATGGGGAAGCCTCGAAGGTTCAATTCGTTGGTTATCTTTACGTGGACCTCCTGTCCAGAGATAATAAGTACAAGGGCAACCAGAACGTCAACCTCCAATGTGTAAGTGCTTCCGATGGGAGGTGTCAGGGAACTCACGTTTTCCAAATTAACATTCTTGCCAACAGAGCTACCTGAAAGAGGATGGCACACGAGTGTATCCAGCGACCATCTTAATGTGTTCCTTTCCACTCTCCAAGCCCCCGGACTGTACCTTGCTAAAGCACTGTCAGATAGTATCTCTCTTCCACGGTAAGCAACGCTCACCCTTGCAAACTTAGCACACAACACTTACAAGGCTAGAATTGGGACATGGTATCCACGACTTGGTGGCTAGAACCACCTACGTAGCTTTCCATGGTCACAGGTCACCACATGACTTTGCAGAAGCTCTCAGCGTAATGTTTGAAATGTGGTGCTGGATGGAACCGGAACTCAAACGCCTGGGCCTCCATTACACAAGGACTGATCCGCAGTTAAAGGAGAAATGGCTGCGGGAACATCCGGGAGAGGAGCTTCCTCCAGCACAAATACCCGGTGAGATGATCAGGCAATTGACTCAAGGCCGGCAGGTGACTCGCTCGTTGTGGTTCCTTCGTCAGATGTGAGTATTATGGCATAGTAAGCTTCACGGCTAATTCAAATTCAAATGCAGGGTGTATGCAAGATTTGACATGGCCGTGCACCATCCCAGGAGTCACGCTGAGCTTCTAGAGATGGATTTCACAAAGGTCTACTATGATCTCATGGAGAAGCTATGGCTTGTTCGTGCACTGGAGCTTGAGGATCAAGGATATCCACACGCCGACCTTGGCCATCTGGTTTCTGGCTATGATGCAGGCTATTACTCCTATCTCAGGCAAGTCACCTTTACCCTGCCATGTAAAGCAATCACTCATAACAGATCCTCAGTGCTCACGTGTTTGCGGCAGAGCTTTTTGAGTCTACGTTCCTTGAGGATCCAAGGAGTGTATAAGCTTGGGAAAAATACAGAAAGTGAATTCTTGAATTCGGTGGAAGCCGAGATGAGTTGGGGCTGCTGGAAGAGTACCTGGGACATACTCCTACGGCTGAGGCGTTGCTCCGTGATATCTTACAATAGGAAGGTTGTGGAGCGAATCCACGTCCTTTCAAAGTCATAAACGAAGGCGAAGCGATATTTGTACTTAGGGTATTTCCTAAATATCCGGTAATCTACGAAGAAGGTTTGATTGACATATCTCGCACTAATTAGGATGGCCGCGGCGGTCTCTTAACCTGAAACCCTTTCTCCCGGGCCTTTGGCATCGGCCTAGTAAATACGTTCGTAAACCCAGCCACAAGCTTATTCTGCCTACCTGCTCCATGTGGCCTCATTCCTGTTGAGGGTCCTGGATTTGTGTCCACGTCTGGAGATGAGGTTGACGAGACGAACACCCTTTCTTCGTCAATTCCATAGAACCTGTCAGACTCGCGTAAGGAGTAGTCGACGTCTGGCTGAAGTGCTACTTCCGACAGGGCCAGATCTATGCTGAAGTGCCCTGTGCTAGGACTGCTCTTGTCAGCTATTGGTGATCTTGGAGTTGTTGAAACAGCGGCTAGTCGAGGTGCGTGATAAGCAGGGCTTATTGCCCCTGACCTTGGGGGCCTGTAAAATGTTGATGGGTCTGGTTGGAAATCTCTTGTCGAGGGTTCTCTGCTTGGGGCCTGGCGATATTCAAGTAAATCGGCCGTCGAATTGGCTTCAAGAGAATTCATATTGAAAGACTGTGGAAATTAATTAGCATTGAGAATTTTGTGTGATGTTTGACAATGACTTACGTTACTTAGGTTCGATTCTCCGCTGGTGGAGTGGGCTGAAGAGCTTTGGTCGACAGATGTACCTCTAAATATTGTCTTATACACCTTCCAAGTGTGTTTAATCAGAAATCCTATCAAGATGACCAGTCCGTGGAGAACTAATACCACATAACCAACCCACTGTCTCGTGGCTCCGGTAATGGGCATGGCAAATACACTGATGAGGAACAAAATGATCAATCGCATGGCTGATATATAGATTGTTGTTGATGTTTTAATCAGCATGCTTCGTTTTGAATTGAAGTATGAAATAATGATGAAGGCTTCACAAGCAATCAGCATGAAGAGCTGGGCAAGAGGAAAGTCTTGCAGGCTCCCAACGCCGATCGCCTGTAAAAGCGGCATTGTATGCGGGATATGGCGAGAAAGTAGCCGCCAAAGAGTATGGAAATCCACACTGGGGTTAATTGTTTCCAATCGGCTAACTCGCAGTGGTTTCAGTTGGTCACCTGCCTGGCCATCCAGCACTTGGACGAGAAAGTGCCCGGCTGCAAGGATTATGAGTAGCATGACGACGGCTAAGCCAATGCGATAGTTTGGAAGGTAGCCAGTAAGTATAAGATCATATGAGATGTAAGAGAGTAAAGGCACACTAAAGAAGCAAAGTGCAACGCCAATAGTGGTTGAGGCAGCCTTTTGCAGAATTGAAGAAAATGGGGGCGAATGCACCGAACTCGAACGGGAGAAGGTCCAGAATGAGACTAAGAAGAGAAAGAATATCGGGGATATTAAGATGATGAGATTTATCAGGGAGTTTGCCAGGGTATTGAGCATATTGGGGTATCGAAGCATCTGCGTCATGAAACCAAGTCCATAAGAGGCATTGCTGGTGTACATACCACCAGTCGGTCCCTCATACATATATTCGTTGCTGAATGGGCCTGACCAGTATAGTAAGGAAGCCCAGGAGAGTTTGCTCACTGCAGGAACAAAGAAGCCTGGGTACTCAATGCTCAATGATGCCGTTATGAAAGCGAATTGCAGGTAACGAATGTAGCTCGTCACGTCCAGAATGACTGACCACAATGAGCCGACATTGAGGCCATGGGTATAGATGAGGTTGCTCTGGTTCACTCGCCATGATGAGAGAAGGACGATGATCAGAATGGCAAGTGGTACGAATGTCAAAGCTGCTGATATGCCGTCCCCTAATTCCGGGGTGATTTTCGCTTTCCCGCAATCCAATTCTTGGCCATCGTCTTGTCTGAAACGGAACGTTGATTCGAGAGTTTGAAATTGATGTGTGTTTTGAAAGCTATATAGCAGATGATAAGAGCTCAAACGGGTCTTTTCAATTCTATCCATCCAATTAGCTTCCCGACAAGCTCTTGAGAAACACAGATTATACTTACGGCGTCAGAGTATCAGTGATAGGCAGAGGACAGTTACTCGAGAAATTCTCCAACTTTCCAACTGAGCGGCCAAGGACTTGAAATTCAATCGAGTTTCTTAGTGTAGAAACATCAATATCCTCACAGGTCATGAGCGATGCATTATGGACTGCGAGGATATTCAACTCCAAGCTCGCGGACCTACTCTCTGCATCAATAGTCCATGATCCTCGAAAGCTATCAATCCAGAACGGGTTGATCTCAATTGAAGGTATGCCTTGATATCCACGGCTGCATGGATACTTTCGAACCCAAGGCTTACTCTGCCAGATCTGCTCAGCAGAAGCCGGTAGCGTCTCGCTTAGTAGAGCGAGTAAAAGACATGACCTAAAGATGTTACAGGAGTTTTTCGAAGGCATAGCAAACGCTCATGGCTTCTCTCGTAAGAAGGTACTTCAGTTCAATGAAGATCAATAAGTATGAGAAAAAGTTGGTTTACTTTATTTGGTAAGCAGACGTCGCGTCAAAGTTTTGAGGTTCCACAAAAGGGGCTGTTTTCAGCCAATGATGAAGCACCATTTATGGAAAGCTTGTTCTATTTTAAGATCTTCAATGGGTAATAAGTTGGATATAGTTAGATCTAGCCTCTAGGAGATAATACTTAAATTTTACATCAAGAGAGAGATGAAATTATTAAAGACATTGAGATTGAAATGGGCGGGGAGTAACATCGCATAAACAACTCTTTGAAGTAAGACATGAGACTTTAGGTAATAGGGCTCGGCAATGGAGCATCTCAGGCTCTGCGGGTGGACCAAAATGAGCTATCCGTGATGCTGCAGTCGTAATCCAGCTGTAATCTTGTCATAGTCAGGGACTCTACAGAGGATGCTGGGTGCTCTCGCTACTCTTGCAGGCATGCAATTCACCATTTAACACAGTAAGATAACTTAGTGTCCTCCTTTTCGAAGTACTCTCTACATTCTTCATTCCCTATTCTGACCTCTTAAAGTCCAGTTTTGTCACACGTGCTCCAGAGTCCCCATAGCCAGGCTTACGTCGTTCAAGTGGCGATGCAATTCTAGTTCGTCAAGGTGTACAGTCTTCCGGAGGCTCGGAGTTGATATAATGTGAATCCTCGGCCTTTCTGTATGCGGAGGGAGCACGAACCGCTATATATCTACATCATTGTATCCGCTAAGTTTGTACTACATTTCCAAGATTATCAGAAGTCAACGCCATCAGCGCAATGACCGCACCAGCCACAGTCTTTATCGCAGAGACTCCAGTCTTCATCGTCCAGGCCCGACACGTACGGCTTCCCGTACTCAGTAAACCTTAACTGTGGCACTTCCGGACCGGTTCCGTTGCCATTCTTTGTCAACTTCCCCCCTTTCCACTTCCTCCTAATATCTTTGATCGACGTTCCGGCTTTCACGAATTTGATGGGTGGATAACGAGAAGAAGACGGCACAGTGGTAGTATTCGACGGCTAGTCAAGAATGATGATGATTAGCGACTTTAACCGTGCTTGTAGCAGGATGGCTCTGGATTATACATTATTAACTGGGCCGCTGGATAAGCTATGGTCGCTTGATCCAGTTGACTCAACGCTTTGTCGATGTCTCGGCGAGTCCCGCTTGTGCTGGGCCAGGGCGCTCTGGCTCTTGACGGTCTTCCCACATTCACAAACTACTTTATCCATGATTGAAATTGAGGCTGTGGTTGTATGGACAGGAGCGGGGTGACTTGAAGCCCGATTGTTTTGAGTAAGGACGAGCCGTGGCTTCTTGACGCACTGCCAGCCCGGAATTCGTTCGGAAACGGGACAAAGGGTAAATGTCTTGCGAGCAGACCGTAGCTGCTTAAGAAAAGCAGTGGCAAGCGGCTCAGCTATACGAGGGTCAATCCTCTAGAACTGGCAACGCAAGAGTCTTGCGCTCGAGTGGCAAAGCTATAGAGGTACGGCTCTTTCAGAGGGCGCTGGTCATGTCATATATCAAAGGCTTGACGAATAGGCGTCAAGTATCTTCAAGGCATGAAACCCCCGCTCGATTGCTCGATGCTGCCCAACCAAGCCCAACTTTTGCCCATACTAAACTCAAAGTCTGCAGCCGAATGCTCTTGAGATATACTGCAGCTATTTAAATTCTACTATGAATTGATAGTTAAAGCTTATAACATCGTAATAAGATGTATTAAGCTAATACATTAAAACTTTTAAAAAACTGTAGAAGTAAAAACCTAATACATATATAATATTAATGAAATTCAGTCTTTTAAATAAAAATAAAGTAATATAATCTTATAGCTAGTACAGTATCTAACAGCAACAGGTTCTACATTGTCACGCAATATGACAACTGCAATGCAGTCTCCTGTCATGAAGTGTTTATAAACAGCTTATTCTATTTTAAGAACTGAAACGGCAATACGCCGGGCATAGTTAATCCTTGGCAATACGAGGCCCAGCAAGCTATAGTTACAGATGGGAAAACGACACTCAGAGGTGACGAGAAATATGATTAAACAAGGGCTGCGATTGCAGCAAGAAGAGAAAGCATACCAATAGCCTGCTTACCAGCCTCGCTGACAATAGGTACGATGGTGGGTTCTGTATCCTTGGGACCGCCACCATTGGAGCCGTTGGGGCTTTGGTTAGAGCCGGAGTTGGAGCCACCGTTAGGGTTGGGCTGAGAGTCGCCGTTGGAATCACCCTTGGAGCCACTATCGGAACCACTCTTTGAACCACTGTTGGTGCCAACGTTGGGTCTGGGATGAGAGCCACTGTTAGAGCCTCCGTGAGCAGTCGAGTTCGACTTGCCGTTATGACCACCATGCTGAGATCCACCGTTGTGAATAAAAGGACACTCGTGGCCATTGCAAACAGGAACATCGCCGTTGCAGTTATCAGGTGTACCCCAAGAGTTCTCCCAACGCTGATACATGATCTTGCCCTTGGCACAGGTATCACAGTCCGATGCAACAAAGAAATTGCTATAGTTATACCAGTCATGACACTCTTGGGGCTTATAGACTGTAATGCCAGAACAGCTGCCTCCGGAGCAGAATTTTGGAATATATCTTTGGCCACCAGCGCAGGAGCATGGTTCAGAGATATAAACCCACTGTCCATCACAATCGCTGCCATTGATCTCGATAAAGATATAGACAGTAACGTCGCTAGAGCTGCTAGAATAACATTTGCCTGCAAAGCATACCAGAGTGGCGGTGACAGCTTGGGTTGTCGTAGACAAAGCTCCAGCAACGGTCGTTGTGTAAGTAGTGACGATAGTCTTTTGATCCGTTACGGTTTGTGTGACGGAGTCAGTGACAGTGACGGCAGCCCCGGCAGCAGCGTAGACGGTGAGAAGGCGGCTGTTGGGGACATTTTGACGACGGTGGAGCTTTGCGCTACGAGCATTACCTCCACAGAACTGGGTGTCATCTCCAGGGCACTCAATATCGCATAGATCAAGGGTGACTCTACTGGTATCAGCAGCATCGATCACATCACCGCAATAACAAGCACTGTATAAGTTAGCAAGGTTATCTCACCATATGAACGGCATACTTACGTATCATAGACACCAAAGTAGGCACGTCCGGTGCAGAGATCAGCGCAGATTTCCAGATCCATAGACCCGCTGGACTGAGCGAGAGTGAAGCTAGGAAAGCCAGCAGTAGAGCCAACGCATCCAAAGAGGCTAAAGAGACCGATGTCGCCGGGGAATCCAGCAGGGGAGGTGGCTGTAGACGAAGCAAAAGAGATAGTACTGGTAGCAGCTCTGGTAGCAGTTCCGGTAGGGATGACAGTTTCACCCTCGGAGTTGGTAGTAGCACCTTCACTGTTGGTCTCAAAGGCAGTCTCAGTAGCAGTCTCAGTTGGGAAGATAGTTTCGCCTTCACTGTTAGTGGTAGCGCCCTCACTATTGGTGTTGATGATTGTATCAGTAGGAATGACAGTTTCTCCCTCAGAGTTGGTAGTGGCTCCTTCACTGTTGGTTCCGGTAGGGACAAGAGTCTCGCCACCACTGTTGGTAGTAGCCCCTTCGCTGTTGGTGCCAGTAGCAGGTTCAGTCCTGATGGGAATCGAAGGAATAGGAGTCGCGGTTGCGCCCTCAGGAGCAAGCTTGGCAACAACATTGTTAACAATTGCCCCAACAATCCTGCTACTGCTACCGCAGGTCTGACGGTATGTAAACTTGACTTCCCGTGGAGCTCTGAAGGGGTTACTTGAGATTTCAACACTGCCCTGTGATGAAGAGTTGATTGGTTCAACGGCGACAACGACGCCGTCGGCAAGTACTTCGAGAACGCAATCGCTTGCCTCGGCTCGCTTGCGGTCCAAGTCAGAGTCATAAACAACAGATGAAACGACAAGGAATAGAGGTCCCAGGGGAGAAAATGGGTCCCAGATGTTAGATGGGACGCTGAAAGGCATTGTGAAAAAGGCGGGAAGAGGCAGGCCGGAGGGGAAAGGAGGGAGTGCGGTCCCAGGGACTAAAGTGGGCAAAGATGTATCATCTTCCTGGCGACGGACACGGGCACCACCGGATGATCCTGGGCGTAGGAGGCTAGGTTCATATGTCAGAGTGCTTATACTTATTGTGGTCGTCTGGGCAATACTCACATGCTGTCACCATCCGGGGGTGGGTAGAAAGAAGCACCTGGTCCAAGTACGGCGTTTTTAAGATTCAGAGTGAATTCCGCCTCTGTTGGCAACGCTGATGTTGTGGTGGTGGTCTCGAGGCTAGTGGTTTCCCCGATAGAAGTGGTGATGGACTCAACAGCAGAGGTGCTGGAGTTGGTGAACCTCGTGAACTGGCCGAGTGTACTCGAGGCACCGGCCAGAAGGAGGCCTGGAGATAAAAGCATGATAAGGGTTAATGAGTGACTGATAAAGAATAACTAAAAAGAGTGACTGAAACGAGTGAACAGGCCACTAAACACGAAATTGAAAATGGGTGCGGACGATGGACAGCCAGAATCTTAAGATATGGAAATGGCTGGATTATATACGTCTAACCCCTCAATCGAACCTCGTGTCATGAGATGAGCTGACCCTCGTTGTGAAATCAAACATTCCTATCCAAACCTCATCACCAGCAGTAACGGTTGTTCGGCATTACCATCCATTACTGCGAAACATATCTAATGTGCCTCTAGTTAGTCTAGACAATGCCAACCGCAGCCACATTCTTATTGTAAATTCATATCCGTGCGTTTACAGAAAGCCAGTCTTGATGCAACACCTGAGACATCTGCTCTAACACTCGAAATGCAATATGAGCCCGTTTTCTTTTCTACTTATGGAAACATGCGAGGGCAATGTTCCAACCCTGAACTAGCGCCACAATATCTACATTATATAATTTGCGCCGTTAAGCCGATGGCTCGCTAGACCAAGCGTCCTTAGACATATTTGCTTTGTATCTTTTTGTTTTTCCCAGAATGACACAGTGGTTCTGTAGGTGTGGCAAGTACTCCGTTTATTGTTCATTGTAATTGAGATATTGTCGCTTTAATGATGAGCCTATGGCTCAATCTCCACGTCAACGAGAAGATTTGCAAGGCTGAGACCAATTATCTGGTTCAAAGTCAAAGATAGTGAAGACAGTAAGTAATTGCAGTCTTTACCTAACATAAATACAGCCAGTGAATGTCCATAGGGTGTTTGGTCATATTGAGATACACTTTGTGGGCGTGTAGCCTTTCGTTTTCTATTCAGAAGTACGATGAGAATACAAAGTCACATCAGTATAGAAACTAGGGCCTTATTATTTAGCGTCGGTCAATGAGGAGTATGTTGCAAGTACCAAGGGTGCAATGAGTTGCTGATAGAAAAGAAACCGCCAACCGGCGAGGTGAAACATATTAATCACATACGAAAACAGTCACACGGCCCAGCTACCCTTGAATCCAGCTCCTCAACCATCTCCTTGACCGCATTAGTGACCAAGCCAAGAGGTTCTTCAAAGACAAAAGACCCTTCAGCGTGGGTAATAAGAGAGCTGCTCAAAGACCTTTTGCTTCTGGCTCTAGGACAATGAATCGAGGGATTCCCATCCCCATCTCCTTACTAGTGCTCGGGGCAATGTACTCGTAGTCAAGAGGCCCAACAGCGTTACAATCGTAACCGGAACCCGTGACAAAGGCGGGAACGTATCCTACGCCAACCTTTCAAGCCTCTGGAATGAGGAATGCGAAAATGGCTTGACGCAGTGGTTCTATAAAGTTCTGTAGACTCGTCAAGCGCCATAATGCACATATTGAATCCACTGTAGAGGATTTCGTCTATCTCCAGGAGGACCCTCAGCCCCTATGTCCCTCTTGACTGCAGCCATCCCATCTTGTTCCGTGCCGCTTTGGCCCCCGTCTGGATCAACATCTATTGTCGCTTGAACAGCAATTCCGCCGGAGTCATCAACACTTGACTCTCCAGATTCCGATTCCCACGATCCGTCAGATTCCTCGTCAGATCCCTCTTCATCCTCGAGTGATCGTGCCGGCTTCCGATTGAACATGCTCATGAGTATCTCCTCAGCTCTGTAATCTTCTGAATCATACTCGGACTCTTCCGAATCATCGCTCATGGACGTAGAAGAACTCGAGGTAGAATCCTCGGAGTTGTACCCTTTCCACTCGTCGTCAGATTCTGCCAAAGGTGGATCTCCGAATCTTGCGTCGCGAGTAGTGTCTCCTTCACCCTGAATCCAGTCGTATCGGAGCTGTCTGACGGTATGGTGCAATGCCGCTCTCACACTTTCGTCATTGATCCCGTGGTTACGCAGATGCTCATAGATCTTACTCGCGACATCAACACACAGCCTATCGTTCACCTCCCATAGCGTGCCAATTACATGCCGGAATCCTGCCAGCTGGAAAGCGCCAGACAAATGCATCCCCTCGTCTAGTGATTCTTCCTGTCGAACTTGCCCAGTCCCACAGGCGGAGAGGTAAGCAAGAAACGGCGGTGTAGATACCAAGTTTGTGTCAATAAGCGTTTCTACTGTCAGTGGATTTGTTATCCAATCTTCGAGTAAAATCAAGCTGTCTAGAGGATTGCTTTTCTTAGCATAACCATGGCCTGCAAAATGAAAGATGAAGCAGTCTGTGAGCGCCGAGAGAACAGATTGCCGGTGTGGATCTGGCCAAATAGTGGTCAGATTCATCGAACTGGATCGACAGATCTTGTCGACCATTAGAACCTCTTGGGCTGCGTATTGGAGATCCCTTAGGTCGCCGGGTGTATCTTCCATAGAAACCAAGACGATCTTTCTAGGTGATATCGGCCCGGTTGTGATTTCTGGAACTGGAAGCTGATAACTTTGGACATGGATCAAGGACTTGACCGACGATGAATACGAAGAAATGACTCTGTCGATTGCTGACTGGAATCCGGAAATTTCTGTGTGATATCCTGCTGCGTGAATTGGAAAGGAAACCAGTTGGCCCGTAGGAATCCACCAGATGCAAGGCCAGGCACAAGGCTTGTCTGCAGAGGGTGGCTCAGTGTACCCAAGCTCATCGAGAACTTGCTCCACCAGGTTATCCCATAACCACTCTAAAGTGCTTATCGAGTCACGTTGGTGTTTGTGGCCAATAATGTCCGTCAAGTGCAGCTTGGGGAGCTCGATGTGTTGAAAACCGTCTTTAAGGATGATTAGGGCGTCGCAGCGGAGTGGACTTACGTTTACCATCACAACGGGTCCATTTGAGGCTGCTAGAAGCAGTTGGGATTCCGAAGCCGGCAAAAGGAAATTCTCGAACCCTGTCTGTTTTCGGATCTCTCTGACTAGGTCAGACATTTTTTGTTCTGCCACGCAGCGCTGGTCCATCCTCTCGTCAGATATATGACTCCCGTTTGTAGTAGCGTCATGGTCGTCCATACGAGCTGCGCTATCCAGTGTCTCGCGAAGATGAACAAAGTCGTGTGCAAGTTGAGGATGCTTCTTCTCCAACACGGCCAAGTCAGTACGTAAGTCTCGGAGAGAGCTTTCCAAGACCGCACGTCCTGCTTCGAGAAGGCTAATAGCGACGAGCGGTTTCTGACCCGCATTCAATGCAACTGCCGCCGCGAGAGAGGCGATCCCTTCGATATCGACGAGGAGATAATGTTTGTCTCCACTGCGCAGAGAGTTCGGGACCAGCAAGGGAATGAGGTCAACAACGTATTGTGCGATTTCGAAAACCGTTTTGGCTTCATAAACCTTCAATGCGATAGATAGAAGATCCTTCCCGGCTGACAATCTGATTCTTACGCTCGAACGTGGGGAATACAGAGCGAAACGAAAACATTCGCAGGCCTCCTGGATATCATTAGATGTACCGGTAAGAACCGACCGCTCATTTAATCGATTACCGAGGTCGGCCTTGAGAATAGGTATATCGGAATGCCCTGGAGGCAGACTATCAATGGCCTGACGCGTCACGTCGACAGCCTTATCGATGCAGTCATGAGCTATTTTGTTCATCCTAGCTGCCGCCTTTTTACCAATCTCAGTAAAGCTACCAGGTAGAACTGGCATCTCGCCCACCAGCTGAAAATACTGCTTGGATTTATGTGCCAGTTGTCGCCCGTAGGTGCACAGCCACCTGGCCCGATCTGGATGGCCTTCCTCAGTCCACTCCACGGCTTCGAGTGCAGCATTTGTAGCGTCTTCAATGGTACGGAGACCTCCCCGTCGACAATATCTGACACTTAAAAGTGAGCTCAATGTGTTAAGAATGACTGGGCGATCCCGGTGTTCCTTGGGTAAAGCCCTTTTTGCTTGGCGGGCTATAGATATGGCATTCTGAAGGTCGTTTTTCGCTCCCGAACGAACATGCTTGTGCCCAAGACAGTTGGCGAGACTGTGAAGAAGTATCACCCGATAGGGGTCATCCGCTGGGGTACCTTCGATGGCCTCCTCGAGAACAGTGATAGCTTCAGTGATGTCTGCCATCGCCCCAATGTGAAGGTAACGTTTCTTCAGCTGAAGACTAAGACTGTTGGCCCATTCTGTTCGCTCGGGGCTTGTCTCCGGGGTCGCTTCAACCGCCTGGCGAGCGAACGAAACGGCGTCGTCCAAGTCGGAGATTGTTCCGGTGGCGAGATATTTCTTGCCAAGGTTCTGGCCGTGATTGTGCAACCATTTCGGTTGATCTGGACTATCTTGACTTCCCTTTATCGCCTCAAGGCCGAGTCTAAGAGACTCGTTAAGATCGTCCATATTTCCCGTGAAGGAGTGCCGTACCGAAAGGTGGCTGGCATAGTTCCCTTGCCAGTTGGCCATGTCTGGGTCGTCTGCTGGGGTTGACTCAATGGCCTGCAGTGAGGTAGCCACAGCTTCTTGGAGATCCTCGAACGCTCCAATACGGTGGAATCTCATGGCAAGACGATTACTCAAGTTATTGAGCCAGGGAGATCTCCGAGTACCAGAGGAGTGTTTGGTTGCTTTACGACTGAAATCAACGGCCTCCTCGAGGTCTGACAATTGGCCGAGACGAGAAAATCGTTGACCAAGCCGTGAACCCAGTTTTCCGAAAGCTGCCGCTCTGACTTCATTCGGTGTGGAAGTGGCAGTAAGCTCAACAATTTTGCGAGAAATTGAAACAAGTTCCTCTAGAATTGGTGGCTCTCTCGTCCACTCATACTTTTGTTCAAGTAAATTTGCGAGGATGTTGAGATGAGCAACTTGGTCCTGTACATCTTGTGGACCTGTTTGCAATGATTCACGTGCATGTAAAATCTCGCTGTCAAGATCCATCGCAGCACTGTCATCATCTGTAAAATCCACCAGCTCAGCCATGGCGGCGAACTCGAGAGGCGATGAAATGATAATAGTATTCTAGGTTCACCAGTATATGGAACAGTTGGAAAGTCGCACAATTAATAAATAAAATCCATTACCATGGTCGAGAGCACCCCCGCTTAGCACAGCCGCTATCTGACGGCTGTCTAAGCGCCCGCTAGCTGCAGGCATGGTCACCTACTTAACCAATAAATGGCGATCTTGGCTATGTACGTGAAGATAGGCCCCCAGACTTGTTTCAGTGTTTTTCAGCTCATGCAGCCATAAGCCAACGACATGCTTTGCTGTCTGTGCTCGGGTGCTTCTATTTAGTTGTCCCATACCCATCAAGGACGGGCGTTTACCTGTTTCTGTCCTCCCCGTAATCGAAATTAGAGAATCCCATGACGATAAACTCTGCCGTTTCAAGGTAGGTGAAGGCTCGTCGCTGGTCAATTGACTGGCACACGATTTACATACTCATGCTCACACTTCAATCAAGGGAACTCAACGTGTGTCCAATTATACTGGATCTTCTTTGATCTTGAAAGCACCCATCACTTTTCAACTCGAACCAGCAGCTCTTGCCCCTAGTTCATCCCTCTCTCTTGGAAAATATGGGCTTTGTTCGCAGCCGGGGCCAAGGACGAGCTTTCTACGGCGCTGAATGCTTAAATTGCGACTATGACTTGGGTGGGCAGCAGTGCGTCTGGGCTAGGTTCAATTCTTTTCGCGGCCTAAGGGGGAAGTGGTTCTTTTGCGATGATGATTGCTTGGACACATGGTTGGAGGACTAGCAACGATGTATCGATGTATGTCTTTGTGATGCTATGTGTCTCTTCCTTTTCCATCTCCGACTTTTCGTTTTGCGTTTGTTCAAGCTTTTTTCTTGCGCAAACCAAATAACTATCCTAGTTCTATAGGGCTGGTATTATACACTCAAATATGTTACGTCTTTTACATTCCGTTGCTTCTAAGTGTTCCGTGGACCCCTGGCTCCCAAATCGTGACCAAATAGACGTCTGCCGCCCTAATAGAGTTCAAAGAACATAGAATACTAGTTTATCAAACCGAGGAGTTTTATAAATTTCCACTTCCTCCTAGAGGTCGACAGGTTCGTCGTAACCTCGCAGTACACATTAACAGAGCGCCCCTGAATCTGTAGCAATGTGGCACACGAAGACTAGTCTTGCACTAGGAAGTTACGTTATCCTTTTATGCCAATACGGCAAATCCTCTTTATCTCTATCAAGTAAAAGGCCATGATTTATATCGTGTTTTTATTTTCCAACACGGTTTTAGGCTATGACTTCTGGATCAACAAATCGCCGAGTCGTGTCAGTCGCAGAGCGTCAGACCTCGGGACCGCTCAGTATAGGTTTCCCTTTGTGATCGAAAGTCTCCATATTGGGCATATTAGAGAAGTATACAGTACATCCAATAGGCACTTGATCATTTTCGATATACAATTCCATCTTTGGCCCTCTGAAGATTGAAACAACGGCAAAACCTTCTTTGAGTGACCACAGCGGGAAGCGACCTACGCTGCCGCTATTGGGTCCTTGCTCTTTCCAAGCTGCAAGAGTTTTCTTCCCAATGGGTTCATTGAATGTCTGAGGGCGAATAGATTTAGTGCGAGGAGCTCAAGGGGAAAAGAAGAGCAGGGAATGGCTGGTGACTTACCGTAGTACTGAAATTGAGGCCTGCGCTAGTCGCCGAGGCTTCCACCCCAACCTCTGTGAGAAGTCTTCGGGGACGATGCTTCGATACAACGACAAGAATCTCCTCATCGTGTTTGTTAACGACCCAGATGAAAGGTTCAATCCCCTTGATTTTACGAATGATTCCGCCCACAGATTTCTGTTATGGTTTTGCCATGCTATCAGCTCTCACGGACGGCCATCGCGCTGCAAGGATCAGGAAGAAACATCACTTACGGCGTCTGGTTGCTCAGAAAATGGAGGATACAACGGAATGTCTTTGAAAGCAAAATCATCAGGCTCGGGTATATCTTCGAGCCGGACTTCATACCCTTCCCCTCTCTTCCAATCCAACGGCCTGAGCGCAAAATTGATCTGTATCAGATCCCAGTTCAGCTTTGCGCTACGGCTCTGAGACCCGACGTCCCGCAGAAAACCTGTCGCAAGAGAAAACGCAACCTGTTCGAGAGTAGATGAACCAGGGCCGGAACCTCGAGCATCAGCGAGGGAAGAATCGGCCAAGCACGTAAGGTTCAAAGGAGAATCCGTCACAATTATGACAAGACACTCGTTGACGGGTCTTGTTTTGGGTATCCCATTTGGCCAAGAAATGGGAAGACCTTCCAAAGTCCCAAAATCTCCAGAACCAATGTCCGAGCTTCGATTGGCAGGAAGGTCGATACCTCTGGGACGCTGATTTGAGATGAGCGAGATCTTGCCCCACGCATTGATGTTGAAAACAGATGCATACAGTTGCTCAGTGCCCCTATTCTTCAAGGACACGTACAATCGGTCGTTTTCTACGACGTATCCACTACCATCCTGCTCAATTAATCTGTCTTTCTTGCCGTCTTTGACGGTCCCAATAATGACATCCAATTGATGGTCAAATTGCTCATCTGGATTGTCACATATTAGAGTCCGAAGGTGCTGGGATTTGGCAAGTGTCTCAGCCCGTGAGAAGAGATATCGGCTCGCTGAAGCTAGACAGTCTGGATCGTTAGCAGTGACGTTGCGTGATGCAAGTTCAAGTCCCTGACTATCTTTCAGGACCAGTTGCTCTCCTTCTTGGCTAATCTTGGCCAATAAACTGTCTTGATGACTCGATGCAGTGCAGAGATTTGTAGATGTGTTGACGAGATGGCTAAGAATCTCAAGACCATCTGGATAAGCGATTGGCCACATTGGCAATGTTTCCTTCTCAAGAACGGCGAGAGCTGTATCCTTGGCACCTAGTGTCTTTCCACGAAGGAGATCTAGTTCTGCCGAAGCCTTGGAGCCTGTGATGTTCTTCACCGTGGCCGTACCAAGACGCGTAGATTCAAGTCGCTGCTCGGCCTCGAGTGGCCAGAGGCCGTACACATTACCTTCTCTTACGCCCGATAGTCTCCCGGCCTGAAGAATATTCAATCCGCTATTTTCATCAACACGTAGCAAAAGCGCATTGAGCATTGACTCCTCCAAGGAAAAAAGAAGTCTTTTGTCGGGTCCCTCGACGTGTGGGTGCTGCTGAGGAAACTGGGCATTCACCATTTCACTTACGCGGACCATCATCGTCCGCCAGGAAATTGATTCACCGGTTTTCTCGTAATTCTTCCATGCGATGTTCAGTGCATCGACAAATGCCTGCGTCATTGACCCAACCCGCTGGCCGGAATGATTACGGTACTCCCAGGCTGTTTCGGCGGCGGCAGCAGCGACGATCGTCACTGCGTCCTCGCCGCCTCCAGTCTCGGCAATTTGAGCATTAGCACGAAGGCGGTTGTAACGACTTGAAAGGGCAGCGTGCTGAACTTTGGGCAAGCTGCGGGGAACTGCATCGCAGATGGGATGTCGAGACATGGCGCCGGAATGGCAGCAGTCGAGAATGATAGTAACATTGCGAGTCCGTCTGGAGGCCTCGGCGCGCAGTTGCTTGACTTCTACATCCAAGATACCAGTAAATTCCTTCTCGCTCTCAATCACGGCTTCCACCTCATCACCGACATGGGTATCTTCGTCAGGGCGGAAGTCGATGGGAACCAGAAATTGATACCGCCAGGGAGTGTGCTTTACGCGCTCAACCCCCGCTTCATTGCCCGGCTCCCGCTTGGATGAATCTTCAACAATACCGCCGTGGCCGGAGTAGTAAATGACAAGAGTGTCGTCAGGCTGACATTTACTGATTATCAACCTCCAGGAGTCCAGTATTCCGTTCCGGGAGGCCTCCTGGTCGTAGCAAGTAGTGATCTCAAATCCCTGCTTGGCGAGAATGTCGCTCATCAGCTGGACGTCGTTTAGTGGGCCAGTCAGCCCAAACGATGGGACGGCGATGAGAAGAGCACGTTTGACAGGGGCCATCTCTGCTGTATTTTGGGGAAGATAGCTTACAAGACAAACAAATCAAAAAAATTAAGGAGGCCTTGGCCATGTACGCACAGAGAGTAGTCTGACATTGCTGCCTAACTGCCCGAATCTGACCATGATGTACTCCGTACAGAGCATCTTGCATGAAGCGAAGGGGCGGAATAAAGTAAATCCGCGTTATCAAGACAAGGAATTCAAAGATTCGATATATAAAGGATACTATGTTATTCCAGTTATGTAGTAATCGAGACACCTTGAAGAAATGAAATTACCTCAGGGCCTGCCGGCGGTGGGACTGTCTTTCGTCTGCATAACTTGATAGAAAAGCTAGTTCAAACCATCAACAATAAAGGGCCCTTTCCAGTGACTTACTCTTATTGAAGAACGGACAAACCGAAAGCATATGTGTTGCACCCTTGTAGATCCCGAACTCCATTTTCTTCATTTCATGGTACGGCTAGTTCCTAGCTCCTTTCTTGCAGATCATTCTTTCGGGTGGCCAATTCTGAAGTCTTGTTAGTACTGTTGGTTCTCTTCGAAAATAAGTTAAAGTCAATGATGGTATCACTGGTCGGCAACTCGCTCAAATGACCATATGGCAAGGATGCAAAGACTGAGTTTAGGAACAAAGCTCATTGATCCTATGGCTGTGTGGTGGAGTAAATCATTCAGCTCTTCAATCAATCATAGAAAATATGGTGCTGTGGAACGAGTTGGCTGCCTTATGAGAGGCAGAAATGTGGCACAGGTTTGCCAAGTAGTATGATCACGTCTCCTGCAGGAGTAATAGTTAAAACTTAATTACATAGCGAAGAAAGAAACAACAACCACCCTTATCACCACTGCAGTCAGAGCGGCGGGTAATATCAGATTCGCCACATCCTCGGCGTCCTTAGAACCCGGATACAGACGTTTGCAAGAGTCTGGACCCGGTAGATTCTTCTCATCTGGCCATGGCTGCTCGTCTGGGCATTCTGCGTACCTGAGCATCTCAGTATCAACCATGGTTGCCAGTTCGTGACCAGTTTTAATACTACACGGATCACCTTCCCCTTCCTGATCAGTGACCACCACACAACTTTCAGACCTCCTATCCCATACTACCTCTTTTGGTGTTGTCCTGTTGTCCAAGAACCGAGTGTGCTGGATCTTGAGGGCACAACGCCCCTTGGCTTGTAACTGGGGAGCAAGCCAGAAGGTGATGTCCAGAAGTTGGTGGACCAATATTTCCAATATCGCTCAGTCCAGGGGAGCACTCTTGGAGAATTGACAAACTCCATCCAAGCTCCCTCTCTTTAGAAGAAGTGTTGGACATGATGCCTGTAGCATTGATCACAAAGTATGGTTCTGTGGCTGGATCAAGGGACCCTGGGCTGTAGAGCCAATCTGGAGCTGATCCATAGACAATAGGCACATCCTCCTTCTGTATGCGAGTTTTCCAGTTGCCTTCTAAGCACCACTGCAGCTCGAAGCCATAGGGCCACGCCTTGGCAGCTCCAGTGAGGTCGAAGACGATGGGGAAAGGGTAGACGGGGCGGTACGTCTCATTTGGTCGAGTAAATATGAGACTGACACCAAGGTCAATGGGAAATGTTGGCGAAGGCTTCTCTTTCGCCTGCATGTCAAGAACTGCAAAGGTTCCCAAGAATATCCTAATCATAATGTCTGCATGATCTGATGGTCATAGGAGCGGAACCCAGCGGACAAACCCGAGAAGAAAAGAGAAGTTCATGCTTGCGATCCTTTGTTGGTTCAGTACTTGGTTGTGTGGGGAAAACGAAGTTTGGAAAAGGGATCGCATGGCATATTTATCTACATTCGTGCCCTAGTTCCTGCATTGACTCGGCTGGGCGGCCCGTACCATGTCACCTGGAGGTGGTTGATCAGAGACAACATCGGTCAATAAGATTGATTGCGGCGTAGGACCAACCCCGGTATTTGATTTTTCTAGGCTAAAGGTAAATGGAGCGTACGATGAGTGTTGCAGTTTGAACCAACATGCGGAAATATACATATGTTTTAACCTTTTCGACTCGCTTTGAAGTGTTGTGATTGTTTGGGAGTGGTGACCTGATTCATCTAAGTCTAGACAGCCGTTAATGATCCATACCCAGTTGGTCAATCTGACCAACGTTGAGAGCTGAGGTAGCCGACATAGGTTCCTGCAGTGCAGACGAATCATTCAGATGGTTACTTCTGATTTATCCGGAAACGTGGTGCAGTTCAATCCGGTGCCATCTTGTGATTCTCTCCCTTCTTTTTCAAGCCAGCCATGGCTCTACATCTCACCATCAGCGTCCCGGTGATAAGCCATCTATGCCTATCGCCCCAGGAACCATAAAGAGCTGAGCTTCATGGTATGAAAAGGATGATTCAATTCCGTGCGAGCTGATCCCTTATACATGGAATCCGTCTTTGGGAGACCTAATCAGATTGGTTTGTTACGATAGTTGTCCGATAAAGGTCAAGGCTGATGGAAACCATGGAATTCCTCCGTCACTGCAGAATGCGGAAACTCCAAAGAAGGTTCCTTCGATGACAGCACACACGAAGTCATCTACGACTGCCGCGTGGCAATGGCGTCGAGACGCCTGACCGAATACAGCCTGGCATGGTATCAAACTGTAACAAGTTCTACTTTGTCGAACAAGAGGATAAGTACAATGTAGTCTCCTCCAAACATGGCATAACCCTAGCCCAGTTCACGACTTGGAATCCGAAGCTCGGCACAGGCTGCTCAAGATTGTAGGCTGATGTATGGGTCTGTGTGTCTGAAATAACACATACAGCAACTCCTGCGCAGTCTACTAAGCCTACGAACTAGATCGAAACAGCATCGCCTATCCAGAGCGGTCTAACCAAGAACTGTAAGAAGTTTCATCAGGTAAAGTCTACCACGACTTGCGCCTCAATTCAGGATTACTACAAAATCACGATGGCCAATCTTTTCAAGTGGAACCCTGCTATTGGTTCGACTTGTAAGAGCTTGTGGGTGGACTATTGGGTTTGCGTCCAGCCTTAGACCTACCTTGAGTGTCTCACAATTTTACTTCTATGTATATATCTCTTTATTCTCTTGTCCCTCCTCAGTGTTTGTAATTTCACATCTTTTCCTAAATTGATATAGGATGTCACGTCACACTCACTGTCGCTTCCCGCTGAGACAAGAGGGAAGAGGAATCATGTGCCAATGAGAAGCCGCGCTAGTCCTTATCCGTTTGGTAGCTGACACTTCGCGTAACCAACATCCTGGTCCATTGGCCCAAGCTCCAAGCCCCGTCATTTGTAGGAAACACGGCTCGCAGCTTCACTGCACTTTCAAGCCCCGCATCTCCCGTCCGTTTCCCTCCTCCATCCTCAACTCTCCCCCGAATGCGATCGCTATAAATCATTCATGACATCCTTCTCATGCTCCCGCACTATCTACTCCTGTGAAGTGCCGCCCGATTGACGTCCAGCATGGACGATCTGCTCGCAATCTCAAAGTCCATCCTGGACAAGGTGCCGCGGCTCCAGGCGCTAGACAACTATTTCCGAACCCCAGAGATCCTTGCGCGGCAGCAGCGCGTCGATCAGCTTGAGGAGCTGGCCCAGCAGAATGCTAAGAGATTCCGTGAGGACACAGCTGGCAAGATTGATATTCGACCGTTCAGGATGCTCGTCCTAGAGCAGTCCAAGCTCGAGGAGGAAATCGAGAAAGACAAAGCTCGGTTTTTGCAACAGCTCCTCGACGATTGGGGCACGGCTCCGGAGGGCCTTCGGGCACTCGCAGCTTCTACATCCCAGGCTCCACAAGATACTCTCCCAGCCGATGCGACGATACCTACACCTTCGCGAGGGCCCCTACCAGCTGTTTTTATGCCTACGCCCCCAGCTCCAAAACCCCCTCTGCCGGCTAGTTCAATTCCTACACCTTCGCGCAGCTCTTTAGTCCACGATAGTCTGGAAAGCGCCGGGCCAGAACGCGATGCGACCACTGACCCGAAGGCCTCGTTGACCGACAACGCCGAACGTATCTCGAGCAGAAAGCCCCGAACCTCTGCATCACGACGAAGATCCTCCAACATCTCGTTGGAAGAGAACCGGCCCGTCAAGCGCAGTCGCCGAGGCGAAATAACACCTTCCCTTACGCCAGACCGATTTATCAAGTTCAGCGATGTCTATCAGGGTAGCGACGTTCCAGCCAAGTACAGGATTGTGCAGTTTCCGTTTCGCCAAGGAAATTGGTACATCTTGGAGTGCAAAGACTGCGATATACAGTTCCAGAGGGAGGATGTTGTTGAGGATGCATATGAACATTTCTATCACAACCACGGCCGCAGTTTTAGTACCACTGAGGAGCAGGTTGTTCAAGTGCTGGGAACCCATGTGTCGGACTGCAATGCCGAGCTCGCCGAGAAAAACAATGCGCTCTGTCCCCTACCTCTGGATCCCGATGACGATGAGACAGAACTTGATACTGGAGATGAAGAGCCATCCGAACGCCCGAAGCGCGCAAGTTCACGAAAGAAGAAAGGGAAGCGCGGGAGACGGAAGAATCCCAACGCTCATTGGGTGCCTCCTAAGTCCTTCAAGGACCTCGATCCTCGAATCATCAATGCAAAGCCTGGCGACATTGTCTGCTTGTACAATGACAGAACAAAGTTCTTTTCTCCTCTCATGATTCTCCCATGGGGCCCTTTCCCACGTCTCAATTTCGAGAAGGTCTTGCAGGACGTAGAACTCCACACAACAATACCTAAATGCTACGATGGTGCAAAACCCACGGATCTGACTCCGTCACCTTGGGCCCCTGGCTATGAAGATGATGGCGAATTGGCTCACAAGCGTAGCCTTCCGGGTCTTTTCTTTCGGCCTTCTCAAGACTTCCCACATGATTGCACGTCGGGTTGGGTCCCGTTGAACAAGCTGAAGGTTTACGATAAGAGTTGCCCTCGCACTCGGAACAAAGAATCCGTTGAAGAGTACATAGAATACGATGCAGAGTGGTGCAATGACCCATCGGCTGGGGCCATGCAGGATGAGGCGACCGCACCAGAGAGAACCCATCGGTTTCAGCCGGGAAGTCATCGAGGTCCCGAGAACAGTGTCGCAGATCATTCCGTGTCACGGAGTACAGGTAACACGACGCACCGTAAGCTTTGAGTTTGAAGCTGAGAATTTCTGTAGTTCCAAGCAGTCGACACTCGTCAGAACAGAGCAGCATTGCGCCTACGATTGAAGATGCTGGGATCAAGGAAGAACAAGAAGAGGACGACGAACAAACCGAAGAAGAATTAGAAGACGGAGAGGATAGTAAAGGTAGGGGGGAAGAAGGAGGGAAACAGGTGAGCGGTTTTCGGAGGCACTATAGAGTGGGTGTCCGTCGCGCGCACATTGTACGCAGTGTTGAGGTGGATGGGTAAGGGGAGATTGGCATATACCCCCCTGGACAGAGAGTTTATGGGATACCTGGATTGTCTGGTTTAATTGTGTGTTAGCATTCATTCAGATGGGCGTTGGCTATGTAGATACCACTGTACCAGCATGGAGAAAATTGATGGTTGACATGAACCGGAACAGGTTTACGATCTCGGCTACCCTATACCATACGTAGTTTTATTGGCTTTCACGATATTTTGTTCGGCGCTGACCAAGATATCTAAATATCTCGTTTGTAAGATGCACCACGTAATGGATAAGTACTAATTGTAGATATTCGCTCTTGTCAATATCGCTGCCTAATCCTCATTCAAGACATCATCACTCTCAGCAGGCTATCACTATCACTCATTGCCGATAAACTCACGCACCAAGCTGACTGCATATGATCGGCGAGGTTATTCTCCCGCCCTTCCAATTCTCTTCTAGCGGCAACCATTAACCCACCGACACTTCGACTCATACAGTGTCAGCGTAGCATTGTAGGGTAGTAATCACGACCGTATTGGGCCGTTTTTGCGACAAGCGCTTGATGTGACGGTGCTTGTCTTGTAAGTCCATTGGCTGCTATGACACAGACTGAATTGGCTGCTCCTTGGAACATGCCTGTAGAAGAACTGTTGCTTTTGATGTTAAATGTCGGGATATACTCGATGAACTGGGTACAGTAGCACGTCGCAACTCGGCGTCCATTTTCGCACTCACCGAGTTCCTCGTCTTTTCCAATTGGCTGATGCTCTCAGTCATCACGCTGACAGAAATTCCAAATTCTCGGGGCTGAGCCTAGCGAGGCGCAGCTCTTTACCCCCCCGCGTGGACGGACCCGCGGCGCCGGTATTGCATTGGGTGGATGATTACGTAGCTCAATTTCGAGGCTGAGAAAATTAATTCAAATCATTGTGACTGCGGTTTGAATGTGGATCTGACGACAACCACTCACAAGGTAGATTTTGAGTGGTGACGATGTAAGCTTAATTGAGAGGATGGGGGATATATAGAGGTCTAATCGCCACGCGGTTTGAACATGCTTACCTTATTGTTTGACTATAGAGAAAACCTAATATGTCTACGACTCAGCAATCACCGTCGCGTAGTGCGAATAAAACACCAAGTCCGACTTCGAATGTCAGATCGAGAAGATCGCATACAAAGTCTAGACATGGATGCTTGGGGTGTAAACAGCGAAGAAAGAAGGTAATTACATCCACTCCTCATCAATGACTTGAGTTCTAATGGGAACAGTGTGATGAGCAGAGGCCTCAGTGTACACGATGTCTCGATAAAGACATCCCATGTGAATACCCTCGTCAGAAATCTCGTACATTGAGATCACCTACCCAACAAGACAATTCATGGACTCAACTCCAGTCCCTCACCATCCCATCGCCACACTACGACCGCTCAGCAAGCGCATGTCTCTCAACATCAGGTCTCTCACCGTGCTTATCTCCCTATCTCGCTCCAAGTCCTAACTTCACCCTCCTCCCTCCAGAAATTCCCCTCCCATCTATTGATCTCGGCGCCGCAGAGCTCGAACTCTTCAGCTACTATCTCTCCCACACAGCGCGCTCTCTAGCCTACGACGACGATGATCTCTATGCTTTGCAGGTTGGCTTCCCGAACTTGGCTTTCAGAAGTAAACCTCTCATGAGCTCTATCCTCGCTCTCGCAGCTGTGCGAAAATGTCACGATTTGATATCCCAACCTTTGCAGAGGATTGACAAGAGTCAAGTTAGGCATTTGCTTGCTCTTGCGGATGAACACCATAGGGTGTCACTTCGTCAGACGAGGGCTGATATTCCAATCGCCAATCACTATGATCACGTTGTTGCGAACGCTCCTCTTATGGTTCTTTATGCAACGGCGAACCATGCTGTGAGAATTCACGTTGCAAAGACGCTGGATGAAGGGCGGAGTACGAGTATGCTGCCTGCCCAATTGCATTGGATGACGCTTATTCGCGCGGCACACTTGGCTTATACAGGTCTTTTACACTCAACGAAAGATTTCGGGTTCTTGGAGGACTTTACGGCTAGTCCGCCTGATATCACGTTGAGCAGTCAGTCAACTAATGGGTTGGTTCCTTTGGGTGAGAACGGACCTACGCCTCAAACCGAGCAACTCTTCATGCCTATCATCGCAGCGACTTCTGGCTCAGCACTGGAGAAGTTGAGAGGAAGAGCGCAGGCTCTAGAGTTTGCTGCACACTTGAAGCCATCTTGGGAGTCACCGGGTGACGACACAGAACTACAAGCTTGTCTTGTGGCTCTCGAAGCGTTGAGCAGTATCGTGAATGAGCTCTTTCAACCAGACCAGAGCGCTTATACAGACTCTCAGCAACCTGATATCGAAGCTGGTTGGGCTGCGCTGAGTCAACTCTCAGATGTCTCGCCCTGGCTCCGAAGTTATATGGCCCGCGTGACATTCTCGACACCACCCAAACCCCTCCGCCGAACGATAATGTGGTTCCTGAACCGAGTCCCCAGCGAGTTCCTTAGTATCGTCGAATCTGTTCTCGATAATATTCCCTTGAGTCCTGATAGTATTCCCGACGAGGGTATTCAGTGTGAAAGCGATGTCTCTGAGGTAACGAGACTTGCTATGGATATCTTCTCGCATTGGCTTGTCTTAGTTATGTTGTTAGATGGTGTTTGGTGGATTGGAGGTATTGGGGCTTGTGAGTTGGGCAGAATAGTGAAGTATACGAGTAGGAAGAATTTCTTTGGGGAGTATTTGGGGATGGAGATGTGGTGGCCTAGGAGTATGCTTAATATTGCTATAGAGATAGGCAGTCAGTCCTAGAGCTGGCGTGTATTGGGAACAAGGCAATGGCTCGGACTTCTTCATAATAATTGGGAATACCACGTATAGATTTCTCTTATCAAAATATAACTTTTATACCTCCGATACCGTTTCTTAACGTGCTTCATCATTCCTTGTCCGCGCCCTGACTGGCTCCATCGGGATATCCCCCACTTCGTCGGTCCTATCATCCTATCATCGAATCAGTTAGAATTCATCATATATTGTCACAAAACACACCTCTTGGATCGTGATCATGTTATCCTGGGACTCCCCTCTCCGTCTCGGCGAATGGGAGCTAGAACGTCTTGTATCGTCTTCAAGCCATGGCCGTGTAGCACCGTCCTCCACAGAAGCCTGACTATAGTTTGAAGCAAATTCATAATGTCCGTCATCTCGAGATCCGACTGGATGAAGAATAGAGCCCATTTCCGCTCTGGAAGACGAATGGAATCTCGAGCTTTTTGGTTGGAAGTTGGGCGAGGCAAAATCAACAGAGGCATGGTGGTTAATGGACGGTGATGCGTGATCTCGATATTCGAACGTTGTGATCTTTCGCATAGCTGATTCTGAGATCCTGTCAAGGACGCTCTTGAAATCATCCAGGAAAATGACATCAGAAGCACATTTGAAAACCAATGCGAGCTAAAACATGTTAGAGAGTGGCTTGAAGGAAGAACAAAGAAACTCACCCTCCAAAACGGATTGATCCCCCCTCTTTTCGACACGGCAACCATGAAAATGACATCAGTGATCAAAAACACGATGGACAAGAACAAAGAGAACAACATGATTCCAAATCGTGGGCTTGTTCGAATAAGACCCGGGATCGTAAACTCGTAGTTCTCGTTGATGGCCAGAACCAGTTTGATAGTTGTAAATACCCACCAGGGGTCTCTGAAGAGTGGTTCGAGAAGTCGTGATGTGTTGAACATTTTGCTACCGAGATGGTTGTGATATTGAAAGTTGGCCCATGTTTCGAGAACCCAGTAGGGTTGGACGATGAGAAGTGAGATGATGAAGACACGTGCTCCCCATTTTGGGAGGAATGGGCGGATTTTGAGCCATGCGATGAGGTTATGGATGAAATATGAGATATATAATAGAGTTGCCGTGCTGCTGAGGACCCTGCTTCATGTTAGCAGCGTAATGCATGGTGGATCAACGCAATACTACCATCCATATTCAGGTTTATCGAAGAAGCAAAAGAACCCATGTCCAAGTGCAAGAAGAAGCTGTCTGCGATTAATCGACATTCAATGGCGGAAAACACAGGGATTAATTACTTACCTCACCGAGAATAAGCTTATGCAAAAGCGTATTCTTGCGATAATTGCACAAAACCAACAGAAGCAGAATAATCACCGCCCCGACATTGAAACCCTGACTCCACGCCTCTAAAACCTGCTGCGCTCTCGTAGTGACATCGGGATTTGGCGCCATCGCGACATTTTTGTTGTAGGATCTGGGGCTGTCAGCAACAAAAGGGGGATGGAATGCGGCTGATTATAAGGTAAAAAGCGCAACGTCATGATTATCCAACGTAAGGCAAGGGTTTGGTTTGCTGTGGTGCCAATGCTTGGCTCGAATCAAAGAGGCGAGAAAGATGCTGCCTGGACATGGGTTGTTCTGGGCTGTGGGCACCAATCATGTTATGTTATGAGATGGTGTGTGAGATTGTCTGATGGGTTTGGGGTTGGGGTAAGTTGAGTGGTGAGACTAGGGGACGTTGGGCGGGTAAATGAGGCTGAGACGTTGGAAAGTCAATTGAACAAGGATTATACGATGGCTGTCCTTTGGAGTAGTAAGACGCGTGACCTCGAATGAATATGTGAAGAGTAAATAAATATCCTGAAGAACCACTTTTTTATACTAAACTTATCCAATTCTTTGCAAAATTTAGGATAACTTTCCCAAGTTTAGACTATTCATTAAAGAGAACCCTTGTGATATTCGCCTATTGTACTTTGTATAACTAAAGTCTCTGTGCTGATTTTGAGATATCTACAGAGCATACTTGAACAATGGGCTCTTCTCTCCCATACGAACAAGATCGTCATCCGTATATCTCTGCCGGATCTCTTCCTCAGTCATCTTCGCCTTCTTAGCATTGCCTCTCTTCAGAAGAGTCTCCAGCAACAAAACTGCAACAACGCCAGCCAAGCCAAAAGCCAGAGAAGTTCCGTAACCGGTCGGGTAACGGGGAGCTTCACGCGCGAGGTAGATGTAAGAGCCGATGAGGCCGCCAATGTTGCCGACACAGACGAGAAGGCCAATGTTGACGGATCGCTTGGCGGGATCGGGCGTGTTGGCGACATTCCAGGCGTTGACACCAGGAAGGATGGGATACATGCTGGTAATCGTTAGCGATTGACTACGAGGATGGTGGATGAGAACTTACCCGAAGCATGCGAGACAGACGGCAAAGTAACAAACAGCAATGTTGTCCTCGATGTTGCTGGACTTGACAAACAAGATGATAAAAGCAACAACAAGGCAGCATTGAGGTCCCAAGATGAATGGAGCGCGCCATGAGTACTTATCCGCAAAGATGGCAAACAAATAAGCCGAAATAGCTCCAATAGCATAAGGAGGGATAGTCATCAACTGCGCATCAGAAGACGTATATCCCATACCTGTCAGGATAGTAGGCATAGTGAACTTCATAGCATAGTTGGGCACCGCATTCGACCAGTTGGCAAAGAACAATAGCCAAATCTTGTAGTCCATAAGAATATCCTTGAACAGACGGAGATTAAAGTGGTCGTTCTCCTTGTAGTCCATCGGGACTGTAGCCCGACGGGCAAGCTGTCGGAGTTCAAGATATCGAATCTCATCGGCGTCGAGCCAGCGTGTGGAGAGGGCTGGCGAGTCGCAGAGGAGGAAGACGCACATTATGGCGACGACGACGGTGAAGAGTCCTTCAATGAGGAAGATCCAGCGCCAGCCCTCCAGACCTGCCATGCCGTCCATCTTGGCGATGGCGAAGGCTAGTAGGCCGGAAAAGGCACCGCCTGTTGCAGCTGATGTGTAGAGGATTGCGATTCGGGTTTGCGTCTCGTTGGGGAGGTACCAGTTTGAGATGATGAGGATTGCACCAGGGAGGAAACCGGCCCTGTTGAAGTCAGTATGTGATCACAGTACAAAAGATTAGCGGGATTAAGGGGACTCACTCAAAAATACCAAGTAGGAATCGGATGGCCAAAAGTCCAGCGTAGTTCTGGACCAAAGCAGTGAGAGTCATGATAACACCCCAGCAAAAGACGATGCCGCCCATGTACCACGATGGTCTCTTGAACTTGTGGAGGATCATGTTGGAAGGAACTTCGCAGAGGACAAAGGGGATGAAGAAGATGGCGGTGACGATGTTGTATTCGATGCCCTTGAGGTGCAAGTCAACAGTCATGCCTTCAATCTTTGCATTTCCTACAGATGTTAGCCATTGGCCCTTTTGAAGAATATTAAATGAAGCATACCAATGTTGGTCTTGTCCAAGTATGCGATAAGATATAGGAGAACAAGCATGGGAATCAATCGCCACTGATCTGCGTAAGTAAGGAGAAGTACTGATTGGATGAAAAACTTACATCGACTTTTCGAATAATAGCCTTCTTCCTCCCCTCGGGAAAGTTATTCAAGAAATCAGCATCTTCTTGAGATAAACCACCCTGGGCATGCTCATTATGCATGATCCCGGACTTTTCATCACGCGAAAACTCGCGTTCGATATCTTGAGTCTGAGTTTCCATTGCGAGCTGATATCTTCTTGAAAACAATGAGAAGATGTCTGATGAGAAAAAGAGGAAGAAGATCAAGGTCCTAGAGGTAACTTTATATCCCAAATAGGATGATTCAGCTGAGTGTCATTGTGAAGGAGAACAGGGAAATTTCAAGAATTCTAGTCATGGTCCCAGAGTCTGGGGTTGGATTGTGGAGTTGCAAAGTCCGGGGATGCGGGGGATGAGACCATGTACAAAACTAGTGACGAATCGACGAATGAGAGGCATTTCCGGGGTGAGCTAGTAGAATATGGGGTCATGAGTGGAAATTGAGTTTGTCAGGCTGGAGAAAGAATCCGGACATGCTCGGAAATCAAGAATACGCTTCTCAAAGTGGTGATGCTTGTGAATCAAGACACCTCGGATTCTCGGATTCTATCGGGGGGATTGTCGTCAAGTTGGTGAATTCGCCTTCTGAACATGAGGCCGAGGCGCGAGATGGAGACTTCTTTTAGATATATAAGAAGACGATAAACTTCAATGGAAGAGAAATAAATCATCACATCAATCAACAATCACAACCACAACAACAAGAGCAATCTTGAACATTCATAAACACCTCTCAACCACACTTGGACACTTCAGAGTCTCACAACCAATCACAATGTCTTTCGATCTCAAAGGCCTCGTCCCCGCCCCCGTCACCCCCTTCACCAAGGACGGCAAAGTCGACTACGACGCCATCCAGCGTCTGGGTTCTTGGCTCGGCAGCATCGACGGCGTCAAGGGTCTCGTCGTTCTAGGCCACGCCGGAGAAGGAACCTTCCTCACCCAGCAAGAACAGGTCGACACCATCAAGGCCTTTGTCAAGTCCGTCGACAACAAGATCCCCATCATCGCTGGCATCACCGGCGAGGGCACTGAAGTCGCCGCCCTAGAGGCCAAGCGTGCCAAAGAGGCTGGTGCCCAGGCTGGTCTCCTGTACCCCTCCCACGGATGGCTGCGTTTTGGATACCAGCCTGGCGCGCCTCAGGATCGCTACAAGGTCGTCTACGAGGTCTCGAAGCTGCCTCTGATCTTGTTCCAGTATCCTGATAACACCAAGGCTACATACAACCTCCAGACTCTTCTCGACATTGCGGCTCAGCCTGGTGTCATCGCCATGAAGAACGGTGTTCGCAACATGCGACGCTGGGATACCGAGATCCCTGTCTTCCGCCGCGAGCGGCCCAACGTTCCCGTCCTCACATGCCACGACGAGTACCTTCTCCACACCGCCTTTGACGTGGACGGTATGCTTGTCGGATACGGTGGTATTGCCCCTGAGCCTCTTCTGGAGCTGATCAAGGCTGGCAAAGCTAAGGACTACGCCAAGGCGAGGGAGATCCACGATCTTCTTCTTCCTGTCACCAAGGCTGTTTATCACCGGGGCTCGCATATGGAGGGTACTGTTGCGCTGAAGCATGCGCTTGTTGCTAGGGGTATTCTGTCACATGCTACTGTGCGATCACCTTTGTTGCCTCTTCCTGATGGAGCTGAGGAGGAGATTCATGCTGCTATCTCATCGGCGACTCTTAAGAAGGTTGCGTAAATTTGGATTTGAAATTGGAATAGCATAGAGCTTGTATTGTAGATTTAGAACAAAAGAATCTCATATCATCTGTTAAACAGCTTCTCATCTGTGATTTCTACTCAAGACTGCTAAAGAGACTGACTAGTCGATAACAAAATTGAATTAGAATGGCAATCGCCTGGTATTCTTGTTTACATCTTTTAAAGGCTTTAGAAGTCATAATATTGTTTCCACAAGATGTAAGAGCGTTGGTCATAGAACCGTTGGCCTTGAGATTGGCCATCGACATCGGATTTCCAACAGCTCAAGAACCAGCTGAACAGCCCGAATTCCAGTACAATACATCAACTCCGAATTTCAGTTTCAACGATCCCCAGATCCGACCCAAAAACACAGATCGCCTGACGAACATACCACAAAGTTCATCCCGCAGCTGTAGTAGCCTTAGGTTAGTCAGAGCCTGGGGTCATAGAAAATCCGGGGCAACTAGCTCACCCATGCTCTATAATATCCGAGCTCCCCGCACTCTCCTCCTCCACATCTCGGATTCCTCCCCCTTCAACCTCGGAAACCCACCAAAATGACCACCCCAGTAACAACAACACCATTGTCCGAAGCATCAACGGCCACAAATCCAGTCAATCGGTCAAAACGTGTTCTGCCTCTATCGCCAGACACTACCCGCGAGTCCGAGAACCGTCGGAAAGCCTCCAAGGTGAGTTGTTTTGCCCAAAACGGATTTATGTACTTTTTCTTACAGGAAGTAGGTTAGCCGAGCCTGTGATCACTGTAAACTCAAGAAGCTCAAATGCTCTGGAACTCTCCCCTGCGAGGGTTGTGTGAAAAGACGGCTGGACTGTCAATATGACTCGCTTTATCGAAGAGGAAGGCCACCGACGCCGCCTACCGTCGGACCACAGCGAGGATCTATGAGTTCTGCTCCTCCTGATACCAATCCCGAACAAACGAGCTCAAGATCCACGTCACAGGGAGACTCTGGCCTTGAGACTGCAGAGATTGAGGGTCAGTTCTTCGACCCCACGTCGAATCTGACTTTTGTGCATCGTGCGTGGAAGAGATTGGCGCAGCAGACGCAGCAAACGGAGTCGAGGTCTGGAGTCTTGACAGGTGCGGAAAACCTACAGCCTCTTATGTCTGCGGGTGATAAACCCTTTACTTTAAGGGGTGACTCGAGCTTGATGTTTGTCAATCAGCCAGAAGCCTTTGAGCTGTTCAACTACTATTTCGAGAACTGCGTTGTTACATACCGTGTTCTGAACATACAATACTGTCAGGTATGGTTCGAAGCTGTCATCAACAATGTTCATAACGGACAGCCGTTAGACACAGGCATTGGTCATGCAAAAGCCGCGATAGTGGTCAATATTCTCGCTATTGCGAGTTTTAGACAGCACAGAATCTCGGAACAGGCCTCACTGCCAGGCGGCGTGTCTATAATGTCACAGCAGAGCGAGCAGTACTTCCTCCAAGCATCTGAGCTCACTGCCCAAGAGACTGGCCTACCTCGACTCGAATCAGCCCAGGCGCGAGTTTTACAGGTTCTCTATCTCTTGCAAACATCTCGGATGAACCAAGCCTGGTATGTCTTTGGAAACACTGTGCCCATCGTCACGGCGCTTGGTCTGCATCGGAAGTCGACGCAATATCGGAATGGAGGTCGACAGCCTACTGACTACATCATATCTGAGTGTCGGAAGAGAACGTTCTGGGTTCTGTATACCATTGATAAATACCTAGCTGTTGTTTTTGGCAGACCTCGGTTTTATCATGATAACGATGTCGACCAGGAGCTCCCTGACAGTGTCAACGATGAGGACATGACACCGGAAGGACCGTCACCACTGGAGCCCGCCATGGACTGCCATGTTGACTCATTAATTTTTCACGCGAGGTAAGGCAATCCCACAACAGGATACGTCTAGCGTTACTCATAACCTATCAGGATCGCAATAATCATCGAAAATGTATCACGGCAAGTGTATTCACTTAAAAAGATGCCACCCGAAGAACGCCTTGCCGCAGCCCAAGGCTTCATCCAACAACTCCACGAATGGCGTCAAGCTCTTCCTCCGCACCTCGGTACCGTTCGTCCTTCGAGCTTGATACCGATATTTTCTCGGCAGGCCACTGCTCTAAAGCTCGCGTACTGCCACGCTGTAATGCATACGACACGACCATTCCTTCTTGACCATTCAGAAGATTGCAGTCCTGCCCTACAAGCATGCGTGACGCAGTGTATAAGCGCAGCCAAGCTTGCACTAGAAATCGTCGACGGCATGTTTTCAGAGAAATCAGTCTTATTTCATGCCTTATGGTGGATGCCTTATGTAACCTTCTGCGCACTAGCAGTGGTGTACGTATGGGATATTCAACAAAGGAGCAACACAACCGCTGATCCTGGTAATGCACTGCTGTTCGACCTTGCAGAGAAATGTCAGAACCACCTGGCACGAACTATTGCTGCTGAGTCCGCTAGTCGAAGATACAGCATCATCATTGAGGAACTACGACAAGAAGCAAGACAAGGACCACAGCATGCTACTAGGCCATCGCAGACGATTCAATGTCAGCAAGAGTCACTCATCTCGAGTGAACATGAGTCGGGCACGAGTATAGATGAGTTGGGTTCCATGTTTGACGATCAGGATGAAACGAGTTCGGGGTTGCAGTCTATTATGAATCCATTGAGTCAGTGGCAGCCGACTGACTGGTTGGATCTTGACTCGTCGGTAAGTATTATTCGGATGTGTCGACGTGGCTTGCACTAATGATTATGATAGGCCTTCACTTTCTTCTCTCAGCTTGAAGACTCAATGCTTTATTAGTAATGCCCAAGTTCATCCCTCAGTTTATGTCATCACCTCTCTCTGCCCTAAATCACTAGATAGGCTGGTAGGATGCTATGGAACAGAGTAAAAACAAATCTGGCGTGTCTCTTTAGACCTTAAACACATCGTTGCTTTATGATGAAGGCTCTTTGCTCTGAACTACTTTATCCATATACTCATGGAAGAATTCAAGGACCCGTGGACAGTCAGCTCTCTGGACCCTCTCAGGCTGCATCATTTCCTCTTCAACAAAGGCCAGAAATTTCACAACGACACCTGGCATCGTCTCGTTCTGTACCTGCGAGATGAGCTTTGCAATCCACTCATCTCACATGTTAGTTGATTCGCCCTAGCAAAACTTTGAATAAACATACCTGAGATACGCTTGGCTTCAGTTTGGGAATACTCACTGAACGAATATCTTGAGAGTCCACCATCCAAGTGTTGCTGTTTACCCGCCGTCCCCGGCCGTGTAAGGATAAACGATCTGTAGTAACTTCGCAATTACGGTAAATGTTGGAAAGAGCTACTCTCTTAAGTCTTCCTATTTTCCTCTTTTTCGCTCGCGACAGATGGCTCTTGTATTCTTGTAAGTCGGTATTCACCAACCGATCCATGTGGGAGAATAGCCCAGGAGAGAAATTTTGAAAAGACACAACCCATGGCCCATACATTAACCTAGGTGATGCACCAACGTCTTAGCAGCGATAACTTGAATATATGAACAGTGAATAACGAAATTTACTTAACTTGCATTTATGCTATTCACTTCAGAGAAGTTAATTAAGAAAATGAGTTTCAAAAGTATTATACCAAACTCAGTGGTACCTACTTGGGATTACTCCTTTGATTGTCGTGATGCATCTAATGTGTTATTTGCAGTTGAGACTTGTGGCTGAGAACTTAAATCAACAAAGAGGACTCAGTTAAATTGCTCACACTTCTGTTCCCATTCGTAGCATATTGCAGCCCCTTCCTTTACCTTTCGATGTCCATATACCCGCATTCCTCAACCTGATTTATGTTACGCTCAAGAGAAAAGTTAGAGCAAGGGAATTGAAAAATAAGAGGTAGCCACAAAACTCCAGAGAACCTAGACTAGGCAGGCAAAACGTGACCTCTGTGGAAGGTCTATCCTGACTTTAGGATAGTTTATCCCCTACCAACATGAACAGAATTATGATTTAGGACTAAGGTCTTGGACTTTTTCCTGTCTCCTAGGCGCTTTATTATTTTCTGTAAACTCATTTCTGCTCTGTTATTGATAGATTCCATACATCCTTTGTAACATAATAAGGCTTCATGGCTTCGGTAATGACTTGATCTTTTGCAGCTAGATGCCCATAACGCGCCAGCTCGTCCTGAACCACTTTTTGGATACTTATTTCACCATAATTCGATAGCTAAAGAAGTAATTTCTAGACACTAAAGTGTAGCACAAGAACGAAGGTGCTCCGGCCCAAGTGACCAACCATGATTGAGAACTCTTTGACATCGCCATGCACGTCACAACGCAGTTGAAGTCGTACTTTCGATGTAAAACACCAGCTTGAACTTCCCCATACTTCAAACCATTTTCATTAAAGCTACCCATTTCGCGCATGTCATTGAGCCTGTCCGTGTACCCTGCTGACTATACAGGGGAGGGATTGAGTCATTCGCTGGTATCGTATTGCTTTGCGATGATAAAAGCCGAGGTCGACTAAGGTCTTGCATCCAACGTCCAATAATTGAAGTCGTAATTGATTCAGGCTTTTATTGGTTTACGTGTGCTCGAGACACTTGGTGCGGTACTTTTGACGACTTTTGGTTGCCTACGCGTATATGGCGCCTGAAATTGCGGGCAGAACCCCTCAATTACGAAGAGTATGAGTCTACGCGTCGAGGATGCCTTCAACAGACCCATTTTCAGACTGCGTTATGTTGAAGTAGGTTTTTCTTAACTCGTCTACTTAAGGATGCAACAGGCCACCAATCTCTAGGTACTTATCCCATCAAAAAGCCTCATTGGTCCCATCTCATCACTACGAAAATGTCTCAATTAACACTTTATACTGACAGCCGGTTCCCTTGCCCTCAAAGACTGCAATTGGTAATTCTTGAGTTGGGTCTCAACATCACCAATATTCATGAGGTGGACATTATCAAACGTGAGCAGCAGGTACGTGATGCTGATATTGTCTCTAAAAACAGGCGCTAATAGTTTGTGCCACTGTGTTAGAAGCCAGAATTCCTCGAAATCAACCCTTTCGGAGCTGTCCCGTGCCTCCAGGACCACTCGCATGATCCAGTCCTTGTTCTGACCGAGTCGCGCGCTATTGCTCGATATCTCGCGGATCGATATGGCGGACCGGACAGCAAACTCATACCCGATGGCGAAGTTGCAAAGGCCAAGTTTGAAGAAGCCGCATCCATCGAATTGACGTCTTTCGATGCTGTTGCTAATCCATTGGCCTTCGAAGCCTACTTTAAATCGTAAGTAGCCCTGCCGAGGCGACGAAAAGAAGCTGACAGCTCCTGGCAGGCAATTCATGAGTCAAGAGCCCAAGGAGCAGGTCGTCAAGGATCTTAAGGTGAAACTTGAACGAGTTCTGAGACTCCTTGATCAAAAGCTCAACACACAGCCTTTCATGGCTGGCGAGGTTAGTATGTTTGCAATTTGACTCTTGTAGCAAGGCAGCTGACATGCATAGACTGTGACACTGGCGGATATTTTCTATGTCCCGTATATGCACTACCTGCAGGATGGAGTTTGGCCTACCCTTCTAGAGGCTCATACAAATCTACTTACTTGGTGGAGCCGGATGAAAGCTCGAGCGTCTTACCAACAGATTTATGCGGATGGCAACAACGGGATCGACGATGCTTAGATTTTGATATTATTATTGGATAGGTAATTTATCTTAATAATATCTCTCTATTATCTACATTCCTTTATGGGCATAAAAGCTTCATTTAACTCCTCCACCTTATACTGGTATTATTACTGGCAAACTCAAAGTTGACATGTATTGATTAATTGATAATACTTTATAAGTCAATTACCCAGTTTCTGTACACCTTTTATCTACAAAACTATCAAAATAGTCGAGAATACTCTCACAATCAGCTCTATCTTCCCTCTCTGGATGTAGCATCTTGTCCTTGATGAATTCTAGAAGTCTTGTGAGTAATGGTGGTCCTTTCTTGCGACAATCCTCGTGCTCGAGTTTTGCAACCCACTTGAGGCAGTTAAATGAGACACAATTCGAATTGAATAACGCAAGACTCACGTACATGTGATACACTGGGCTTCAGCCTCGGTGTCTGAGTCTGGTTGATCTTGTTGGAATAAGTAGATGGTTGTTTGGGTGTAAATGGAGTGAAGGGAGCTGATTTGAGAAACCGCTCATGTTGGTTGATTTCATTTGGAAGCAATATATATTCGAGTTTGTCCTTCAGCCTATCGCCTTCAAGCCCAGTGATTTTCAAGTCTTCATGCATTATTAGGTTGTCAATTGCGGCTGGAATTCTTGAATGTTTGGATTTTGTTTCTTTGTGTATTATGTAGAACCTTTATGCTATCTGAAAGCTCGTTTGTGCTCTGAATCAGGACTACTTGACATTGATTTAGAGCAGTTCTTCATGGCTGTCCTGTAATGAGCTGATCTGTGTGCGCTGAAATCCATGACTTCCGATAGCGAATCACTGCCTTGTCCGTTCCCTTTTCAGATCAACGTTAGGTCGTAGACTTGTAGTGTTGTTTCATGTGTTCTTGGATTTCTTCGACTTCATTCTGAGAAACGTGATTAGTATTCAATCCAGAGATTGGCAAGAAAACCAACCTTGTCCAGTTTCCTAGGAATCATGATCTGCCATTGGTTGCCAGACCGCTAGTAGTTGTCAGTATTTGGTAAGGTAGGCAAAGGATTGAATTTCAAACCTCTACTATCTCATAGTTGCCACTCCCAAAGTAATCGTCAAGCTTTTGCTTGAGCCTCTTCTTGTTTCCGTACTCGAGAGCCAGAAATTGCTGGATCATACTGGAAAGAAGCTTCGTTTTGCACAATGATATCGTGATGGGTACTGGGTGGTGATTTGAAAAGCCTTGGTGTTTGTTTAACAAGGAGTGCAGCGATGGAACTCTCGATCTCTTGTGGACTGTGGTATTGTAGTGGGAGATTGCTGGCTTGGTGCTCTGAGTTAATTGTTGCTCGCGTGAAAGCTTTTATGCCCTTGGAATGATCGTGAATGCTCGTGAATACTCTCTGTGAATGTTGTCTGAACACTACTTCGCGCTCTGAATACTTTCCAATTCATTCTGAACCAATGCCAATCCTTTGTGAATCCATGCCAATTCCCTCTGAATCCATGTCCATTCCTTGTGAACACCTGTATATTCCCTCTGTGAATACTTCTCAATTCCCGCTGAACATATGTCAACTCCCTGTGAATACTTGTCAAACACCTCTGTGAACGCTCTCCCAGTGCCTTCTGTGAATAATGTTTCAACGCTACTTTGCGCTCTGAGTACTTTCATAAAATTATGTGAATGCGTACTGACGGATGCCTTCTCTCTGGATACGTTGGCTAGAGTAGGAAATACTAAGTGCTGGGCATGTGGCTGAATTATTCTCAGACGACACAGCTGGCGATCGTCATGAAGGTAATACACTTTTCTCTGTCTTACGAATTAATCAGGTTCATCAGGTCAACATAGATGTGATGGAAGAACAACGATGCTTTGGTGTTTTGCTCGCAACTGATCGAGAAACTTTGTAGTAGTATAAAATTTAGAGGAACATTGAGAATTCTTTATGTTTAATATTATGCGGCTAAGAACTGGCATCGTAGTATATAAAATATAATCTCTTATTACTGCCTCAAAGATAATTTCACTATTCTCAACTCCTCCCCGTAATGAATCAAGCGAGATCTTGATCATCACCGACTATGGATAAGGTTGCTCTCAAGGTACAGATATAAAAGATGGACATAGTAAAGATAGTTAAGCCAACAGCAACAACGACATAAATCCAGAAATATGGCGACAATATCTCGGTTCGTTCCCCGTCTTCCCTAGTCCACTGGAAAAATCCCATCGAGAAGAACGTCTGCGGCTGTTAGAATTTGAAGGAAAAAGTGCCAGCAAGCTTACAGAGACAAAGGTTGCAGGAAGGAAGACCATGCCCAGCATTGCAATAGACTTCATCAGACTACCATCAAGGCGAGTCATTTGCGCAACCTCAAGACTTACGCGAGAGATTTTCTGGTTGGTTCTTGCGTCTTTACGGCCAATGTTGTTCAGTTCCTATCTCAGTTTAGCTTCAGAGGTTGAATCATATTGCGTGACGATGCACGGCACAGCAAAAGCTCAGCGGGTACTGTTTTAGTACCTACCAGTTGTGTTGCCAAAGTCAGGCCATCCATAATGTGTGTACATTGTCTAATATACTCGTCATATTCCTCAACGAGGTCCTGAATCCTCGTCTTCAGTCTATCGCCCACCTCCCGCAGACAACGAGATCTGCTCTGGTTCTTGAGGTCTTCGTCTGCAGATTTAACGCCGTAATCAGAACCATTCAGTTGATGAATTTGATCGATCATCTTGCGGAGCTGGGTCTGCCAGTTCTGGAGCCCAATCCTCAGGAAACTAATGTTTTGCCACAAAAGGACGGCAGGCTCTTGCTCTTCTTCTGTCTGACGTGAGTTTGTCTTTGGAGGGGGAACAGTCTTGGCAGCCTTTGAGTGAATGAGTTTTGATACCAGTCGAAAGTACGACGCCAAGCATCCTTCCTTTGCCAATGGCAAGCCATATACGGATTTGTTCTCCTTGTTGTTCGAAGAGTTCTCGTCATTGTGCAATGCTGGTAGGTTCGGGGAGGCTAGGTCATGAATTCGCTGAACAAATTGTGTCAGACACCTCCTCACTGTACCAATGTGCCTCTCCCTCTCGAATCCTGCGAAGATCACTGGAAGAACCATCGGGTGCAGTACGTCTCCGTCAAAGTTTTCCAGCTGACCGCAGATAAGCTCAGAATCTGTGATTAGATCTCCGTGAAACTTGCGCTTCGACAAGTCACATCCATACCAAACGGCGTTAGTTGTCAAGGTTCCAGGAAAGAATGTCACAGAGAGGGCCATATCCCCATCCCAAGAAGCGGAAGTCCGGCAATTGTATACTAGAGAAAAGTAAGAATCACATTTATGAAGGTCTGACAAAACAACTCACTAATAGATGGAATGGCCGCATTCGTAAGATTCCACGTAAACGGAATAGTAACGAAAGCACAGCTTGTATTGCGATTGATAGCCCTCACAATAGACCCATGAACCTTGAGCTTGTTCATTATCGTCTCGAATCCCGTCTGCGTGAACGGGAGCTCGTCGAGTGAGTCGGTTTTTGAGGCCATGATCAAATTTATGCAAGAGGCTTCCTCATGCTGACCCTCGGGGTCAATACTCTCAAAGGATTTCAGTAATAATCATACAATAGAGGAAAGATTGCTCACATCTAACCATTGGCGGATGTCATCCTCACTCGCAAGGAACCGCCCATTTGCATGCTGATTGGGTCCGTTTCTAGAGGTGAGAGAACAAAAGTTGTTCGAATGGGGGATCTCAAATGGTCTCGAAATTTTGAATGCTTCGCTAGGTCGTGGTGAAAACTCGAGCAAGCTCCAGTCATGTGTATGGAGCTCCGACCTTCTTGTGATCCATGACATATTGGCAGAGGGGTTTCGGTAGACCAGCCCGAGTTTTCGACTGCGTGGCAATGCTTCTGGGCAAAGTCGGTGGTTCCCAAACTTGTCCGACGGCGGATTATAAGGCTACACTGAAACCGAATAATGGCAGCTCAATCTGATGAGAGAGGTGACACCATAGCTCATCAGGAACTTTGGCGTGGTACAGAAATTTCGGAAACATATTCACGAACCTCGCTGTCCCAACCAACAGTGTTGCTCTCAGCCTTCGTGTCACAGCCCTCGTCTCACGAAGCCACTGGTCTTTGATTATGTGAGTAAGGTCCTTACGAGTAGGTGACACAAATGATTGGGCGACCAAATGCAACAGCTTGCTTATGCGGTGTGCCACCTAGAAAATTCATATGCTTGGGTGGTGGAAGTCTTCCGGTGAGCCCTTTTTTTTCTGAGCGAGGTTGCACGCTGTTCGCGTCCTACGTATCCGTGGTCCTCTAGTTACACGACAAACAAAGGTGCTATTGTATGGTTCCTAAGCGATAGAACAATCCGTGGGGTTCTTGTGACCAGTCCCTCACTGCTGTAAGACCAGAAGTCTCGATATAAGATCACAGGTTGGATCCCCTACAGAACAAACCACGCACTCACGGAATCAGTTTCTTGAACGTAGCGGTAGCAATGACACAGGACTCAGCAGCTGATGAATCTATAGGTGCTACGATGAAGGACCGTCTCGAATATGCGTTGCTGCCAAATGGAATCCGTCAGCAAGAGCAGTTTCTCCCAGCCGGTTCCCTTGAGTCAATTTGTACCGAAGTAACTGTATTTACTGAGCTTTCTAGGTACTTCGACGAGGAAGAGACTAAGCAAGTTACGTCCTATATATGCGACCGAAGAAAACCTGCCAAGAAGATATTTGCTATCTTAGCACTCATAAACCGCATTGAGTTAATCGAAACCTTCCGAAATGCGACGTTTATTGACGAAGACTTGCCGCTCGCAAAGAACATTGAAGAGTCGGAATTACGATCTCGCCGGCCAGACGATCAGCGTGCCGTCCTGCTTACCAGGAGCCTACGAGACATCAAGGCCATACGCGACTTCAACCTCAAACAGTGGTGGGTGAATATCCCCTTCTTTGACAAGGGTATCAATCAGACCTATGGGTATCTGGTGTTTGATTCGGATACAATTATGCCTTGGGAATCTGCTGGGCACAGCATCGTCACTGGAGGGTATGGGTTTGTTCAGAAGGTCAAGATTCACAAAGACCACCATTCTTTCGTAAGTTGATTACCGACCGAATGTACGCAACAAACTGACATCCAGGAGCCAGGACATAAAGGTTTTGCATTAAAGACTATACTGCCAGTAAAGGAAAAAGCTCGAGGTATTTTCCAGAAGGAGTTAGTCGCTTTTCGCAAGGTCTGTCCCAGACCAAATCTAGTGGAGCTCCTCTCTGCTTTCGAGATATCGGGAAAAGATCAGTTTATGCTTTTGTTCCCCTGGGCAGAGGGAGGTAGCATGGATGACTTGATGAACCAATCGTCAAAGGATCTCTTCATTTCTCTGCAATTGCCACCAAGAGACTTTGTTCAATGGATCACATCCCAATGCCGTGGCTTGGTTGAAGCTCTTGGGGAAATCCACCAAGCCAATATCGTTACTGGGTCTGCTGAGGAGGAAGCCTCCAAAAGCCAAGTTAAGAACTTCGGGATACACCTTGATATCAAACCGACCAACATTCTATACTTCTCTCAAGAAACAGCCAACCATCCACTTGGAATTCTCAAAATTGCAGATTTTGGTCTCACCAGGTTTCACAGTCAATCATCTCGAACAAGAAAAAGTCGATCTACTGCGTATAGATGCTCGCAAGAATACCGTTCACCCGAACATGATATTGGGTATATCATCTCTAGGAAAGTCGACATATGGGCACTTGGCTGCGTCTTCTCTGAACTCTTCACCTGGATACTTCTTGAACATAAAGCACGTGAAGAGTTCCGTCAAGCAAGAAAGCAAGATGCCTTATTCTCAGGAGACTGGAACTACATCCAGAATGGCGAAAACGACATTGAGGACAACTTTTTCCAGAGACATATCGAGATGAAGGGTACGAAGACTTTTTATAGGCTACTACGAGATCATCCGAAGATTGGACACGTCAAGCAAACCTGGGTTGCAAGAAAAGAGAAAGCAAGATTGGATCAAGCAAATTCCTCTGCTAGCTCCAGACAGTTCAAGCAGATACCAAGGCTCAAGCCCAGCGTATCACAGGTATGTACCTTACACTACATTTGATTTTCATCTCCATAGGCTAAAGCTTAAAGTGGATTGCAAAGCTTGTAAATGAAATACATTGTAGGAACGGGCCGACCTTTCTTGGAAAGTTCTTAAGGTTCATTGAGAAGGAAATGCTGCACCCAGATAGGATATGTCGAGCTGATTGTGATAGGATTCTAAGGTATCTTGACTAGTGTATAGATATTAGGGTAAACAGAGACTGGAGTATAGACCTCTAAACCTATTACAGGCATTATGAGCATTTTATTGTTTGGAGTTTACTAAGTATTACAGTTAAGAAGGATTTAAATATATCTATTAAAAGGAATCCACAGCATAACCTTAATAGTAAACTTAAAAAAGGCTAATTAATATTAATAGTATTTAATTATAGGTATTAAATATAAAGTATCTTTAAGGCCAGTCTATTACGGATTATTTATAGTATATTTATAATATAGTTTATAAAAAATAATATATTAAAATCTTAATATATTATTTATTATATTATATTAACTTTTAAGATATATATATTCTAGCCTATATACTTATATATAATAAAAGAAATAAAATAGGTAATATTAATAAAAGTATAAAGCTGTATATAGAGAGATAGATCTTATGTAAACTAAAATTAGCATGAATGAAAAAGTTGGACGAGGAGGGAATTGAACCCTCGACCTTTCGCAGGTGCACAAAGATGCGAAGCGAACATCATACCCCTAGACCACACGCCCTAAGTATACTTGCCGAAAAACCTTGAATAATTATATACTGTGCATCTATGTCCCTGCTCAACAACTCTGATCACACCCTCCGGAACATCAGCCTTAACCAAAACATGATCTTCAAATGCTACCCTACAAGCCAACGAATTTTTAAACAACTGCAGATCCCTTTATTACCCATTCAATCACTGATTCCCCAGTCTCGGCCTCTTCCTAATTGTCTCATCGACATTTGCCAAGCTCATCACCCGACAACTTTATCCCCAACTGGTATGCAATCTGTCTCCTTTTGCCATTATCGATGCATCACACACGGAAGAAGGGATCTTTGCAAGCCCAGTGACGACCGCGCAATGAGAGCCCTATTACATTATCTCACCATCCATTGGTTCGGGCGACCCATCCGGCGGTTCACCGTCACCCTTTCGGCCCGCTGCCATTGGAATCTTTGTCAATAAACCTAGAACATATTGAAAGTAAGCATATTCAAATCGAGGGATGCTTGGAAGGATTCATCCGGAAATGGCAGAGCGACACTACTGTATACCCGCGTGCGCACACGAGGAAGGTTCCCCCACGCATTTGGGAGGGCTCACTGTCAACCCTCCCAGGGGTTATACGTCTCGTTTTTGCAGCGGCTGCCAAGCTTTAAATACCTAATAGATCCTCCATCCTCCGGGTGTTTAGCCTGAAAAGCCGGTTCCAGGTGAACGGTTGATGAGCTGAAAGACAGGGGGGAGAGGCCATTGACAATCCCGGTGCAACCCTCTTCTCCAAAAGGTTAGATGGAAAATGAAACTAACATCTCTTTTGAAGCTTATGCTTGTTCTCGTCTTCGAGAATTATTCCATAAGGTCTGGGGAAGAGGGTTGTGGGTGAGATGAGGTGAAACGGAGCTGACATATAGACGACGCTGAGTGGCTGGCTATATTCACTTGCCGAGGCTCTTTACCGTGTTTATATCAGCCCAGTATTAAATTTAGTCATGAAAGACATGATTCAAGTCTCAGCCAGTCGGCCCAAACCCTTGTCTCCATAACTCAGCATCACTTCACTCAAATGGACGGGAAATTGCAGAACCGTCCCCCACCCAAACCCCATCTGCTCCAAAATGCTAGGCAGCTAGGGCAGGGCAGCTCGTTCAAGCTCGTATGTCTGACCCCGCAAAATTTGCGGTAGGCAGTCATGTGGTGTTTTAGATCTGGCATATGTCTAATACAAAGATAGAAAACGATCAGCGCTTTAAGCATAAGCTAGCCCACCATCAGCCGGTCCGTTTAACCGCAAAAGTTGGACCGAGAGCAGCACCTCGGCTCGAGAATCCGTTTGGATACAATAGAGAGGAGATAAATTCTGGGGGGACTGTCAACCTGAGCTAGGCCGGGGTTGGGCTGCATGCGAGCGAATCGTCGGTCCCTGTGTGGTCGGCCGCTGACGGGAATGTCACGTCGTGATGCAACATGGACAGCGGTCGAAACCAAGTATTTTGCGGAGACTCCACGTTTCCCCAGACAAACTCCATAATTAGCCTATATACGGAGAATTCCGTTAAGCTACCGCTAGGTTCATAGCTGCTCTGTCCCTCTATCTTATCTACGCGCACACGCGGGGGAGAGGCTCATGTATAATATGATCTGCAATGCCCCATTGAAATTCTCTTTTTCGTTTCCCATCTCTCAAGCTTGGTTTCCTCTACTACTCTGGAGACGGGCCCCTTGCATAGAACCACTCGACAAGTTTAGAAGAGCCAGTTCGCCAACATGGTCAACGTTGGTAGCGCCGCGGACCCCATCGTCACTCGCCTCGTCGAGGAGGATAAGACGCCATGGTACAAGAAGCCCAATCTGCGTCTTATGTACGTCTGGTTGTTCTTCTGCTGTATGGGTGTTGAGATGACTTCTGGTTTCGACTCGCAACTCATCAACACGCTGCAATACTCTCAGAACTTCCACCACTGTACGAATCACCTACAAAATCTAGGAAGAATTGTTTCAGAGCTGACGGGTTGTTATAGATCTCGGTAACGGACGAAAGAACGCGGAAGACAAGTGGGCCATCGAACCCGGTCTGCTCGGCTTTGTCAACTCTTCCTACCAGCTCGGCTCTATCTTTGCGGTCCCATTTGCGCCTTGGTTTGCTCAGCGATTCGGTCGAAGATGGTCCATTATGCTTGGTTCTCTCATCATGGTCGGCGGTGCTATCATCCAGGGATTCGCCCAGCACGGTATGGAACCTCTGTTCCATCCAATGAATGATTTACTGACGAGTTCTCAGTTGCCATGTACATCATCGCCCGTATGATTCTCGGAGTTGGAATTCTCTTCTGTATCATCTCCGGTTCTGCTCTCATCGGTGAGTTGGGATATCCCAAGGAGCGTGCCGTTCTTACTTCTCTGTTCAACGCATCCTACTTCATCGGTCAGATTCTCGCTTCTGCTATCGCTCTGGGCACAACTCCCATCACCAACAACTGGTCATGGCGACTGCCCTCTCTGCTGCAGATCGTCCCCTCACTGATCCAGATCTCCACCGTCTTCCTCCTCCCCGAGTCTCCTCGTTTCCTCGTGTCCAAAGACCGTGAGGAGGAAGCCGCTCAGGTCCTCATCAAGTACCATGCCGAAGGTGATCCCAGCTCCCAGCTCGTCCAGGCCGAAATCGTTCAGATCCGAGAGACCATCAAGGCCGAGATGGAAGCCTCCAAGCAGTCCTGGTTCGAGGTTATTCGCACCGCCGGTATGCGTCGTCGATTCGTTGTCACCATCTTCATCGGTCTCTTCACCCAGCTTTCCGGCAACACCCTTCTGAGCTACTATTCGGGTGTCCTTTTCGGTATGATGGGATTCACCGACGACTACACAAAGACCCGAATCAACCTCGCCTATGCTTGCTGGAGTCTTCTCAATGCTACAATCATTGCTTTGATTGTCACTCGCTTTAAGCGTCGACACATGTACATGCTTTCCGCGGCTCTCATGCTGTGCGCTTTCATCGGTATTACTGTGTCTCTTGAGAGAATTCAAGCTGTTCCCGAGGGCCAGAAGAATAATGCTGCTGGTATTGCCGCTCTGTTCTGGTACTTCGCTTACTCGCCAACCTACGCCATCGGAAACAACGCTCTCACGTACAGTAAGTCATCAGTCACCATTTTCATATCTAAACTAACAATTTGTAGCCTACCTGGTCGAACTTTGGCCCTACTCGATGCGAAGCCGTGGTATCGGTGTCCAGCAGATTTTCGGAAAGCTCGCCGGTTTCTTCTCCACCAACGTCAACTCCATTGCTCTCGATGCTATCAAGTGGCGATACCTTGCCATCTACTGTGGTTGGATTTTCTTCGAGTTCTGCATCGTCTACCTTCTCTACCCCGAGACCAGCGGCCGAACCCTCGAGGAACTTGCATTCCGTATGTTGTCTCGCTCTCGTCCCTTTAAGACAGTACTGACAGGTCATAGTTTTCGAGGACGAGGAACTCAAGGAGAAGACCGTGGCTGCTGTCGAGAAGCAGATCCACTTTGGAGACTCAAAGGCAGACGAACAGCAGACTCAAGTACAAACCCGCGAGGTTGTCTAAATGGTTACTATATTGAAGGGAAGAGACGGCTTTGGTCTCGATACTTGTTAGCGTTATCAGGACTATCGTTCATGAATATCACCTTACATTGCGATTCCATATTTTGGTCAGCAACAGCGATTGACACCGCCAAACGGTGCACTTCTAAAATCAATATGATAGCTGAAAGTGAGTGGGGATATAGAGGTCATGACAACTCAATCTCCGGTACAGAACATCAGAAAACGGTGGGTCTTGAGTGTCACAGCAGGTGGCAACAGAGCATTGTATTCTGACTAGGATGATAGTATATCTATTGGTGGCTGAGGATTTCATCTGGGACCTCAAGAAGACTTTCTGAAGATATTCTTAACCGTAAACTAACCAAATCAACCCTGTGCAATAAAGCAACTAGAAAGATATGCACACATGCTCCGTTCCCCCTTTGCAACACTCATTCAAGTCTAAGAGCGCCCTGGATAATCTTCAGAGCTCCGAACAGCTGGTTGTCATGATATCTTCTCCCCACAAGCTGAAGGCTAATAGGTGCCCCTTTGAAGTTCCCACTCTCCCAGAGGTCCTTCACGTGAGCGCACTCAGGTCCTAACGGCTTATAATCAGCATCGTATTTCTCGCCCTCCTCGACCTTGAGCCCCGTAGGGAACACCAGGCCAGGGCAGTCGAGATAGTTCCAAAGAGCCGTATACATAAGATAGAAATTTGTGTCGTGAGTCGTAGCCGGACCAACACCAGTAGGACAAAGAATAATGTCGACATCCTGACGCTCCCAATCCTCTGCAAAAGAATGTCGGAAGTCGAGGCATGCCTTGCGTACGTAAGCCATTTCAGCGGCAGTCAGCATGCCCTTGGGGACAGCGGTCTTCCAGATCCATTCGGTCAGAGGATAGATTGGCTCGCCTGCTGCGAGAATAGCATCACGACTTGGAATGCCGCCGTCAGGGGAGTATGCTTGCCTGATTTCGTCCCAGGCTTGCTTCACACCATAAGGTAGGAATGGCTTAATCTCGATAAGCCCTGATAGCCTGTCGTCAGATAGAAGGGTACTAGCCCACGACAGGGCACGCTTGAGAGGTGGCTGAGGCTGGATGAAGCCGTCGTGTGTCATGATGCCAATTTTGAGTGGGCGGCCAATGGTCAAGCCTAGCTGGGTTGACAAGCCAGTCCAAGTCGTGGGAACCAATGTTAGATCTCTGATATGCGGCTTGATAGCAAGCTGAATACGCATGAATAGGTCCATATCCCGTGCAGATCGACACATGGGACCTGCGTTGGCCAAGATAGTGAGTTCAGCCACCATAGGCCCGTGAACTAAGTCTCTTGTTGAAAGGATGCCACTTGTTGGCTTGTATCCATAGATGCCGCTAAAAGCTGCTGGGATCCTGATACTGCCACCGATGTCGGTTCCAATGCCGAGGACCGAGCCCTTCATAGCAATCAAGGCTCCTTCACCACCACTAGACCCTCCAGGCGTCAAAGTGGTGTTGTGTGGGTTCAAGGCTCGCCCCCAAGGCGAGTCACTTTCGCCGTGCATGAGGGCCTGAGGCTGGTTTGTCTTACAGTAGAAGACAGCACCGGCCTTACGAAGGACAGCAGGAAGGGGAGAGTCATGCTGATCGTACTCAGCCGTAGCCAGAATACCCAACGAAGCGAACGTGCCAGCCAATGGAATATGGTCTTTAATACTGACAGGCACACCGTGAAGCGGGCCTATGGTGGTGCCATGCTCTGCTAGATACTTGTCTAGCTCCGTAGCTTGCTGGATAGCCTCTTCATAAAACCACTGGGTAAGACAGGATGTGAGCTGATGGGCGATAATTGAACGCTTGCAAAATGCTCTGGCAACAGCTACAGAAGAATACTTGCGCCTGGCAATAGCCTCAGCAAGGCCAGTTGCATCATAGTCTTCGGTAATGACTACTTCTTCGTCCGTGAGTAGACCACAGGTAGAAGGGACCTTGGTGACATCGAGAGGAGTGTCCTTGAAGAACTCGGGACCCAGACAGAAGTCTGCGGGTACTTTGTCGGAGAGTGCTTTGAGAACAGCAGCACGCTTGGCCTCGTGCTCTGGCGTACCTTTTGGCACTGCTACAGGGTTGTTGACTTGCATGGCGATTGATCAGATCAATAATTGGAGCTTTGGGGGAATAGTTTAATAATGGAAGGAATATAGATAGGGAAAAGGCGAGTAACAAAGTCCCTCTTTATAGTCGTGTGCGATCTCAGCCGGAACCCCGGAGTACTCTCTACAGGTTGAACCGAAGACATTGTGCCCTGTGAGACTGTATCAGCCATCAGGAAATACCGATCATTGGAGGTTTGATAGACAGGGAGTGGATAACCCAATCAAACATATTTGCGACCTGTTGGTGATGTGCAGGTAACGATTGCGGAGTGAATCATTACCGAGGCTTGTAACCCTCAACATAGACGTAACCACCATTTCCAAGCTCGTCTAGACATCTACCTACTGAACCAATCATATGCTTTTGCGATTACTGCATGAACTAAACTAGCGTGAACCAATGAAGCGTATCATTCTTAGTCTTCATGCATCGCTAGTGTACTTCCCCGCAAACTTGCTTGGGGAACGGTATGCACCATGATAGCTTATCTTGAGCTGGGGTACTCGACCTTTGAGTCTGGGCCTTGTCAATCCTTTGACTGGATCAAGTGATAGAGATAACCAATTCCATCGTTTTCAGGAAGGACAAACCGTTAACTATCTCTCTCTTACAACCACGCACACGGCTTCAGACATCCCTGACATATATCTCACGACAATCCACCACAGCGTCGTAAAACGCCTCACTTCAGTCAATTTGCCCAGACTCATAATCCATCATGGTCACAGGTCTTCAGAAGCCCAAGCTACGCGCCAAGACGGGCTGTCTCCCATGCCGACGACACCGCATCAAGTGCGATGAGCGGACTCCCATCTGCCGAGCCTGTCATGCTTCGCGTGTCCCGCGGGATTGTCAGTGGCCTCTGGACAAAGACCTGGTCGACCGCCGCTTTCGATCATGCAAGCTTCGCGGAGTTGCAAAGACTCACCATCATCAATCTTCCCCTTGGCCTTGTGCAGCGACATCGCAGCTTCTGCTGGCTGACTGCGTGATGGCTCGTAAACGGGACCGAGATGACATCGAGTGGACACTGTTCCGCGAGTTCGGCCGTCGGGGAACACCACTTCTTCTGCTACCACATTGTAGTTCTACCTTCTACAGGACGTGGCATAGTGCCATACGCACCATCATGGTATCGCGCAGGAGTCTGTCGCCTGCTCTTATGGCGTGCGCTGCGTCCTTCGTTTCCATCAGAGAAGGGTCGCCAGGCATGTGCCATGTTTCTCATCAATACTATACCGACTCATTGTCCAGGCTCGCAGACTCACTCGGCCAAGACTCACCAGAGAAGGACGATGATATTTTTGTCACCATTGTGCTTTTGTACGCATTCAACTTTATGTCTGGCTCTTCGTCTTGGGACGATCAACCTCAACACGTCAGCGCTGCCATCGAGATCATCACCTCCCGGATACTGAACGCAACAAGCGCTGACTTATCAGCCTTTCTCCGTCTGTCACTTGAGAGTGTCCTATACCAGGTCTTTCTGTTGAATAACGGTCTTTGGTCCAGCGCGACTAGCTACGAGTCCCTCCAGCCGCTGAACGCTGAATTCTGGGCTCGCTCTGAGAAGCTCCTAGAGCATCCTACGAACCTGGACTTGTCCTTGTTGAGTCTTAATAGCCCTGTCCTTGGTATGCCCTTAGCTGTGATGCGACTCGCCACGTTTCTCGGCCAGCTTTGTCTCGGAAGAGAGTCCGCAACCATGGAAGATCTAATAAAGCTTCAGACTGAGGCCACAGCCTGGGAAGACTTTGCCCTGCAGGCTGTCAAACAGACCGGTGCTTCCGACACGCTGAACCGAGATGCAAACTGCTTATACGCCATGATCGCTTCTATTCTCATGCAACACCTGATGGCTTTTGGCCCAAACACAGGACTTCCCAGGGTGTCTCCCACAGACAGTTGGCAAGCTTTTACATCACTTCAAATCCTGTCCGGACGTGCTGGTGATCATAGCTGGTCTGAGTGTTTCATCGGGACATGGCCTGTATACGCTCTCGGGTTCTTGTTATCTGAAGGCAAGGATAGAGACATTGTGCGTCGCGATATACAACTTCGACGGGAGCTCACAGGCTTCTGGATAGTCAAGCGCTTTCAAGAGGACTTGGAGAGTTCATGGGCCGGGCTCGAGGCAGACTCACCTTCGGCATCCGTCAACTACAGTGTCTTAGACACAACTGATGCCGCCGGCATTCAGTCTCCCATGCCAGTCATAGCTTTTTGAAGCAAGGCTGTAGTGGAGAGTGACGTGAAAACGAGTGAGCCGCAACTTTGGGCGGCGTATCTTTAATGCGCCTGAGGCTTTCTACTATGGGTTCGGGGGGATTCTTTTTGGCAAAGTCTACATGATGTTTGTTGTACTGACACTACAGCACTTTTAGTGATCAGCAATTGCTCATCCGTGTTGAAACATAGGTCATTGTAATTCACTCACCCGTCCATCCCATATGATACTCAGTGACCAACTTAAACATCCCACTAGGTTTAGTAAGCAGTAACCATATTGCTATCACAATAATTGATTTTTCAATTTGAAGGATTGTGTAAGTTTTGTCAAATCAGGGCATGGTAAGCCTCTTTCCACTCACGCTGGGTCCTGCAAAACCTAATAGCCTTCAAAGTTCACGACCCCTCCATTCTTCTCGTCTTCCGAAAGAATAATAGATTGGTCTCAGTCTGTTCGTCCTGTCTTTCCTCTCCAGACACATTCTCGCGGCATCACCGATCTACTGGCCATCATGAGTCTTGATAGCCTGCCCCGCGAGCTTCTCGCCAAAGTCGTCTCGCTTGATTCTGGCTTGTCAAGGCGAGATCTCAAGTCACTTAGACTGACCTGCCGCCAGCTGACTACCGAACCGTCGCGCATCCTTTTCTATGAAGTTCGGATTTCCCCTCTTCTTCAAGATTTTCAGCACTTCTTTGACTTTTCAGTGTCTCCTCTTGCCTCCCTAGTTCGAGTTCTCGTCTGGGAAGAGCTTGCGTTTGACACTACGCACTTCGAATATCCTTTTTGGAGGCCCTCAGTGCTTTATAGGGATGAAAAGGAGGAAATGGATGACAGTGATGCGAATAAACACTTCTTCAAAAAGCTCGGCAGGCTCGTGCAACTTTTGGGTGGCTCCCAGTATAACTCGGGTTTTCCACGTCAGTCGGACCCTTCTACTGCGGATATGGTATATGATAACGGACAGGTAATTCCAAAATTAAACTCTCCGGATGAATTCGTGTCTGCTGTCCGCAACAACATGCCTAATCTATATACCCTGGTCTCAAGGCCCATGGATGGCCGGCGGTGCCTTGGGCACCCCTCCTCGGGTCTCTCCATAACCGTCAGCAGCCTCAGGCAACTTGTGCAGAGACGTACGACAGATCTAAGCTACAACATTGGTTTTACGGATTATTTCATCCCGCTACTCGAATCTTTGGCAAGTCAGGCGGCCAATGATGAAGCGCTAACAAACAAGATTACCCATCTGTTCTACTCAGACGAGGGCATCCACACCCGTTCAGCTCTCCACCGGATGGAAAAGCCTTTGAATCTTCATATTTTTGAACATCTTGTTCACTTTGATCTCTGTCTCTGCAGTAGTCAGATCAAGAGTCTTGCTTCCTCCGGAGAGTTTACAGCGTGCCTTGCGAATGCGAAAAACTTGAGGAGCTTGAAAATATGCAACGAGAAGAGTCCCTCTATGTCCATTCCTAGCATCATTCCCACGCTTACCAAACTTGTTAGTGTGGAATTCGTGGAAATGAAAGGTATTGGATGGCCCGAGTGTGCCGGGATCTCCCAGACTATCGCTTTCATTCGGCGCCACGCGAAGACACTGAGAAGGTTGTATTTCACCTCCGCGACAGTCAGTGGTTCCTTTCTTACGGAACTTTCACGCTTGAATTTGTTGCACTTGGATACGTTTGTTATAGCGTCAGGAGACGACACTGACAACGACGGCGATTACTATGGCGAGGGCTGCGGCTATGATTCCGACAGCGACTCCGCGACGCATGAGCGTATGAATGAACAGACAGTTCTTGATTATGTCAACCAAGTGGATGACCCCGATCAGAAACCTCCACTATCATCTTACATAGGTCAAAAGACGCAGATATCTACACACTCCCTAGTCTTCGACACAACTACCTGCCAGCTTTCAGCCTTCCATGCTACGCGGGACAGCCTCTGGCAAAAGAGGGGATATGATTTGAAGGATATCGAAGCTTTGGATTCTGCTACCTTTGAACGAAGGGACGAACATGGGATAGCCCATAGTCTTGGGCCCCGAAGGATCTACCATATCGAGGCGGGTTTATGGGTTGACTCGGACGAAGTTTTCTACGACCCCGTCACTGATGAAGAGGTTGATGAACCTTTTGAAAAACGAGAAAAGCCCAAAGATGACTCCTGGACTGTCCAAGGACAACATACGTGGGATTCAGAAATGGGTCTCTGGAGAGATGGACAAGGAAAACTGAAGAAGTTCGCTGCTGAAAGGAAACTTCCAGAAAGACCACAAGTCCCCGCCGATGACCAAGACTCTGATTTCCACATCGACATGCAGCCTTTCTACGACAGAGAAGAAGACGAATATCTCCTCAGAATCGAAAACTCTCCACGGTGGGATTGGGGACGAGACGCAAACGGCCAGGTTTGGTACTGGGAAGCAAGTGGCACAGGTGGTCAGGCAACCGAGATTTGGCGCTTCGAGCACAACGGAGAGATTGCATATGGTCATGAACCGCTGGACTTTTGGGATGATTGGTACGATGAACCTGTGGATAAGGCTGAGTCGACACCTTATGGCTGGAATCTACACGCTTTTCTCGCGAGTGATAGACTTGGCAGTGAGATTCCGCGGTGGAGCGCGTGCAATTCCCTAGATATTTATTGTAAGGAAGACGACCCGATCTATGGCAACAATGACCTTTTTTATTATCTTCCAAAGCCAATGGATTTTGAGGTGTGGTCAGATCAGCCATGGGCCTAGGTTGTATATGCGCTATATCCAGTTTTTGTAGGCTTCGCCTTTCTAGTATACCCTTTTCAAATATCCTTGAACTGCTAAGAGATAGGCTTTTATAGAGTCATAGGTATAATGCAATCTTTCTATAAACAAATTATACAGCAATGCCTAACTGTTGTCTCAAGTTTTGGCATTTCACGTTTTCTAGCCAATACAAGTCTAGGGTGAGTAGATGTGTGGCTACAGTGAGACACGCGGTTGGCTACGTCACCCATCATGAGTATGACTATCTGTCCACTAAAGAATCTACGCCAGATCCAGGCAGCAGGAAAACAAATTCATAGAATATTAGCAACTGAATTTGTCTCAGCAAGTCTGTGAATAAATGGAGAGGGGAAAACACCAACACGTTTTACATGCGCCGTAATCAAGGCGTCGTACTCTGTATATGCCAAGACTTTCATATACACAGCCACAGTCGAGAACGCCACACGCCACACATCAGTCAATTCTCGGGGGGCAATAAAACTCAAGACATCTACTGGATTCTAAGTAATAAAAGACTTTGGGAAAGTCAATAAATGGTTTTTCTAGAATGAAACGGTCCAAGGACCATAAGTAAGCATTTCCAGCAAGCTGCCTCAATGTTTGACGCTTCTCTATACAATACGACATAAGGCTTAATTAATATCAGAGAGAAAATAAACTGGCCACTAAGCCCATTACGAGCTACACCAAATAACCAAAGTTATTTTGTCACTTAAACTTGTAGGGATGTTCTCTGTTGAGGGTGGCGCAGTAGGTATGACGCTAGCGCACGCTGGGCATCATTTGGTCGCCTCCAGGCCTGAAAGACGCTTGGCAGCCGCGCAACCTTAATCATCCTGTCACAGAGGCAGCCAAGAAAGAGCGAACTAGAGCCCGAGCGCCATAACTTATAAATGACGAAACCCTTGGCCCAAAATCTTGCCTTTTCAACCCCCTCTTATTCTGCTTCTATTATACAAAAATGCGCCCTTCCCTCGAATCGTCGCTGGGCGATCAGGGCCTTGCTACTGAGCAACGAAGCCTGCTTGACCTTATCGACAAGCTCCAATTCGCACAGCTCGATGATGTCAAACTACCCCAAATCGTCGTCGTCGGCGATCAATCCGCTGGTAAGAGCTCGGTTCTCGAGGCTCTCACCGGCACACCGTTTCCTCGCGACGCCGGCGCCTGTACACGCTTTGCGACAGAGATTCGCTTGCGACGAGCGAAGGAGACAAAACTGAAGGTTTCCATCATCCCCGACAAGACACGACCTTACAATGATCAAGCTCGACTGCTACAATGGGGCGGTGATGTCACCGGTGACACACCCTTTGATGCCATGATGCGCGATGCTACAGAGTTGATCGCTCCCAAGAGTATTCCTGGTCGCTTCGCCGCTCGCGATATCCTCGTCGTCGAGAAGGAGGGCCCCGACATGCCACTCTTGACTCTGGTCGATCTTCCCGGTCTTGTCCGTGTCGCCAACCGCGATCAATCCGAGTCTGACATCCAAACCATCGAAGCCCTCTCCGATCGATACATGAAGAGCTCTCGAACTATTATTCTTGCTGTTATCGGCGGAAACAACGATTATGTTCAGGCTCCTATCCTCAAGAAGGCCCGCTACTTCGATCCCAAGGGATCACGCACAATCGGTGTCCTCACCAAGCCCGACATGACCGAACGTATTGGCCTTGAGGAAAAGTTCATCGAGCTCGTTACCAACAAAGACCAAGAGAACAACTTCAAGCTCGGCTGGTATGTCCTGCTCAACCCAGGACCAGGCGAGCAATGGCAAACTCCTGAGGACCGCGCCAACCGGGAAGCCGAGTTCTTCTCCCGTGGAAAATGGGCAACTCTCCCACCAGAGATGTGGGGTATTGGCGCTCTCCGCGCAAAGCTGAGCACTCAGCTCCAGCGACATATCGGCAAGCATGTCAAGACTCTTCGCCGCCAGATCCAGCAAGCTTTGGAAGGCTGCGAGAGCCAGCTCAAGGCCATGGGTGTTGGCAAAGATACCCCAGAGGAGATGCGTTTCCAGATGGGCGAGCTCTTCACAGCATCCAACAACCTCGTCACTCCTGCGGTGAACGGTAACTACAAGAACCCTTTTGGTGAGAGATTCTTTGCCAGACAGTCAAGCCCCAAGGGTACCCCATCACAAAAGCTCCGAGCTCGCATTCGTGACGAGAGTGAGCGCTTCGCTCGAAGGTTCCGACAGCACGGTCGTAAGGTTACGTTCCAGAAGAGCCAGCCTCCTGCCACAAATGGTGTCAACGGTACGAATGGTGCTGCCGAAGGCAACGGCCTTCCCACTCCGGGCACCGCTGGAGATCGTTCAAAGAAGGACTTTGCCGAGTTTGAAGTTGAGCCTCTTCTCCGACAGATCCGGGGTAATGAACTTCCCCTGGACTCCAACCCTCGAGCCCCTTATATCCTCTTCCAGGACTACTCCAGAAACTGGCCTGTTCTTGCACAAGAATACAAGGACAATGTCGGTGTTATCTGCAACGAGTTCCTTGCGGATGTAATTGATCACGTCTGGCCCATGCGCATGCGTGACCCTCTTCGCATGCACTTCCTCGAGCTCAGAATGAAGGATCTTGTCGAAAGCGCCGACACTGAGCTTGGACGTCTCACCGACGATATGGAACTCGAGATCCAGCCTTTTGACCCCGAGTACGAGGAGCGTCTTCGAAAGTGGCGTGCCGAAGCTACTGAGAACGGCGGAACCTACACAGAGGCCGAAGAGGTCTTGGAGAAGATGCTTATTTACTACGACCTTACTGCACGCATATTTACACGTAATGTCATCACTCAGGTCGTCGAACGGCACCTACTGCTTGGCATGCTGCGACTGTTTAACCCTATTGAGATTCTTCGCATGCAAGATACCACCATCGAGGCTATTGCTGCCGAGAACAAGGAGACCCGTGAGCGCCGCAAGGCTCTCCAATTGCAGAAGAAGGCTATTGAGGAAGCTAGAAACATCTGCGCCAGCCTTGCTATGCGAAGCGAATTACGAGCCTATGAGGATGATGACGACGATGCAGAGACGGATGAAGAAGAGCAGACGCCCCGAGAGGTAAGCCGTCGTCAGGTTGGAGCGCCTCAGAATGGAGTACCCCAGAACGGTGCACCTCAAGGCGGTCTTCTCCAGACACAACCGGCCCCTCAGTCAAGCCGTAACGACTCCACACGACGAAACCGCGATAGTCGGGACGAGCGTACTGAACGCGAGGAACAGCGAGCAAGCCGACCCCCCATCCCAACTCAGGACTCCTACCAGAACGGCCCTTACCAGGCCAACCGTGACTGGGAGCCAGTCTACCATCCTCAGCAACAGGCATCTGCACCAGGCCATGCACCCCCACCGCCACCTCCTCGTCCCTCAAAGGTAGGCCTTGGAGAGACAGAGTCTTACTATGACAATGCGCGTCGCCAGGACTCCTACACTGAGAGTCCCGGACGAGGCGATGGTCGCCGGGAGGGCGCGAGGCATAGACTTGTGAACGCTATGCGAATGGGAAACTAGGACTTTATTACTAGAAGAGATGGATTAGATGATGCGCGGCGTTGGGAAGGGACTTGTGATATCCTTGTGTAACGATGCGTTTATGGTTGGGTTATTGTCGGGTTTCGATAGATAGAATACCAAGAATGATACATTTATACCCTAACTTTTATGACCCTAAACTTATGTGCCCAACTCGAATTACATAAAGATCCCCTAACTCTGTTCTCGATTCACTTGGCCAAAATAAGTTATACAAATCTGTATCGAATGACATTGGCAAGTGATTCAATATGCCTGCGCCTTTTCATTGTTCCCACATATACATCCCCTGGGAGCTTGTGGCTCTTGGCTCGTGGAAATAGGATCTATACCTACCCGACATTCATGTTGACCCATCGAGACCTTTGAAAGAGGCATACACTTGTAAAGCGCCTTCAATACTCTGCACCAAGCCAAAGAATATCGTCAACACAAGAACGAGGACGGCTACCCAGAATGTGTACCTGTTGATGAGACCGGTATTAGCGGATGACAATGTGCGTTCGGAAGATCAGCTATCGAAGAGCGGTACCATTGGACGCCGTTCCGCCTGTCATGCCACCATTGCGATAACGATTTCGGCTGTGCTTCGTCAAAGACCTGCTTCAGCACGACAAGACGATCATTCCAGAATCTAAACTTTTCAGTTTGCCGATGGTCCGTCTTTAGTTGTCCACACTGGATGGCTCGCCTGTCAATGTTGGCGTCTAACTTGGAGAACCACTTCCTTGTTTCCACGTCTGAGGATGGGAAGAGGAGTGCTAATGTCTGCAGTGTCTCATCTGCGAGACCTTTGGGCAGTAGGGAGTCGGCACTGTCATGATAAGTCAGTGGCCTCACACATTGAGTGGTCTTGAAGAATTGTGAACCTTTGTTGTTGGACATGTAGGAACGAAGCATGATGGAAGACGTGCACACGGCGATCGTCATCTGTCAGTCGGAGATGATCTACCAAGTTATCAGTCCAAACGATATCCAGGCCTGCGATGCGGCACAGGTTGCGCGCAGTGAATATCTTCTCCATTTTAACATTCTCCTTGGCCAGCTGGGGAGCTCCCGGATCAAAGTAAGTTGACACAAAGCTCTCGAGGGACCCATGACTCCAACGAAGATGGCTTCGACCAGAGAAGCCGTACGTGAAACTGCAGAAGCTTATCATCAAAAGCAGACTGGCGGCCAAATCAATCGAGTTGTCGAGCATCTCGTCTTCGTTGTCGTGAAGCGCAGTGAGTTTCTCCCGCAGCTCCTCCTTGACGTCATGGCGCAGCATCCCGTCCTTGAGTTTGCGAATGCAGTCGACCACATCACGGTGCGATCGCAGAGCCACGTATCGCCCTCCATTGTGGAGAGCCCTGGTGCATTCTTTGTTGTAGTATGTCCAAAAAGATTGCAGGTCAAAGTCCACGCGGTTGAGGCGCTGGTTCTGGTGCGGAGAGGCCCAGTATTCGCTGGCTATTGTTGTTTTGGTAAGTTGCTGCAGCGGGAAATCTAGCAGGCTCGAATCGAGCTCCGTCTTGTCTGCCATGATCGCGGTTTTAGTCGCCTTCTAGTCTATTGTTTTCACACGAAAGATTAGGGTCCAGCGACGCTGATGGAGGATAAGGCGGATGAGGCAGCCAACCCTGTTCGGGTGCATGAAACTGCATCTGTCATTGGCGGATGATCTGCCTCATCAGCGCGACGAGGCCTCTGAGCACAGCCCCCAATTACTGCGGCTGAATTGCCTTCATCAGCATCGAGAGCCACACTTTTAATGACTTGGAAAACCACATTCCCAATGAATTGAGAAAGATACCATAAAATACGCTGAAACATGCCGCTGGAAATCGTGACCTCCCCTCTGCGGTCCTGGGAGAGCGGCATCGCCATACTTAGTGGCAGGTCGGCAACGAGGCGTCTCGCATGGCCTGAACCAGAGCTATCTATCGGCCGCTGCATAGGCAAGGTCGGCAAGGAGCTATGCTGGGTGGCCAAAGGCCCGGCGAGAGACGCATTCGCGGCGCTGGCTCCAAAGATCAAAGCGTACCTCGAGAGATCGGTCGAACCAGTATCGAGCTGGGTTACATGGTCGATGTATATGTTTGGTAAGTCGGAGAACAGTGCCAGCCCAGCCATCCTGTTTTGCTGCGAAGTCGTTGCGCATCGCAAACAGGTGAGAAATGCAATTAAAGACAGCGGCATTCTCGACGAGTTCCCCGGTGTTAAGACGGCACACATGTCTCGACCGCCCGACTTCAACCAGCTCGTTCAGTTGGCAGACGATGACACGACGTTGCTATTTGATCATCGGCCTGTCCTTGCGTCCCTTGAGAGCAACCCATGCGGGATGCAGTTGTTCGTTGAATCAAGCATAGATGACGGAACTTGTTACAAACAAGCGACCGTCGGTGGCATCATTCAGCTGTCGGATAAATTCTACTATACCACGGCAGGTCATGTGCTCAGCCCCGACACGGCCCCGAGCTACACTGAGGACGAAGTCAGTGACGACGAATTTGAGATTGACGACGACGATGATGAGCTGAGCGAAGTGGACGATGTGGCATCGACGGCTTATGAGAAAGCATGGTTGGCACAAGCCAACGACGCCGCCATGAGCCCGCCGTACACAAGCTCTACCGAGAGCAAGATGCTCCAGATACCATTCTCCTCGATCATACAAGAAATGCAAGCAACAGATGAGGAATCGAAATGCATGAGTCGTCGGGTTATCGAGAACGGACCTTCACTGAGCACTTTCTCGCCTCCAGAGCGTCTGGGACACGTCTATCTGTCCTCCCTCGACGAATCATCTTCTGGTCTTGACTACGCCTTGATCGAGGTGACCAGGCCTGCTCACTGCATCGCGAACAAAATCGCCTTTTCCTCCGTTTCTGCAAAGGGCGAGACCAAGATCCAGCGCGTCGTCACAGACGGCCCCAAGGACGTCAAGATCTTGACGTCCACCTCGAGAGGAACACTTACAGGAGTCATGTCAGGCACTCCCCTGTACACTCGACTCCCCAACAGCAGTCTGTACCAGGAGGTATACAACGTCCTCTTGGACTCGCGGTTGGAGGCCGGGGACTGTGGCTCCTGGGTCGTTGATGCCGAGTCTGGGAACTTGTACGGGCACATTGTGGCCGGGTCCCCAGATTCGGGTGCTGCAATCGTGATACCCTTCTCGCATGTATTCGAAGACATAGAAGCGCGAGTGAAGAATTCCCCTCATCTGCCCCTTACTGGAGCTGCATCGCTATACAACTTTGATAAGAAACTAGACCTTGCTACGCATCTGCAACACACAAAGTCCGTCACGGCGTCCTCTTCTACACCACCATCGGAGCACGTTCAACGGTGGATTAAGGACCTGGGAAACCGATTTGAGAAGCAGTGGCGGATCAAACTATTGGATGAACTGAAGCTATCGCGGACTAGCCGCCGCCGAACTACTACTGCACAAGCTGTTTCGTCCACTGAAGATGGATCAACTTCGCTCCATAGTCCGTCTGGAGAGCAAGAGTCGTGCCCGCAGTACACTGTAACTGAAACTGGAAAAGCATTACTGCTGCCACCCCGAAACCGGAGACGAGTGTGGACACCGCTGTTCCCCCAGCTTCCGAGTGCAAACGACCTGAAGTCCCAAAAGTTCCGTAACCTACTAACGTCCCTCTCCTTAACCCCGAAGAAGTACGAGAACCCAGGATTACTTGACGAGGCTCTGGCCAGCATCCCGCTAGAGAGACTCTACAGCGAAGCTGAAGAAGAGAGCATGATATTCCAGGCCCAAGCAGAATCATATGGCGATGGACGGCAGCCTGAGTGGGGCTACAGTGACTGCATCATCCGCGCAATGTTGCAATGGTTCAAACGCTCGTTTTTCACTTGGGTGAACAATCCAATATGTCAGACATGTTCGTCTCCAACGACTATGATGGGGCTCAGTACGCCACGCCCGGAAGAGTCAGCCTGCGGGGCTTTGCGTGTCGAGCTCTACAAATGTTCAAAGGAAGACTGCCCAACATATGAGCGATTCCCCCGATATACGGACGTGTGGAAACTACTCCAGACCAGAAGAGGGCGAGTGGGCGAGTGGGCGAACTGCTTCACGATGCTTTGCCGGGCGATGGGTGCCAGGGCGCGGTGGGTATGGACCATCGAAGACCACCTTTGGACCGAGGTGTACTCGGAACACAGGAAGAGATGGGTTCACATTGATCCATGCGAGGGTGTTTTTGATCACCCAAAACTATACAGCGAAGGTAAGTCATTGCACTCAAGATTCACGCCCGCCCTCCTAGGACACAACACTGACGTGTCGCGATTAGACTGGAATAAAAAGATGTCATATGTGATAGCCTTCTCTATTGAAGGCGCTACGGATGTCACACGACGGTATGTTCGCAAGCTGGAGCACGCGGCAGACCGAACCCGTTGTCCAGAAGATGTCCTGCTGTACGTCATGAATGAAATAAAAGACCTCCGCCGCCAGAATATGAGTGAAGAGGAGAAGATGCGACTGGAAGAGGAGGACAGATGCGAACAGCGGGAACTCAATGACTACATTGTTTCAAGTGTCACCGCCGACTTCATTGCCACGGGATGTGCTAGCATTGAGGATTTGTCACAATTGATCAAGTCGCCGGGAAAGACGGCGAAGCAAAGTTCGAAGCAGAGGAGCGGAGGAGTAGAAGAGGGACCTTTAGTTATCCCTTAGGTCGACAAATCCTCAAGTACGATCTATACCCATTTGTTTGTCCGTATATACTGAGTCTTAAAGGCATACAATAAAGCACGTCACTCTAATTTACGACCATAAGTATATTACATAGTCATCTTATCTTAATCTAGCACTTGATATCCTCTAGGCTCTAGATAATCTATAGAATCTTGAAGTTACGGTAGATAGGTAGATACCAAGAATGATTTATATATACCCTAAACTTGTGCTGCCCGACGTAAGTTATACAATCATCTCTCACTGCACTAAACTTAACAAAATATTTGCGGTTTAGAAAAGAGTTTCTGAATTTTCTTGACTTTATGTGCCTTGGTCCAAAGTGATGAAGATGACAATTTTGCTCCTGTCACGTAGCCGATTGCGCAATCTAGCGGAGCTGTGTGAGCCAGTCATTGCTTATACGTATTTTCGTAACCTTGTTCGTCAGTTTAATTGTCAGAGCGCTGCTCACTTTTGGACTTGCTGTCGGCGGAGTGCTTGATTGGCCTTGCAGTCTTGCAGTTCATCATTTAAGTCGATGTTCCTATGTATTGCTCGGCTACCGTGCCCTCCATCGTCGTTATGGAAGTCAATGAACGACATCCATGTCGTGTAGCTTGAACTAGAGGGGCTTGCCCGGACGTCACGAGCAACGAAACTGAGAGACCTGGTCAGGGTCAATCTACTAAATTTATTGCACTACCTAGGCGGCGAAGGACACACGACACAGTGGTTGTCTCCCGCATCTGACAGGGAGTCATGGCGCAAGTTTATCCTAAAACACGCTAAGGCGAAAATAAAGAACGACCCCTAATTCCGTGCATCACCAGCGAATTTTGGTGTAAGCCAAACCTGTCAGGGGTCGTAGAAGTATTCCCCCCCGAAACGCACACAATGCCTAGTTAGGTCATACCTACCTTAGCCATACTACAACCATGAGAGCGCTTTGATAAAATTACGAGAGCCAGCGATGAAAGCAACGGCCCTCTTGCCGATGTGTTGGTTCCACGGTTTCAGGACTCTTTTCACATGCAAGGATGACGTCGCTCTATGGCCAATCTCTACTGCCATTTTACCGCCGCGGGAGGCACCACATTTCCTATTCTAATTTAGCTCTCTCAACATGAATGGCTCAAACATACAGAAAAGACAATAATATTTGCTGCCCCCATCTGATTGCTAAACAGGCCTGCCCAGGTTACCTACTGTTCATATTGACGCGCCGACCATGATGTGCCGCTGACCTGCATCAAGAGAAACACACCTGAAGTGTGAGCTGAAGCTAGCAAGCTAGGATGTTGTGACCAACATGCAGAACAGTCGTCGCACTAGACAAGGGAGTCGAGAGATGCCTCAGTTGGCTTTCTCACGACACTGGCTTTTCTTTAAAGACTTCTGGTCCCGTTCCTGTCCCCTCTTCCCCAAATGACTCTCGCATACCTCATCTGCTACCCAGCCCTTGCGTAGCTTAGCTACCCATCCGTACCCATAAAGGAAACGAACCAAATAAGCCATACTTGCCAACCATGGCTACCATACAGGAGGCGGAGCAAATTGTGCGACGCTTGACTAAGAAGTATGGGTTTCTGAACGAAACAATGATGGACGATATCGAACAATTTAATGCCCAATATCGCCGTGAGATCGATGAAAATTGGCTGGCGATGGAAAGCGCCGTATCGCACTCCGTCAAGATGTAAGTGTCTACTCATCTGGGCCAATTTTCTTATTGCACTTACTGAAGCCATCTGCTAGATTGGCAAAGCAGATCTATGGCAGTGGTGCTCGGTTTGTCTTTGAGCTTCTTCAGAATGCAGAGGATAATATCTTCAACAAGGCTCGCGAAGCAGAAGCGCTGCCTTTCGTCTCTTTCAAGATATATCCAAATAAGATCATCGTCGAGTGCAACGAAGACGGTTTTACAGAGCCAGACTTACAAGCTATTTGCGCTGTTGGACAAAGCACCAAGTCAGCTTCCCACGGATATATCGGCGCGAAAGGCATTGGTTTCAAATCCGTATTTATCGCAGCATCTAGAGTTCATATTCAGTCTGGGAACTTCTCATTTGAGTTTCGGCATAACAAGACAGACCCAGGTATAGGCATGGTTAGACCTATCTGGGTACGTCCAGTTGAGGCCATCCCCAGCCCTCTAACCCGCACGACACTATACATCCATGACCAGGGAGACCCAGACGAACTTCGACATCTGAGGAGGATCATCTCTATGCAATTTGACGATCTACAGGAAACTTGTTTGCTCTTCCTGCGCAAGCTTGAGCAAATCAGCTTGGAGTTCTACGATGAGGACGGTGAGCTGGAACGATCAAAGTACTTCCGCAAGCACAAGATCGACAAGTATCGCGTGTCTCTGGAGACTATATCTGGCGCTCGTGGAGATGAGACTACTCGGAGCCAAATTTATCACATCACGAGACAAATGGCGACCAACTTGGCCCGGGGCGACAATCGCGAGCTTCCTGATACCAAAGAGGCTAAGAATGATTCCTCAAAGGCAGAAGTCGTTTTGGCTTTCCCAATCACCGACAACTCTGAACCGCTTATCACTCAGAGGAACCAAGACCTGTTCGCATTTTTACCTCTAAGAAGATCCGATTACAAGGTTGGCTTCATCTATCATCGCACGCAAAACATAACTGACTCCACTCTAGTTTTTGATTCACTCCGATTTTGATACCAACGCCAATCGACAGGATATCGTCACCACATCACGGAGGAATCTAGACCTTCGCGGCTGGATTGCGTCCGCGTTCTTCCAGGCAGTTCTGCAGTTTTGCGAGCATCCTAGACTCTGCTACGGCTGGCCTATGTTCCTCCCGTCCTCCTCAGATACCAGTTCCGATGCATTCTGGTCAGGCCTCAACCACGAGATACAAAGCTTGATGAAGAAAACCCCAGTACTGAAATCCCGCAATCGAATCGACTTGCGCCTGGTAGGCGACGTTGTCATTCTCACCAGCGATGCCCAGGATGCGGAAGGGCATCCTTTGTTTGACGACCCGACCAAAGATCTTTATCTTTCGCCTAGCTATTCCCAAGATGCAAAGGAAATTCTCAGAGGCTACGGACTAAGACTGCTGAACATCCAAACAGTTCTAAACTTACTGGAAACCGATCTCCGCAGTCTCTACTCCAGGTTTCACGGAAAGAACACGACCGATGAATGGCACTCAGCTGTAGCACGCCTGCTTACCAAAACACTCAAGAATTCCTCATCTATTCAACAGAGATTGAAGTCGTTGCCTTTGCTCCCTCTGAGATCGGGAGCGTGGACATCGACTGCATCCGGGCCAGTGTATTTCCCAAAGACGGGAGATATCAGCATTCCTGACTCCTTAGACATCAAAGTTATCACTGTTTTTGCATCCAGTAATTCGGAAAGAAGCACCTTGTTCCAACACCTAGGAGTCTGTCAGGCCACATATGAAGACGTTAGAGCATCGATCTTCAGATCGTTCGCCTCGAAAAAGGGCTTATCGTTCGAAATCCTAAATGAGTATTTGAGCTTTCTTTATCTCACGCACCAAACCGGGAAGCATGGGCCGGAAGAATACACGAAAGTAGAGATCGTCACAATGGCTGGGAAGCGAGCGAACCCACAAGAGACGGATGTATACCTCCCTGGAACCCACCATGCGTACAGTCCTTCAAGCCTTTTAACCGCCGAAGACCTCCCAACAGGCTTATCCGTGGATTTTATACACTCCAAACATATGGAAAGTACCCCAGACAAGCCGAGCGTCTTGCACCCAAGGTGGGAGACGTGGCTCTGCAATTCCATTGGTGTACGTGAGCGGTTGAGACTCATGTCACGAGACAAACGCGGGTTATCGGATGTCTTTCTGCATATCTTTGAACATCATCCACAAAAGTTCTTGGGGTTATTTGAGCATCTCTGGTTGCACGAGAAATCAGGTCTGGTGAAAAACAGGGCTCTTCGATCAAAGATTGAGGATCTGCCTGCTAAGAAACTCTGTGGAGTTGACTATCCACTCAAGCTGAAGGAAACCTGGCTTCCCCTCGAGGATCTTAAACACCTCGTCAACCGCTATATGGAACATCCCAAGCATTTTCCCTTTCTCAAACTCGAGGAATCAGATGCAACCGAACTGCTTGGATCAAAATGGCATTTCCTGAGTGACTACTTCTCAGTCAGTAAAGACGATAGCATGGATTTCCTACTCCAAATACTTCACTACATTCAGCAATCATGCCCCGAAAGGCCTTCCGACAGTCAAACACAAAAGGTGTTTGACTTGTACAACGCCATATACGCCAGACTTACAGTTGCTAGTGATGGGCCAGCCGCGAAACTCAAGATTATGTCAGTACCACTTTTTTGTGCAAACATAAACTTATAATTGACCTATTAACAGACAATTCTTTGAGAAAGGAGGTGTCCTCGACCCTAATCAGAATGATCCTATGTGGACGACATCTCCGCTCTGTTTATGGACAGCACCGCCAGATATGGTCATGTTTCACTCTCTCAAGGCTTCCTACTTGGAAAGGATGGATAATGAAAAATTCAGGAACATCGAAAACCTATTTACAAGAACACTTCAAATTCCGGATGCGTCGTTGGATGATCTGGTGACCGAGTTGACCGAGCTTCGGGACGAAGGTTGCGAGGAAATACCTCGCATGCGGGCAATCTATGATTACTTGCATAAGGCAAACGTACCTTCGCCACTTCTCAAGTACGCGAACAGCTAGGTCCAGGATGAGAAGGATCGTTTCCTGCATGTGGCTAACTTGAGAACAGAGCTGCATTTAAGGCATCCCCCCTCATCTATTGCGAAACGCGGCATGGCGAATCAGGCTGGTATAAGACATCAGATTGCCTATGGTCTAGTGAAACCGTTATCCGTGGTAAAGCCATCCTGGATGAATGTTGGGAAGCTTATGAGGAGTTCTTTGTCGGCAAACTAGGCGTGAAGCTGCTAACCTTGCAGATGGTCTACGATGAACTGCGACAATCATCCGGGAACAATACGGAAGAGACCAAAGTGGCTATTCTGTCACTCAATGGTCTCCTACAAACAGAAACGACACTACTGGACCCGGACCCGATCAGACAAGCCAAAGTATTTCCGGTCAGGTACCCAACTGGCACTGTCGTTCTGAGCTCTGTGAGCGTTGACTTTGCCATTGGAGATCGAGACAAGTTGAAGACGATGTTTCGTGACAAGGTTGCTCTCTTGGACTTTGAGATGGAAGAAGTCCGTCGCCTTAGACCGTTGATCGAATGGCTGAAACTCCAAGATCGATACTTGTCTAACTCCGTTGAAGAAAATACGTTCATCTTAGGTGATTCGGAACGTCTAATTTCTACACCTAACCGAGACCTCAAACGCAAGGCTTATCATATTGCTCGGTACGTAGTGAACGGGGGTACATTTGTTTCTTTATTCTATTGGATTCAAGATGCTAACAACGGCTTATCCTGTAGTGTCGCTTCTACTTTCAACAGCCCTCGATTTGAGGACGACCCCCTCGGTCTCTATGAGCAGCTTCGCACAATGAGAGTCGTTGAGGTCGAAAGAATATCATCTGTGCTGAAAATCTTTCAGAACAAACAGTCCTTCGAGATTCCAGTAGCAACCGCCAACGAGCATATCGAAGATTCGACAGGAGAACTGACGATTTATGTCCCAAAGGAGCGCAGAGCGCAAGAGCTCTGCTTCGGTTCAGTTCTTCCTAGAAAGTTCGCGGCATGGCTAATGCGCACCTCGAAGAGCCCCACGAATGGACCAATTGAAACGGACATAGTTAAGGTCTTGACTGCAGTCTTTGCAAGTGAAAGATTCGTCCTTGATGATGTTCTTGACGACCAGGGAATCTTAACAGTGCCGTTCGACAACATGGATGAAGAAGACAACAGTGATGAGACAGAAGAGCGCCAGACAGAAGATCAGGAGGAAGAAGGTCAAGAACCACGACTACCAGGTAGTTGCCTCGAAACCAATGATACCTCTCCAGAACAACTTACACCCGATCGTTCTTCTATAAATCCTGGTACGCCACCATATGCGGGTTCCTCCGGAATTTCGCCAGAGGGAAGCCTTCCTGAAACACTCGTCGAGACCGTCTTCCAGCGAAGCCAGATGTCATATCAGCCTCATTCAGGAAGGGTGCATCGCTCCTCTCAATCAGATTTGTTTCCCGTCCCACCACAGCCATTACACCACCCAAGCGGGCAGGCTCCTTCAAACCTGCTTTCGGCTATAACCTCGCCGTCTGAGCAGCAAACTTCCGAAGACACTAGATATCGCTCAATCCTGGATAGGGTTGTTGAAAAAGCCCGTAATGCGGCATTCCCATCCAGAGGGTCATTTGATATGACCCACATGCGGAATGCTCTACCTGGTGATACGGACTCTTACCAGAGTTTCGATGGCCTGGACATCATGGGTACATTTCGTTCAACTAATCAGCTAGAGCGCGACAAGAAGGTTGGGGCTGCAGGCGAGTTATATGTGAGCAACCTCATCTATACGTCGCAGGTTTTTCGAGGCTAACAGATATATTCGTGTAGGTATTCGAGCTTCTGTCAAGTCTCAACTTGCCAAATTGGAACCGAACGAATTGGCAAAGCACGATCAGATCGTACACGACTATCCATCCAGACTATACGAATCTAGAGGCTTGGAGAGGGAGGGAAACCGCCGACCTAGTTTACGTCGATACTGAAGGGCACTTGACAAATACGCTGATCGATTGTGGCTTTATTGGCCACGATGAGTGGCATGGAGCGCGGCCCAGATATTACATAGAAGTCAAGACTACGACTGGGCCATGTAGTACCGCATTCTACATGAGTGGCAAGCAATACCAGCTGGTAAGCGGTCGGAGGACAGTTGTTCTGATCATGGGCTGACTTGACACAGATGCAACAAATTCACCACACCGAAGACCATTCGGAGATCTATATGGTCTTCCGCGTGTTCCAGCTCGATAGCGACGGGATTGGCCTGTGTATTTATACTGACCCAGAGAAACTCAGGCAAGATGGGCATCTACTCTTCAAAGGACAGGCGTGGTCTATTACCCCAGGACCCAACATGGGGTAGGTCAAACTTCACACTAAGGTAGATGACGATGCACTTATAGCCACAAAGAATGGTAGAAGGGAAATGAGAGGGACTTCAGGCACGAGGAACGAGAGTTATATGGAACTAGCTATTGCAGTTGACAGCGCTGTAGATCAGTAGATCCGCAATAGTTTCCAACGTTAACATCAAACCGTCTTGGGCAAAGCAGATACTGCACCGCAGGCAGCCACATATTGTGAGAAGCCATGGAACGAGCTGTGTGACCAAAATTCTCCGTTTCTGATATATAAAGACTTGAGGATCTGAGAAGAAGTTCGATAATGTCGAAGTAGCCTTCAGCTGAAGCGCATACAAGCGGAGTCCAATCAGTCTTTTTTCTGGGTTAAAAATGCCGTATGTTGTGATACAACATAAATGCAGCCATAGAAAAGGCACCTAACATGAGTATAAAAAATTCCCCGAAACCAGTTTAACGCCATCTGATCAACCGTCCCTTAAACCAGCCGTATATCCGTAAATCGAGATCAAACTAATTATCATGGCGTAACAGGCTTACCCATGACGACGAGATACCAAGACATCGGGACAAACGGCACGGAAGCATACGCGTTGGCTACGATGTCCACAATAAAAAACCGTCGCAAACAAGGACAAGTTGGACGGAACGTAAAAATAGAAAAAGAAATGCAACTATTTCCTTGTTATTTCTCCGATTCAGTGGAGCTCCCTCTCGTTCCTGAACCTGTCCCCATTCGCGTGTCTTTTTTTGAAACCCCGGATTTTTACGTCACCTACGTCATATCGTGTTACACGTTGGACAGGGGTGTAGCTCTCAGCCCGGGAATAAACAAAAAGCAGCTCCCGTCTCTGCATCACCTTCTGTACCTTTATATTCATTTCTTTCGTGCCTTTAGTTTCCTTCAGTGAGCTTCAAAATGGTGGGAAAACGTCAGTGGAATAATGAAGGCGCTCGCCATCGCGGCCGTCACGTCGGCGAAGAAACAAACCACGATGAACACCCTCGCGATCTCGAAACAGGTCGCTACTCATACTACGACCCCAACAAGAAATCCCGTCCCAAACCACGAATAATGCAATTCCAAGATGCAGCGCGCACAGCTCTCGAAGACGCCCGTCGCGGGGAGATCAAGCGCGCATTACTCCACGGCATCGATCGTCAAGGACTCGAGAAGTACAGAAAATCAGAAGAGGAGCTCAAGGCGATGAAGAATAAAAAGATCCGTGCTTTTTACGAGCAGCAGAACGAGCGGCTTAATGATTGGCTCGAGGTAGATGCCGTGGTGATGGCGATAGCGGATGATGTACTAGAGAGCATGAATCCTGATCCGGACCATGATGGTGATCAGGAGAGATGTGGAGGGATTCAGCGTGTAGAGGGCAGGATCGGAGAGTTGTTGCCTGAGGAGGAGAAGGAGAAGAGGAGGAAAGCTGCGAGAAAGGCGAATTTGGCTATCAATATCAACGTGATAGCTAATATTCTTCTTTTAGCAGGAAAGGCTTTTGCTGTGTTCACGACGGGGTCGCTATCGCTCGTTGCGTCGCTTGTAGACTCAGCGCTAGATTTACTGTGTACGCTCATCGTGTGGTCGACGAGTAGACTTGTGCTGTGGCGCTTGCAAGCGATGCAGCGACGATTCCCCGTTGGACGGAGACGGTTGGAGCCACTGGGTATTCTGGTGTTTTCGATCATCATGGTCATTTCGTTTCTGCAGATTCTGCAAGAGTCGTTCTCGAGATTGCTGAAGCACTCTGAGGCGGAGATTCTGAGCTGGGCTGCTATTGCGTCTCTGCTCGCGACGATTATCCTCAAGGGAGCTATTGGTCTGGGATGTCGACCTATCAAGTCAAGTCAGGTACAAGCTCTTGTGCAGGACTGCAAAACGGACGTCATCTTCAACACGCTCTCACTCCTCTTTCCACTGATCGGATACCGCGCAAACGTATGGTGGCTCGACCCCGTTGGCGCTGGGTTACTCTCACTCTTCATCATCTACGACTGGGGACACACATGTTTCGAGAACGTGGTCCGGCTCTCGGGCGAAGCAGCTGACGACCACACGCTCAAGAAGCTCATCTACCTGGCCTATCGCTTCGCGCCCGTGGTAGCGGGATTCAAGAACGTCACGGCGTATCATGCTGGAGATGGCGTCTGGGTTGAGTTTGACGTGTTGCTGGATGAGAAGACGCCGCTGAATAGATCGCATGATATCGCGGAGACGCTGCAGTATTGTGCGGAGGGGTTGGGGGTTGTGGATAGGGCGTTTGTGACGACGGATTATGCGGCGAGTGGACCTTTGGGACACGCGCTGGATTCGGAGTGGAATCATTAGGAGGTGAAAGAAAGAGTAGGTAGGGGAGAAGGGAGAGGAGGGGATTTGTATGATATAGGTGTAAGATATGTGTTGGGCTGAGCTTGGCTTATGGCATAGATTGCGAATGGGCTTGGTTGTGGACTTGGCGGGTGAGATGGTTCAAGATACCCTCACATATGATGGGATAGGATGAGGTTGAGCATGAGCATAAGCGATCTGAAACGATAAATTGATGAGTACATAGAAGCAATAGACATACTCTTGATCAAACCCATTTTAATTCGGTAAAAGATGGCGAGAATATCCAGTTGTTGCAAAGTCATTTGATGCTAAGTCTGCCATGGCGCCAAGTCGTGTGAGCATTCTTCTGTCGTTGACTTCGTGAACCCTTCAACATGGCTTTGTTTTTTGGCGTCCAAATGAATCATCATGAGTATCTTATCATGGTCTTTCTGGAGTGGTCATGATGAACTAGTGGACCATGGACCTTGATGTCCTCATGATGCAATGTCCATCAGGGTACGTCCTCAACACCACAAATGACCGAAACTATACACAATATGGCTTCAAAAATGACCAAAAGGGTTCTCAATCCTCATGAGATACTCCATGAGGGCTCACAATAGAGGGCTGAACCTGTCACCATATAAACCAGCATCTTCCCCAGACCCCTGCCACGACTTACACTTCAACCGCCATCACAATCACAATCACCATGTCATCAATCCAAGTAGAAGAAGACATCTACGACGTCCTCGTCATAGGCGCCGGCCCCTGCGGTCTCGCCATCTCAGCCCGTCTCCACGAACACACCCCCGCCGCACTCTTCACCGACGAAGAACACCGTCGCTTCCACTGGATCTCCAAGTACGGCAACAAAATGCCCCTCAAGCACGTCCGCAGCGGTAAAATCTCTCCGCCCAAGCACGCTGCAAAACCGCAGTATAAAATGTTGGTTCTCGATGCAGATAGCGACACCTGGATGGGCCGCTGGAATAGGCTGTTCAAGATGTATGATATCTCGCATCTGAGGAGTCCGATGCTCTGGCATGTTGATCCGCTTGATCGGGATGCGCTGCTGGCGCATGCGTATGCTAATGACAGAGCGGATGAGCTTGTTGAGATTAGGAATTGTGTGGGTAAGGAGGTTAGTAAACATGGGAGGAAGAAGAGTGGACAACGAGCTTGTGGTCGCAGGTACCCCCGCCCCCCCTTCCCCTATCCTTTTCACTGAGGGCTATTGAACTGACGAGGTGTAGACAAGAAGCTCGTGTTGACATCAACGTGAGAGAGCGCAATGACTACTACAACCCCTCAACGTCTCTCTTCTGCGATCACTGCGAAAAGGTAGCAGCGCGGTATAATCTCAGCTCAAACATGATCCGCAAAGAAAGCCTTCAGCATCTGGACTACGATGAAGTAAAGGGCATTTCCATCGACGGCGAGAAACTCTTTACCGTGACAACCAACAAAACTCGTCGCTATGCTCGCACAGTAGTGCTGGCAGTCGGTCCAGCAAACGTTGCCAAGATCCCCCACATCCCTTCCATGCCCGACGGACAGCTCCCCCAGACGTGTCACAGCATGCACATCACCGAGTTCCCAGACCCCATCGTCAAAGCTCGAATCGCTGCGAAGAAAACAACGAATATTCTCATCGTTGGCGGTGGTCTTACATCTGCGCAATTAACAGATCTTGCTATTCGGAAGGGCGTCACCAAGGTCTGGCATGTCATGCGTGGACCACTGCGCATCAAGCATTTCGATGTTGGACTCGAATGGATGGGAAAGTTTAAGAATGCAAAGCAAGCGCAGTTTTACTACGCTGATTCAGACGATGAGAGGATCGAGATGATCAAGGAGGCGAGAGGTGGAGGAAGCATCACGCCTGTATTCCACAAGCGACTCAAGAAGCATCTTCTCTCAAAGAAACTCGAACTCTTCACCGAGACAAGTCTCACCGATGCCCAGTTCGACGCTGAGAAGGGCACATGGAGTGTTCAGACCAATCCACCCATCGACATGCCAGCCATGGACTACATGTACTTCGCAACCGGCATCCAAACAGACTTCTCCTCGCTTCCCTACCTACAAACAATTCTAGAGAAACACCCCATCGAAGGACGCGGTGGGTTTCCCTGCATCAACAACGATCTCATGTGGAACGATGATGTCCCGCTCTTCATGATGGGAAGACTGGCTGCACTGCGTCTTGGCCCTGCGGCGCCGAATCTAGGCGGCGCGCAGGTCGGTGCGGAGAGGATCGCGTGGGCTATTGAGGATAGGGTTGCGAGGCGTGGGGAAGATGAGGGGGAGGATTTTAGGAAGGGGTATTTATCTGGGCATGGGAATATGTATAGTTCTTTAGCTTGTGAGTAGATGAAGTCATGGGGTTGCTATTGGTTGGAGTGAGCTGAAAAGAGTACCCCTGCATTATCCCCGCACCGTTAGTCCGTTAGTTAGGTACCGTAATGACTACGCCTCAATCCTTCAACACCAACGCTCACCTTGTCCTCTGCATATTTATCATCACATCCCCCTTCATCTCATCCTCCCTCATCTAAATTCCCCGAGATCATCATAAATGGCCCGCACAGGGATACAAAAAGTAAGAACGGGCTGTAAAACATGCAAGTACGTAACTCTCTCACCAAACACGTTCTATAAGTTAACTCTCAATTAGAGCCCGCAAAGTGAAATGCGATGAGACCTGGCCGCGCTGCAAACGCTGCCTTACAACAGGGCGCACATGCACAGGCTACATCGCTCCACCACCTGGCTCATTCTCATGGACTTCTCTTCTGCGCATCAAACCTCAGACTCTACCTATAGCCAACACAAAAGAAGTCCGCAGCTTATCATTCTTTCATCACGTGGTCGCTCCCGTGCTCTCCGGTCCATTCGATGGATCCTTCTGGACGTATTTCGTTGTTCAGATGGCGCAGTCGGAACCAGCGGCACGTCATGCCGTGTTGGCGATAAGTTCACTCTTTGAGAGCTTTGAACCCACAAGGGAGAGTGTGGCTGATGAGTTTGCGATCATGCACTATAACAAAGCCATAAGTATTCTCACGCGCGATACTAAACCGTGTGTTGATACCGTTTTGTTAGTGTGTATGATGTTCATATGCATCGAGTTTCTACGCGGCAATCGTGAAGCAGCGGTCACACATGCTAGCCATGGCGTACAGCTCCTCAACTCCGAAGGCCACAAATCCCGCCTCGCAAACACCTTTGCGCAAATGAGCGTCTGTCCCCTCTTCTTCATCGAAGTAGGCACCGACTTCCCCCTCCTCCAAGGCGATGACAGCGCGGATCTGAAGAACCCCGTGTTCTACACCATGAGCGAGGCGCAGCACGCCTTGGAGCATCTGAGTATAAGGATAATAAAGCTTGTTCGCGATGGGAATGCGTTTCGGTTGCATGTCGTTGATGAAGCGCCGCAGGAGTGGGTTCTTAATGAACAAGCGGAAGCGAAGCAGGATCTTGAGGCTTGGGGGGTTGCGTTTGAGAGATTTCGGGATAATCGGCCTTTTGGGGAGGATAGCGAGGACTTGCCGACGTTGGCGCTGATTACGAGATATAGGCTTATGAAGACCTGGGTTGTGAATTGTTTTGAGAGAGGAGAGATGGGGTTCGATTGGATGAAGGAGGACTTCATCGCGATCGTGGACTGTGCTCGGAGAGCAGCAGAGTACCACGAGGCTCAACGTACGACACCAGGGAAGTTCATGTTCAACGTTGGATTCAATCCCATGCTTCATTTTACAGTATGGAAGTGCCGCTACCTGTCTCTTCGGGTCGAAGCCCTATCACTCATGCGCCGGTTGTCAAGTCAGCAAGAAGCACTGTGGGATGCAGCGCTGTTATACAACGTGTCGCGGCGGATAATCGAGGTTGAGCACGACATTGATCTATCTGGTGATTGTGATCTTTATGATCAAAGACTACCGCCCGATGAGAACAGAGTAAAAGGTTTCTTCTTTAGAGAGGGGCCAGAGGCAGAGTCGATTATGTGGGATAAAAACGCCGAGACGGTGTATTTTCTCATGGCACATCCCGAGGGTGGTGTGATATATAGGAAGGACTACGTTAAGAACAAGGACTTGGTCTCGGATTGCGGGCTGACTTTTTGGATGTGAGCGAATCTCTGTTTGTAGGGCTATTATTATAGATCCCTGATTTTAGATAGAACAATGCATTGCTGCCAACAGTGGCCCTCATTCTAACATCTCGAATAGTCTAAGCGCGCTTGATCATTGCCTCACGGTCGGGGCCGGTGCCAATGTACTTGATCTAGGAGATGTACGTTAGCAAATTGTCTTCTCCCATATCGGGGCACCATACCTTGACTCCGATGTATTCCTCAATGAACTACACAATTGATCAGTAAAAGTCATTTTTAAAAACAGCGGTCACTGTACCTCGACGTATGCACGCGCTTCTTTAGGCAGCTCCTCGAAGGACTTGGCATTTGTCGTGGGTGTTTGCCATCCTGGGAAATCCTTGTACACAACCTCACATTGATCCAAGATATCCAGATCAGCTGGGTATGACTCGATTTCCTGCAATAACATTAGTGCATCGCCACAGAGTAAGGAATCGTGGAAGGCTTACCTTGCCGTCGATCTTGTAGGCTGTTGCGACGCGGATTGTCTCAAAGGTGTCGAGAACATCGAGCTAAATGACTTTGGTTAGTATTGTGACGAACAACTGATGAACCGAAAGTGCTTGCCTTGGTCAAGTTCAGAGCGGTGTAGTTGTTGATGTCATTGGAATACTTCAAAACCACCAAATCGAGCCTGCATAGTGTTAACAAGTCTCTAAATGAACGCGGCCCTGCTTACCATCCGCATCGGCGTCTGCGGCCAGTGGATGTTCCCTTGACACGTTAGACTAAGTGATTCAATAAAGTGTCGATAGTGTCTCACCCATTCTCGTCCAATTTCTTGGAGCTTGGTTCCGACCCTACAATGAATCAGCCTCATATCGCACTTCTCAACAGCGAGTTACTCACTCTCCCAAGTCTTCGGTCTTGAAGGCTCCCGAGCCCACTCTTGTCGTGTAAGCCTTGACGACTCCGATGATGTCTGTGATCTTGGTGGGATCCAAGGTGAGTCCGCCGATAATACCGGCGAGCGAAGTGTTGGACGATGTTACGTACTACTTCGTCAGCTATTGTGACCCGGTATCGGAGTTGGGTTCATGAAACTCACAGGATAAGAACCATAGTCAAGATCGAGCATGAGCGCCTGGATAGACGAAATCAGCACTGCATCACCAAACTCATACCAAAATTCTCACGTTCGCTCCCTCGATCAGAATGGGAGTGTTGCTCTTCTGCGCTGACTTCATGAAAGATACTCCATCAACAGAATATTTTCGCAGCTTCTCTCGGTACTGCTCAAACTGTGCAAGCTCCTCTTCGACGTCGTATTTGAAGAGATCTCCATAGCGCTTTCGGTAGCCGTCGGCCAAACGTCGAAGCTTCTGCTCGAACAGCTTGGGGTTGAAGACATCGGCCAGTCTAATGCCACTTCGCTATTGGGGTTTAGCAAGCATTCCAAAACTAGTTTTAAGTGCCGTCATACCGCAGCTTTGCAGCTATACGAGGGTCCGATACCTGAAATGGTCAATATCAAGTCATATGCGACATTTTCTCAAACAAACCGCGTCCAGTTGTTCCAATCTTGCCCTCTAGTCAGTGTTAGCCATGTTCAGTTGCATGTGCCACAAGACCCGTGACCAACCTCCGAGCTCCTGTTCCTCAAGTCCATCAGCTGCGATGTGGAGCTGTAGATCGATGTGCACTCGATCAGACACACGAATTCTATCGTGGACCGCCTCAAGCCCCTTGTCCGATAGATCTTGTAGCTCCTTGAAGAATTGCGGCACGTTGAACACTACTCCGGAGCCGATGAAGTTCATGCTATTATATGTCAATTGACTCGGTCGCTGGCTGCGTTTCAGACAATGGGTTGATAGTACCATTTCGGGTTGATGAGTCCGGAAGGAAGCAAGTGGAAGCTAGCAGTCGATCAGTCGTCGTAGAACTCGTAGCTCGAGCGTCGGTTTGTTACCTGTACGAAACTCCATTGGCACTGCTGGAGTTAATTATCCATTTATACGAAACGGTTTCCACCAAGAAACATGTCCAACTCACACGATAGAGTGTCCTGCATTATGACCTCCCTAATCTTCATTTAATAACTGATCGCCTCGGTCGGTTGTGTTATGACTCACAGCAGCGCGAGCGCAGAGTTTAGCCTCCGGGGCAAGGATATCGGTCAGCTTTCCTTTCTATACCATGAGCATGTCAGTATTTCATCTCCCAGTTGTCTTCCAATCGTCTTGGAAACACGTACGCCCTCATCTCCTGTTGAGCAGGAAGTATTAGCGCATCAAGGAACATCAATGCCATTGCCAGCGGAAACTTGAACCAGCAGAGTCCGCATAACATTTCAAAGCTGTAATAGCGCGTACATACCCCATTGGGAGCCAAGAATGATCGTGATGGCCATGTTAAAGATCGAAACGACGGTTCTCGGTGGTTGCGTTGTTGTCGTTTGGAGAAAATCATTGAGATGGCATGCAGGAAGAAGAACCACCCCACCATGACATGCCCCGCCGGATAAACAGATTCCCCGAAGTCGCGACATCGGAAGCGCATACATTTGAGATTCTCCCCAGACCCGCGAGATGTTCTTCTAGCACCCTCACTCTTAGCCTAAAACAATCGCCGTAGGTTTATGTCAGTCAACACTTACAATGATACTCTGTCGCATTATTTTCAATCTCAGATCCTATTTTAGGCATTTTGACCTCTCGAATTAGGTTTAGCCTTCATCTGTTACCACTCTGCAAGATATCCCCTGTGAGCTAACCGCCTTTAGTCTAGCATCCCTTCCCTTAAGGCTGAGCAATGGATCCTTCGTTTCCAATCTAATTACGCGATTGGCCAGCTCGCATTTGACTGCGCACTCTTTGGCGAGCATGCCATCCAACTCGCATTTCACCATGTCGGACTCAATGAGGCATTGCAAACAACCTCAATTATAGAAACAGAAAATATACTTATAAGGCCCCCAAATCCCATCTCATCATGTATCTGTATCATTCTCACTATCAACATTCAATATGCATTCTAATCTTGGAGCTCTTATTCTTTATCTCCTCTCGGGATCTGCTTTAGCATCTGCAATCCCTGCCCAAACACAATCCCACGATGTTACCCTTTTAGCTCGTGAAGCGACAGAGACAGCTGCGCCAGAGGGATGGTTCACCACTACGAAAAACATCGCTACTATTGGCGGTACAACAGATAAATACGTGACCATCCCTGCCAAAACAATCTCAATTGTCGTCCCAACATGTGTCCAAACTCTCGAGCCCGATGAGAACGGATATCTACCCCCAGGAACATGCAATGCCCACTGGAACTACTATCCCAGCTTTGCAGCTGCTGTAGTGTTCGCTTTACTTTTCGCGGCATTGACTGGTGTGCACATTTGGCAAGCTGCTCGGTATAAAAAGGTCCGTATGTTTTACTTTTGTTGTGCGCTGTGTTAGGATGAAGCTGACTGGTATAGACATGGTGTTGGGTTATTATCATGGCGGGGATCTGGGAGACAATGGCTTTCACCTTCCGAGCGATAAGCACGAAACATCAGCAAAGCACGGGAGTGCTCTTGACGTTTAACATCTTTATACTTCTCGCGCCAATTTGTATGTCAATTCTATTCCCTGGCATCGCATTACTAACAATGGCAGGGGTTAATGCGTACGCATACATGACTCTCGGTCGAATGGTCTACTACTTCATACCCTCTCAGTCCCTACTCCGCATGCCTGCTGCTACATTGGCTGCTATCTTCGTTGGCCTGGATATCCTATCATTTATTGTTCAGCTCATCGGCGGAAGTATGTCTGGGCCTGGATCACCACCTGACGAGCAGATGAAAGCCGTGCATATCTACATGGGTGGTATTGGTCTCCAAGAGTTCTTCATTGTCATCTTTGTTGTCCTCTGCTTCCTCTTCCAAAAGAAGATGCACACGATTGAGCGCCAGCATCAGGGTCTCAAGGCTTTCGCCACATCCGACTGGGGCATGCTTCTCTGCACGCTATACTTCTCACTTGCCATGATCTCTGTGCGCATTATCTACCGACTCATTGAGTTCTCTGGCGGAATGGGTCAAGATAATGCTCTAGTTACACATGAGGTGTACTTCTACATTCTTGAAGCAGCACCTATGTTTCTGGCGCTATTGGCGTTCAATGTTGTTCACCCAGGAAGGATCATGACGGGTCCTAACTCGGACATGCCTGGATTGTTCTCGTTCATCAAGAACAAGATTCGGGGGCGGAAGGGAAAGCAGCTGTTGGACGACCGTAGCGACAGTGATGTTGAGTTGAATACCCGGTACGAACCGACTAGAGAGGTTGGGCATTATGATACTGAGCCCCCGCGTTATGGATAGGTTGACTTTGGGTTGCTGTTCGATAGAGGGAGTTTTGGGCCTAAATTTTGATCTGAGTGGTTTGCTTAGGAGTTTGGTATGATATGCAACATTTTGTCCCTTGTTAGTTTTTTATATAGTAGAGTCTAGAGATACCTTATTCCATTGCTTTCTTGACAGAATTGCTTAAGAGCCTCCCTACCAAATAGCGATGTATATTTTCCCATGATTATACCCCCTAAAAGTAGTTGGTGTAGTAGATTAAAAAAAGCTTGAGTATTGGGACAGCTTCAGGGTAATACTCATGACACGTAAATCCGGCCATCCTCAGGAATCTCTTGATTGCAACATCATCTCTGGAGTTGGATAATTGTACTGCTTTCTAGCAATATCGAAAATCGCAATCGAAAATCGCAGAAAAAATTGTTTAGAAATCGTTTTTGGCCTTTTGGTCTGCGGATTGTCATGGTAGGAATCTCTTCCCTCTCTTTCTTGGTCTCAAGGTCACGGTACGAAAATCCGGGGATGTGGGCTTGTGGAGCTTGAATGAACCACGGCGTTGATGCAACGTCAAACAATACACTTGAACCTCTTTAGGATGATACCACCAATTGACCTTGTGTCACAATTGAAATGTCGCCATTCTTTGTCTCGGCTCAAAGCGGCTTGTGATTTTCGTTTCTCAAGTATGCGTTGTGATGTCATTCTTCTTGACGTCACCATATCGTAGAGGAGCTTGACTTCACCTCACCGCAAGCTCCCAAGCTCAACTCGCAATAAACAAACCATCAACACAAACACAATAAGATATCTCTCAAAAAAATTGACCTATTAATCAATTTACAAAATGCGCTTCCTAACCACTCTCCGCCCAACCACCCGTATCGCCCCGCCCATCCCCATCCGTCCCTTCCACGCCGCCCGCAATTTGTATCAAGACAAAGCCAAAGACAGCAACGGGAGTTTTATTGACGGCCTCGCAGAGAGCGAAGCCAAGGGACGTACAGGCGGCGGCGAACCCCTCGACGCTACGTCTAAGAACGCACCTCCCCAGCCTAAAGTGTCGAACCAGAGTATCCCAGGGAACCAGACTGATGAGTTGACGGAAGAGCAGAAGAAGGAGGTTGAGGAACATAATAAGGACTTTGATAAGAAGCATGATCGCGGTAATGTTGCGCCGGGGGATAAGGTTGATAAGAAATTCTGGGGCGGTGAGAGGCATGGGGAGAAGGACAAGGAGAGTGCGACACCGCCCAAGGAGAAGTGAGGACGGAATGATGATAGTCTGTATGTCAATGGATGGGATGTGGAGAACTCAAAGACCCGCGGATGATAAGTACACGTTATTTATGGGGCCAATGGAATCAGTTTTACGCGTCTGAATGTTGTCGTGGCGTGGTGTTTGCCCATTCCATACAAGAGCCTCTGGTGACTTATTCGTTTTGCCATATTCTTGGAACCACCAGGATAAACTCGAGGTCCAAAGATCTGCTTAAGTCGATCTCTAGAAGCAGCGTGCTCATCTAGTGTTTGTAACCAAGCCCCTCAGCTCAACGCATCATCTCCACTGCCTCCCAGTATGGAGACATCATGTTGACTTCCTCTACCCCAGAGTGACTGATTCCGAAGCTCGAAATCACCCTATGCCTACTAGATACTCGCTCAAGAACTGAGATCCTGCCCAAGCATCCATCCTTCTCCTCGATAGCGTCTTTGCTGCTATCAGTCTTGGGAAGTGGATCTGACTGGGCCATCTCCCACTAGCCAATCATGGCCGACAGATTACAGTTTCAGCCAATCACATAACACGGTGTACTGTCATTCTTCACAAGTAGAGCCACATCTCATCCCCCATGCAGATGTTTTCGAAGGGCCTCGCTTCATTTCTCCATCTCGGGGGTGTACTTGTACGACACCGGGCCATAGTACAAGACCCCAGCATCATCGGTCTTCTTTCGTTGACTTACCAAGCATCTTGCCATGTCTCGGCTAAAGAAATAACACTGCAGATCAAATTCAGCAAAGACCGTAACGCGGAACAACTTTGTGGTGTTGATCATGGGCTTGGGCTTCGGTTCCACCATAGTAACCCAATATGGAGATCTAAAGTGCTAAGTTGTGTTGCAGGAGAGGTCTCCGGGCACCTGCATAAGTTGGGCTAAGATCTCAGTAAGTACCTCGCATGGCGCAAGTCGCCAGCGTTTGAAGAGTCTCCCTTAGGATAATCCGGCAATTATATCCGCAATAGCTCCGCACTGCTTCTGATAAGGCACTGTCGAGCTACTCATCTTCTAGGATGTTATTTCGGTAGTAGCAAGCCGAGGTTTGGTCGTGTGTAAGCCTCTGTATGGCTCTGGAGAAGCCCTAAGCTGTCTTTCTTCTCCACCGCAAGCTGGCTCTTAACATCGATGATCTCTTTATCGGCATTCACTCGAGACATACAGCTAATATAAAGATTAATTGCATGTTGAAGCTGTTCATCTGACACGGCGCCGTATGCGGTATGTGCGATAGCGAACCCACATCATCCAGGTCTGCATGTACATGAGATGCTTCGGGTTGTGGACAACACTGCGGTGGCATCAGAGATCTTCTGGAAAGCGTGCCGGTTGGTACTAAGGATCATGTGTCCAGATAGGATATCCTCAAGGCCATGAGCGGATTGGGCCATTGTATAGGGAGACTAGGGACTTCCACTGTTAAGGAGCAGGAAGAAAAGAGTGTGTGAAGGTTGGATTGTTTAAAGTGGGTTTGAAATCCAGACACCGGGACGATGTCACCTGCACATTGAGTACCGTGAGGTGGCCCAGAACCACCCACCAGTCCCCTCAACCTAAGCGTAGGAACGGCTTAAAGTGCCTCAATGATCCCCCGAGCCTTGGGAGAACTGAAAACATTTTCTTATCTTTGAGTATGAGCAAATCTTGTGATGTTTCTGGCTGTGTTCTAAAAAAGCATGGTCTGGTGATGTCATAGGACAACAACCTACCTTTCGGTTCCAATCAGGCATCTATCTTCACCATACTCTTACTCTACTCTGAGAAAGGAAACAGTTCGCAGAAGAAAAGAAATATATATAAAGGAGCGTGCGCAATACCTGCTTCGCTTCTTTGCCGTTTGCACCAAGATATCTGGAAGTTCACGAAAGCATCCATAGCTTATGTCTCCAATCTCCTGAGCGCAACTTTGTTAACTCAACGCACCCGGTATATAGAGGCTCACGCGGAAATGGCAATTACTGTCTGACTTGCGATAGCAGGGGTCATCCTTTTTATCTCTTCAAACTACCTACCCACATCCAGTTAAATCGTTAAGCATAGCGGCTGATAGGTGTCGTACCTGCCGAGGTGAGGTTCGCTCCAGAGTTGACCGAAGCTTCTGGCTCATTTCTAGATCAGCCTAGCGGTGCCAGAAGAGCGAAACGTCTAGCAGAACCAATGGACCATGGTGACGCGCGGTCCTCACGGAACAGATTATCCTACTCCAGGGTAGTCGCGATGTGATGCTTACTGAGAATTGAAGCTTGTTCGAGACTCAATCTTGCAATTTCGGCGTTCCAGGCTCAGGGTCATCCAGGGCGGTTCGGCTCAACGCGGCCCCACTTCTCCCTGGCAGCTTGAGGATGATCAGCAGGGGTATAGTGACTACTTAGAGGTTATTTCCAGTTACCTCATCTGTGTCGATAAACACCGCGTCATCTATTACCCCACCATTAGACAACGTCGTTTAGAGGGCACTGTATAATACCGTTCTGTCCTAACTACTGTAAGACTGGGTCGCATTTGGTGAGGGCTGTATCGAAAGTACAGGATGACTCTCCTCCGTCAGGCAACGAGCTTGACTGCTATAGCGGCACCAGGGACCGTCCCCTAGCATCTTATGATGAGGCTCAAATGACTAACGTACCACAAGTTGTGATTGCTACCAACTATTGCGCTTTAATGCAAACAATAAGTTGTCTCTTGATGCCTTGATTTCTCGTCGACAGAGTTCCAACTCGATGCGGAAAGATGCCGCTTGCTTTTGAGAGAGCTAGAATTCTAGCTGGGATGGAGATGTGATTAGCCTTACTCGTGGTGATCCCTGAAGACTGCACAAGTTGACAATCACAGGCTCCCGCCCAACCTACAATAGAGGTGTTTGAAAGTGAGAAAACGAACACTTGATTCGTATCTCCAAAGAGTAAAGAGGGCTTGGCTAACTGTGGATGCCAACTGGCATCGAAACCTCCCAATGAAGAACTATCCAGACGAACAAGGATGATGTAAGATACGGTAAGTACTAGGTACTAGGTGTGAGTACCTATGTGTTCATTGGCTGGCTCACCGGCTTCACCGGCTTCACCGACTTCACCTTGTTCGTTCACCTTGCTCACCTTGTTTCTAGCCCAGTGTCAAGGCTAGCGCTATCTTTGCGCCACCCTTTGGGGTTCTGACCAGGACTTTGTCCAATTAAAACACAGTATCTTTTCCTGCAGTTGGCACTTTCTAGCCCAAGTGATCGACTGATTTGACTGTGATGTATGATCCTTGCCTCAGCAGTTGAATCTCCAAGCAGGCGTTGAAGGTGACTGCCCAGATGCATCTCTTTCTCACAAGGCGTACGCGCAAGGCGTCCGCGTAAGGCGTCCGCGTAAGGCGCCCAAGGGCACCAACTCAGGTTTACACGGTGTAGCTAAAATGTTAAATGCAACTATGCCCCCACAAGAACATTTAGATACACATGAGGCCAAATTGACTCTACCTAAGGGGTAAGAAAAAACAACCCCTCGATGGGTGGAACGCCAGCGAATTGTGGTGTATCTTAAAAGTTAGTGTCGTTTATGTTTTCTCCCCAAGGGGTCACTTCACCGCTGACAAGCTGCTGAAGTTGCTGAACCGCACTTCCCCGCAATCAAACAACCAACACCCCTGGGCGCCACCTGCCGTTGCTTGTGTTCTCGTGAGGGTGCATCGGCCTCGATATACATTATACCTAGGTACCTACCTCAGGTACTTAGATAATGCTTTCTACTACCTACCTTAGTAGGCAGTAGGTAGTATTCCTGCTCTGAAGCGAACAGAAGAGGCCGAGTTTCTTTATTCCTTTTTGTAACTTGGGCTTCGATTATAGAAAAACGATAGTGATTGGATGACTTTCACCTCGACTATAGCCGTTAATAATTAACACGAATCTATTTGTGTTTATTTCTTTGATGCTGATGTTTTCAGCTCGATGACGAGCTCGGTACTCGAATCACCCGGAGAATCAGATGACAGAGTCGCAACTTTGTCAGGGGTATCCCAAATGTTTGAGGATCGTGGAAAGGCGAACCAAACCCATCATTAAAAGCCAACTGGAAAAGGCGAACCAAAACTGGATGGCGAACTAGTACTCTGCTTCAAGGCAACGGAAGTTTATAACAGTACTCCCCGTCTAGTCGAGTCCAAAAGTACCTAGGTACCTGCCAGAGCAAGAACCAAGTTCAATGATGATTTTGGGTGTGGACAGCCCTGGGTATAAAAAAACTTGGGTACTGGCCTCGTTATGTATCCTTCAAGGCCAGTATATAAATGTTTTCATTTGCCTTTCGTTTTTATATCTTGTAGTCCCAGAGCCAAACCACAAGCACATTATCCCATACTCATCCATTCAAAATGTCAACCCCTTCCCGCGCTCAAGTCCCTCGTCGAGGGAACCCATCACCCAACAGTGTTCATCAGAGCACTAAATACTCAGAGCAGACGAACGCTTGGCTTCGAGAGGGCCAAAACGATATGCCCTGGAACAACATTGATTCGGTTGAAATGTCTAGCAATGACAACTCTGAGTCCAACCCAAACACTACCGCTTCCCACAATCCCGCCGCTCAGGGCAGTGCCAAGTAGGCCTGTCTTGAAGTACCAAGGTGCTCTTGATGCCTCCCTCTGGGACCGAACATAACTGACATGATCCATCCCCATAGGCAAGCGTTAAGTCATCCTCATAGGCCACACTACTTCGTCCATCAACGTCCCACTCAAAGCCCTCAGCGCAGTAGTCGACATGGCCACGACTTGACTCGGGCCCCAGAACTCGAACGACAGCACAAGAGACACACAAGATGCATGGTTGCATACAGTAGAACACAAGATCTCTGTATTGGCGTGCTCAATGTAGACCTTGCTAGTTCAAACTGGTGAAGCACGGGATATCTATGTACATCAACCTCCCCGGTGGGAGCGATGATAATAGCCCTGTATAGTTTGGTCAGCACTCTGACAAAACAGGAACATGTAGACAGAACAAGATGTGCCGGTGGGTATCAGGAAACTTATAATGGAATCATACAAGAATTCTTGTCAAATACAATCTAGCGTGAAGTTTGTAGGTCATCATTTGGGAGGGGGTAGTGCTGCAAGTGAAATGAATAGTGACTTACTCAGCATAGATGTGTCCATTTGGATCGAACGAACATTCGGTTCGTCCATGTTGCATCCTCATCCGTACTATGATCATAACAATCCAGCCCGCGCAACCTTTACGGCCGAGCCAGTCCAGGTGAAGTGGTCCCAAAAATTTGACCGATCGTCCCACGAAATTGGTCAACAAGAGCCTTGATCATGCCTTGAGGCTTGCCTCTTCCATCAAGCCCATGGACAGGCTCAGTACCCATCGTCGGGAGAACATTGTCGCCAGCAGACAGACTAACGAACAGCGCGAATGGCACAAGCCAAACACAAAGTCCAAAATACGACGCGATTTGCGCGAAGCTAGGAACATCGGCCTTGTCGTAGTACGAGGTACGTTGGTACGCGCGCGACTGCGTATCGGAGAAATGACGGAACCAGACATAGTGATTGACCAAAACGAGAACTATATCTCGTTAGTAACGACTCAAACTTCCCGCCAGCCAAAGGCAGCATACCACATGATGCCAGGAACAACGGATCCGACAACTTCACAAAAGGAAAGCGTCTCATATTCCCCAGGTACACCACATGCGACACGATCGTCAAGACAGTAGCCCAGAAGGGCAGACCATCAACCAGCCATAGAACCGTCTGAATGCCAATGACGCTGTAGATAAGACGCGTCAGGAACCGCTTCGCGATAACGCTGTGCTCCTCGACGAGCTCGGACAGGTAGTATAGACCCGAGGCGATAGCAAGGGTCAAGAAGCAGAAACCCAGGAGGGTTCCTATGTAGCCGACAAGAGGTAGAATCCACATTTTGCGTTGCGTTGTGTTTGGGCGCAAGCAATGGTTTGAGTTGGAGCTCACATGTTGGAAGGAGGGGAGATGGTTATCTGCAGTAGGTTGAAAAGGAGATGTTTTGGACACGGTTTTAACTACCAATCAATTGCTCCATTCGTCGGCGAATAGAGACTCCGATTCCGATCGTGGTGGGGGTCACCGCTAAGAAGTTGGCCTTATCGATAGCCACGAAAAAGTCGTTTTTGCTCAACACCGGGAAATCGGCGATAAGGTGCAGCTCCAGGCTTCGTGACCCATTCATTTATTACAATTCTTAATCCGACACTGGAGATCTGGAATACTCTCAAAAGTCATTTGAATTACAGTCGCAACCATGTCTCGTCCTGAGGATACCCTGTATGTCACCACCACCCCGCCATCATGCCCCTCAAGCTCACAGAAACAGTGCCGCCGACGTCCACTATGACGATACCGAAGCGCGCAAGTACACAACAAGCTCCCGAATCCAAAACATTCAGGCCTCTATGACACGAAGAGCCCTCGAACTCCTCGATCTCAAGTCACCGTCCCTTATTCTCGACGTTGGCTGCGGCAGTGGTCTTTCCGGCGAGATCCTCTCCTCAATCGAGCCCGAAGAAGGCGGCCCTCACACATGGATCGGAATGGACGTCTCACCATCAATGCTGGACATTGCACTACAGAGAGACGTAGAAGGTGATCTGATGCTAGCAGACATCGGCCAAGGCGTACCCTTCCGAGCTGGTACTTTCGACGCAGCGATCAGCATCTCCGCTATCCAATGGCTCTGTAGTGCCGAAACAAGCGATACATCGCCCTTCGGCCGCCTAACCCGCTTCTTCAACGGTCTTTACGCATCACTCAAGCGCGGCGGTCGAGCAGTCTGTCAATTCTACCCCAAGAACGATGAGCAGCGCCACATGATCACCCAAGCCGCCGTGAAAGCCGGCTTCGGCGCCGGTATGCTCGAAGACGACCCCGGCACCAAGAACCAGAAGCTGTACCTCGTCTTGACCGTCGGAGGCGGTGATATTCAGAAGAAGGGCGGTGATATCACTGGTGTTGTTGAGGGTATGGAGGGTGTGGATGTTGAGGATGCGAGAAGGCAGATTAAGGCGCATGCTCCGAATATGTCAAAGGGTAGTAAGGCGTGGATCGTCAAGAAGAAAGAGCAGATGGAACGGAAGGGAAAGATTGTTAAGGCGACATCCAAGTACACTGGACGAAAGCGACGGATACAGTTTTAGGCTTGTGTGTTGGTTTGGCATTGTATGGCGTTGGGTGGGAAAATCTTTCGTTCTAGACCTTTCAATTTGATACGGATACCCTTTGAAGTTCATTCAGTTTCCTCTTTGACGAAAGAGACCTTTGTATTTTGATGCCTACACCAGGAGTATGGTGCTTTTCGAGTCACACTCGTCTTAGACGGCTGGCCAGAAAGCTTCTTCGGCGTCCAAGACATCATGCCACTTCCCTTGAACCCTCTTAAACAGCTTCGCCTTAACATCATCACCCTTCTCCTCCACGAGCTTGTTCACAGCATCATCAATAATCCTTCCAAGCTCACCCACAAACTCAACAAACTCCTTACACGTCCAGTTGTTGATAAACTCCTTCCTCACAGCCCCACCATCGGCGTCATTACCCCCATTATCATCAGAAAGCTGCGCCTTAGCCCACGACCAAGCATCAAGGTAACACTTTTCCGTTCCCCAGTAAATCACCGCAGCTTCCAGCCAAGGAAGTTCTTCTTTCTCGTTGGGAGACACAGAAGCGTAAAGAGCCTCCCAGCGTCGGAGACCTTCTAACTTGGTGCTTGAGTCAACACGGCCATCTTGTCCAGTCTCGAGATTAACATTAATGCCGTATTCTGCTGCTGTGTTTATAAAGAACTTCTCTTCTCGGCGGATGTTGACGAGAGCTGCGACGATCCAGTCTAGAAGCTTTGTTGTAGCTCCGGGGTCGACATTGGGTTGCACGGTATCAGGATACTCGAGAAAGCTGAGAAGACGACCAAGACCACGGCAGTAGCTGTGGATGTAGAGACGATCATTTGCAAGCCAGCGGCCGAGGAGCTCTTTTGATGCTTTGCCGTGACCTGCGAGCTTGAGGAATTCAGATTGGGTAGCTCGCTTGTAAGCTTGCTCGTCTGAGATGAGAAGCTGTTGGGTTAGAGAGTAGGACATGATAATGATGAATGAGGTATTTCCTCAGGTTGTTGATGCGGAGATGGCTTCATGGTCTGACGAGAGCTTGGCGAGTGGAATTATGTCATTGTCGGTGTAAAGTTGTTCCAGCTGCAGGATGTTAGTACTACAGGGTCTAATTCGAGTCGAGTCCGACGTGAGATCTGTATGAGGCTACGATGTACGATCTTTGGTGTTTATGAGTTTAGGTTGTTTTGTGTATTGTTGCGCCTTGTGAGACATTGCTCTGAACTTCAATTGTACTATGGGCGGCAATTCACTCGAGCTCATTGAGGTGCAAGATACTTCTTATGATGAAGAACATACGTTTCGATGACTTACATACTGGTACTCATTGATGGTTACTGTGTATCTCAAACTCTACCATTAGTTCTCTCGTCAGCAATGACGATCAACTTCTCGGGCCGTATACTCGGCTGCCCGGCGCATCAAGTAAATTCGACTATACTCAGAATTCGTAGTAGCCTATGAGAAGCATCCGTTCTCATTCAAAGTCTATCGATGCTATTCTTGGGAACGGACTCTCGGACTCTCGGAACCTCCAAGAATGTAAAAACCTAACATCGACGGAACATTCATATCCCCGTTAGGACCGCAGTTGATCTTCAACGCCATGTAATTTCCTCCCCAGCCTCATCCATGCCAACCATGTGTCCAAATCGCCCATCCCTTCTACTACCAAAAGCTTGGCAACGTTCTATAACCCGCTAATCGCTCACAATTGGACATCCAGCACGATCAACTTCCTGGTTCATTCTGCTTCAACCGTTGCGTGATCGCCGTTATCCCCGTCAAGTTATTTTCTCTGCTGCGTCCCTTAATCTGGGGGAACGAACGGCAACGAGAAGCTTTGCCGACAGGGATCATGCAGCCCACTTGGTTTAATTAATGATGGCATCCCCCACAATAAGGGGGTTGTGTTGATTTACTTGATTATCAGCAGACGAAGAAGAAGCAAGCAAGCAAATTATATTGCGTTTGTTTGAGATTTTGGAATGGGCAGTTTCAGCTTGAGTTGTTCTTTTTGGTCTATGCTGTTCGTGCGGTGAGTTTCACGGCGCATTGATGGAGGATCCAATGTTAAGAGAATGCATGAATATGTATCAACGTTTAGTCATAAACTATTGATAGAAATGTCGATCAGGTACACGTAACATGATGTGACAAGACCAGTCTAGATCTCGTATCAAATCCGATTTCGAGAGGGTCAATTTCACTGCTCACGAGATGCACCCCTGATTTACAGGGACCCCCAGCGGCATCGAGGGGCTGAGCTTCTGAAACATGGAGCTCTCGGAAGCATGTCATTCAACTGAAAAGCGCATCGTCAGTCTCGCATTGGCCTTTTAATGAATGCCTCTTGCCCTTGGATGCAATAAACCCCCCTTCCCTCTTTTTTCCTAGGTTTTGCTCCCCTCTTTAGCAGACTCGACTTGGCTCTTGATTGTTTCTTTCATTTTGCTCAGAATAAAACAAACTGAATCGTTAATTTAATCTTTTTTATTACTGCACGCTCACTCACTTTATATCATGATTCTCGACAAGGAATTAGGCGCCCTTGCGTCTCGCGCTGAGGGAATGGGTCTCACGCGGGTGCTGCCCAGAGAAGCCAAGGAAACATGCCACGATGATCAATACTCGGATACCTGCGAAAAGCCCAATATTAGCACAGGCGAGATCATGCTAATTCTCTTTGTCGCCAGGTATTTATACCCCATTTCTCGCATATCGGTAATTTTGTCTTGGCTGACCTCATTCCGCAGCGCCGTTGTAGCCCTTGGCGTTATCGCCATGCTATGCTACCTCCATCGCCGTCGACAGCGCCTGGACAAACTCGAAGACCCGAAGGACTTCCAAGAACTCGACGACTACGGCATTGCGCCGGTCAAGCAAAAACCAGCAAATATGCCCCGAGCACCACCGCCGACGTATGAACGATCACAGGACAAGAAGGAGATGAACACGGCTTCACCGGCGACTACGAATGAGAATTGGGGACGGCAGAGGGACTCGACTGATTCGTTAACGCCGTCGCTTCGACAAGCAATGGGGGTGACGCCCCGAGATACATTGGCCAATCACTAGGGAGGTATTCCACTGTGGACGGTAGGCGGATGAGCTACTGCAGGTGTCGATCGGTTATGCATAATTGACCTGAGGTGTCGGGTGTTTCAGAGATGCAGCTACGCGATAGTCGCCGATTTACAGAGGGGATAAACAAAGATTGGCATGTCTTTACGATGGCGTTTGGGAGATCAATTGGTATGCACGGCGTACGGGCTTCTTGCAGGATGGCGTTCCTTTGGTCGGGTTTGGACTACCTTGCTCATGGCTAGCGAAAGTTTCCTTGACAATTCGAGAATATTTTGATACTTGGTTGCTGGTGATGCTTCTGTTATGGGGAAGGAATCGAGACATTCCCACTGTGGTCTAGGGTGAGATGAGCCTTGCGAACCTGAGGTAAGACTCCTTGTATGTGACGATTTCGGTCCGCCCTCTCAGGTTCTCTCTGCTTGCTCACTGAGATTAGAAGCTCACTACCCAATGCCAACATGTGTAACGAGATGCCTTGAGCGAAGTGCGTTCTCGTGTGTGTAACCTTGATTCAGTTTCGTTCAGATCAGCCGATCACATTCGTGAAGTGATGGGGCTCAGTGTAACTGTGTTATCAACAAACTTTAGGGCATATGCTTCTTTGACGGCTGTGATACACTCTTAGGATTTAGACCTTGTGTGCCCTGATAAAGGTTACGTAGGTTTCGTGAGTCATAGAGTTAAATAAACGAGTTAATGGGCCCTTCTTCCTCTGTCAAAGCAAACACATCGTAACGTTTCTTCTCTCTGAACAATCGTTTCTCAACATGGCTTCCGGTTGCAACCAGAACAGCAACGCTACACCACGACACTTACAAATCTTCAATCCTCCTCTTGAGCCATGTGGTGACTTTCACCTGTTTCCACTTTTGCCTGACGATATTCGCTGGCTTGTTTGGCAACATTCTCTCAGTCACGAACGATGGATCGATATCAACCTGAATCGTCTGGATTACACAAATCCTCCGCACAGGATGCGAGAGCTGGCAAATTCCGAAGCGTATAGTGTCGTGTTAGGCCATCGTTGGAGGATCAGTAAACTCTTTCGGACCACATCTGAGTCACGCAGGGCTGCTTTGGCTTTCTACAGGATTCAACTACCGTGTTGGTACGAGTCGAAAGACAAGATTATGTCGAGAGTAACACTGTATGTTTGTCCTGAATTGGACCACTTCTTCCTCTGCGGCTTCAGCTTTGTCTATTTTGAGCGCTTTGCACATGACCTCTGGGCTTGTGACCCTTGTCATATCGGTTTGGTCAACCTTGCATTGCCAGCCTCATTTCCGAGCTGCTTTTTCAAGACATCGATTAAACCAAATTGTGAGCCTTCTGTCCTTCGACAAGGCTTATCCAGGATCGAGCGTCTTACAATGATGAGTGACAAGGGGGCAAAAACGCTAATACGCCAAAGCCGTTACCCTATCTACCAAATGAATCATGTCGTTCCCATCAGGAGTGCTGTTCAGAGCTTCGACAGACTGCCATATGACCCTCGATTGCATGGTGAAGATCTGAAGCAAGTATTTCTAGGCGATATTGATTCTCAAGGGCCATTCAATCGCTGGCTTAAACTACTCTCGACCTCAGGGGTGCATCACGAGCACAAGGTCATCTATCAGTTTGGCATTTGTCGTGGGTATAAAACCGGCTATTCGCACAGGGAACCTGTCATATCTAACCGCCAATCCGCTGTTGAATGGGTTCAGCATGACACTGATGAATTCCGAAGATGGTTTGAGACCTTTCATCGATCACCAGAACTCAGAGGTCAAATAGACCATGAGATTGCCAGAGTCTTCGAAGAATCACCACAGCCAGTCGTTGGATTCTGGCTATTCCCGATGGAGAGTGTCTTTGTTCCAGAAGATCCTAAGATTCATGGTACAGATGCTTCACGGGCAGGTTTAACGACAGTTGACATGTCACAACACATGCCGGAGCTGTGCCTGGCGAACATCTATTGACAGTGGCTGTGATCAACAAACACCTGAGCTTGGTACACTTTGGGCTAGGACCCATGATCCTCTACTGCCGAGTAACGACTTGTCAAGATTTTCATCCCATCTTTCACATACCTAGATAGCCATAACTTCTATGGGATCTTAGGATATTTTAGACTGGCTTAGGATAATCTGCACAAGTTTAGGATTTCTTAGACCAATTTAGGAGAATTCAGTCATAATAACCATAAAAGGTTGGGCTTGATATTGAAGACCTCTACACAATATTAGACGATATCGTCCCAGATTCCAGTTCACATCTAGTAAGCATAGAACAGAGTAGCCTCAGAGTCAGTCTGCCTGATCTTTCTGTTTTGCCTGACCAGCATCCACCTCATAAGCCAGACTCCAGCAATACAAGCTACAGCAAAACCAGCACTGCTTGAGAGCGGCAGCACATAACGTGGTGCATCAGATTTGGGCCATAGGTACTGTACGAGTTAGCGGTCGTTTTCAAGGATAGAGAGTCAAGGGTACTTACAGGGGTCCAGATCAGACTGAGTGTCGCACTGACGTTGGCGAGAGCTAGAGCAGAAGCCTTCTTCTCCCTCGTCTGTCCACAGGTATTGCCCACCCAAGCCAGAAGAATAGAGTTGACACCATAAGTACCAATAGTGAAGACACACATGGCAAAGTATCTTGCTCCAACGTTCATGGTAGCGCAAGCCAACACGAAACCGAAGGTAGCGACAATCTTGGAGATGGTGATGTGCCAGGTACTCTCGTTAAAGTGACCAGAAGACTTGGCCCAAAGAATAGAGAGAGCACCCGCGATCAAGAAAGGAGGACAGGTGAGGACGAGGGTAATAGTGGTGTTGAAGCCGAGCGTGTTGACGATGGTAGGGAAGAAGTTCTTGAAGCCGTTGGTCGCAAGGTGAAGATGCTGGAGAACGATGAAGACCCAGACTTTCGGGTCGACGATGGCTTCGCGCAGACCACTCCATGGATTTCCGTCGCCCTTCTGTCCGACTGTATCTCTCAGAACACGATCATGCGCAAGTTGACGCTGCTCAGGTGTGAGCCATCGCGTCGTCAATGGTTCATCAGGAAGAGTGAAGCACGCAACGATAGCAACAACAAACGTAACCGCACCCTGAAGGATAAACAACCATCGCCAGCCCTTGATTCCTGCCAATCCATCCATGCCCTCAAAAACACCCGCCGCAATAAGGCCTGCAAAAGCAGAAGCCAGGACGTTACCCGAGTAAAGAATACTGATCCTCGTCGCCAATTCCTTCCTGGTGTAAAACGTCGACAGCATGTACAGTGCACCAGGATAATAAGGAGCCTCCACGATACCGAGGAAGAATCTAGTGAGAAGAGCGCCGGTGTAGTTGTGGGCTACGGCCGTGAGGGAACTGACGACGGCCCAGGCCATCATGAAACCGCCCATGTACCATGATGGTCTGACGCGGGTGATTATCATGTTGCTGGGGATCTGGCCGAGGACGTAGCCGACGAAGAGGATTGAGACGGAGGTGTTGTACTGTGAGCCTTGGAGGTTGAGATCTTCCTCGAAGCCATTTAGGCGGGCGAGGGTGATGGCGTTGCGGTCGAGGTAGTTGAGCCAGTACATCAGCCACAGGGTCGGCTATAATATGTGTTAGTTAAAATATGCTGTCAATGGACACGGGAAGACTTACCATGATCCATTTGTCGAGCTTCTTGACGAGTTTGATCTCCTCAGGATCGCTCTTCGCTACCGCACCAGAGTAATCACCATTACCCTTCTTGTCAAGAACCTCAGCAGAGTACTCCTCATGAGCAGCGTTTTGCTTCTCAGCATCAAGGGTCTCAACGCCCATCTTGTGATCTTGGGATGTTATGATGATTGACTCTCACAAAACCTATCTCGGAGAAGTTGTGGAAGAGAATGATGGTTGATGCGAAAAAGCAGGGGGATGTCGCGGTATTTGAACTTGTTCTCTGGACTTGGGTTGTTCCCCGCATACCCCAGATTCTAGATATCCGGGGGTGGGATTGTTGAGGGGATCACCATGAGGCGAGGAGCGAGAATATCCTGGTTTCGGGGACGGGGCCGATGGCCGAGTTGTGGTTTTGCCAAGACGCCATTTTGGGGGAGCTAGATTGTCATGGAGGGGGATTTCTAGTGTTGAGTCAAGACTTGTGTAAGTGGATGATGTAGAGGATAACGATATCCGCGGAGGATAGCATTGGATCAATTTCGTTTCAAGAGTCTAGCTGATGAATCGAGAATTATAGACGGACACGAGAGTAGAATTGTTTCGTTGTTCTCCGTAATACGAGCGGAAATAAACATCCATCCTCATAGTCACATCACGATGCATCCATCATCCATCGACGTTGCGGTCCCAACCCCACGAGTCAGGATTAAGGTAACAATTAAGCTTAGTTCCCCAAATTCCACCCATCAAACCAACCAAAATAAAACCCGCATTCACTAGCCGACGCCCCATAACTTCTCCTTCTCAAGCGGGGGTCTCTCCATCCATCATCCTCTCACCATCTCGGCCTCGGTCTCCGTTGCCATTTATGCCCTCAAACGCCTGCGACAGATGTCACCGCCGCAAAGTCCGCTGTGACAAGATCCAACCTCAATGCGGGCCCTGCAAACGCGCTGATGTCGCCTGTGAGTATGCTGTTAGTGAGCATCAGTTGAGGAGGAGGAATGTTCAGAAGTTGGAGAGGAGGATTAGGGAGTTGATGGATTGTAATGAGGGTTTGACGCAGCAGTTGAGGCGGTCGGAAGAGGTGACCAGACGATCTGAGGATGTGACGAGAAGGTCTGAGGATGTTACGAGGAGACCTGAAGATGTTGAGAGAGGTGAGGCGTCGGTGGTGCAGGATAGTCCTGGGGATGGAGAAGTAGCTGAGGAGGTTATTCAGATGAGTCTCATCGCAGGCGGAGGCCATCACTTCGTTGGTTCAACAAGCGGTCTTCTCCTCGCCAACCTCCTCCAATCCCGCCCTCAACCATCCTCATCCCTCACCACATCCTGGAAACCAAACTCCCTCCCCGGCCTATCCTCACCACAAACCAACTCCGGCCTCCCCCCCAAAACCCTCGCCTCAGAACTCCTAAAGGCCTACTGCAGCCATGATCACCTCTGCTACCCCTTCCTCTCCACCAAATCCCTCTACCGGTCTTTAGACGCCGTGTACGAAGACTCCAGCGCCAAAGACCCCGTCGATGCCTTCTTCGTCGACATGACCCTCGCCATCGGCACGGCGCAGGTACACAAGTTTAACTGGAATGGTGTATATGATGCTGAGACGCATTATAACCGCGCCATGACGAGACTAGCTGATGTGCTGGCGAGAGATGGGATCGAGAGGTTGCAGGCGCTGTTGTTGGTGTGTCAGTATAGAATGGGCACAACGTCGAGTAATACCACGACTAGTGTTTGGCATCTCATCGGCGTTGCGGCGAGGACGTGTCTTGAGATGGGGCTTCATCGAGCGGCGACTTATGCGCTTCCGGGAACGTTGGATGAGCCGACGAGGAAGGTGAAGGAAGAGGAGATGGAGACGAAGCGACGGTGTTTCTGGAGTCTTGTTGCGCTGGATCGCGTGACGAGTCTTGCGCTTGGAAGGCCATTGGCTCTACAGCTTGAAGACATAGACGTTGATCTTCCTCCTTCGTCGACAGCAGATCAACTTCCTGAGGATAGCAGTCCTCTCTCATCGGCACCCTACGGAACACCTCAATACCGCGCTGCGACCTCTGTCTTCGTGCATATCGTTCGCTACCGCCTCATCTGCGGGAAGATCATAAATGCCCTGCACCGGAGTGCCAAACACGTCACGTTCCCGAACACAAGCTACGATGAAATGCGAACAGCTCTAGCGAGGGAGTTACAAGAGTGGCATACAGAAACAGCGAATCTACCCCTTTTTAAGAGCGATACAGCTGCTTCACCGGCTAGTGGTTCGAGTTTTCGCTCTGAGGAGTGGTATAGACTCTTGTACCATAACGGCATGCTCATGCTGTTTCGGCCGTCGCCGTGTTTAAACGATGCAGCTGTGAATAGTCTCGCGCTGCAGAATATATATGACTCTGCGAGGGAGGCTATAAGTCTCTATGCAAGCCTTCACCGATCTCGAAAGCTGAATTATTCATGGATAACAATGCATTCCGTCTTCCTAGCCGGACTATCATACATCTTCGCCCTACGCCATCATTTCTCTGGTTCAGAACCTCAGCGCGCAAGGTTACATACAACACCTACAATCAACCAAGTCGTCAACGACACGAGGGCATGTTCAAAAGTGTTGGTGGCTGTGTCGGAGAGATGGGACTTGGCGAGGAATTGTTCGGACTTGTTTGATAGGCTGAGCGATGCGGTGGTAGCTGATGTCGTGGAGGCGAGTGTTGCGGCGCCGGTGCAATTTTCGGCGGATCTGGCGGGTATGACTGTTGATAGTACGTTTAGGGATTGTTTTGGGGATTTGCAGAGTTTGGGGCTGGATGAGTTCCATAATGATGCTATTTCGCAGTTGAGTCAGGAGTGGTTTTTTGGGCTGGGGGGTGAGAACCATTCGTATTATTGAGCTGTTGTCCTCTCCTTTATCGTGAGACTTTATCTTACAAGCTGTAAATATCGGATGCCTGGTATATATGTTATGAACTCAGACTAAAAGTAATCTATCTGTTAATGACTATGTGCCTTGGTTCTTGCTCTGCCGTCAGTTCCAAAACTGAGAGGATTGTTGGGTACAGAAGCATCATCAGCAATACCCATGAATAAGATAAGTATACTAATATTTCCCAATCTAGTTCTCCGAGCATAGCAAGAAGGGTAAATCTGAGCCGTTGAACTTGGAGGGATCTCACATTATGTTCCATCTCATGTTGAGCAAGTACATCGACGGGCTCGGTCGCCGAAGCCGAAATGCCAGGGCCTGTGTAAGTGGATCGCCACTCGGCGCCGCGTCCGCCAATCCACAATCCACCGAATACAGTCTTATGATAAGTCATGAGA